GTGGATTGGCGCATGAAAGATCGTATGAAGACCGTTTCCGCTGCATTAGCCATCTGTCTCAACATTGGTGTGGATCCTCCTGATGTGATCAAGACGAACCCAACGGCGAAGCTCGAAGCCTGGGTCGACCCAACGGGAAGTAGTGGGGGCACGACCAAGACGATGGAGCAAATTGGGAAACGCCTGCAGGAGCAATACGAATCGCTGAGTCTGCGGACAAGATACAAGCAATACCTCGATCCCTCAATTGACGAGACAAAACGCTTTTGCATTTCATTGCGTCGGAATGCGAAGGATGAGAGGGTTCTTTTTCACTACAACGGTCACGGCGTGCCGCTGCCCACCCCCTCGGGAGAGATCTGGGTCTTCAACAAAAACTACACTCAGTACATACCTGTGGGCCTTTACGATCTGCAGGCCTGGTTAGGAGGGCCCAGTCTGTTTGTCTACGACGTGTCTCATGCTGGAAACATTGTCTACAACTTTGACACATTTCTGGCGAAGCATGAAAAGGAAAACGAGGAGCTCAAGAAACGAGATCCCAATGCACCTATTCAAAACTATGGGGATTGCATCCAGTTGGCGGCTTGTGGGAGGACCGAAATGTTGCCCACCAACCCAGAACTGCCTGCCGATCTTTTCACGTGTTGCTTGACGACACCGATAGATATCGCACTGAGATACTTTGTGTTACAGAATCCACTTCCCAATGGTCCTACGATCGAAGATGGCAAAATACCCGTACCCGGACGGCTGCAGGACCGACGGAGTCCTCTGGGGGAGCTCAACTGGATTTTTACAGCCATAACGGACACGATTGCTTGGAACATTTTACCACGACATTTGTTTAAGAAGCTTTTCCGTCAAGATCTTATGGTCGCAGCATTGTTCCGCAATTTCTTATTGAGCGAGCGAATCATGAGGGCCAACCATTGTCATCCAATCTCATCGCCCGCGCTGCCCGAAACACATCGACATCCTCTGTGGCAAAGTTGGGACTTGGCCATGGAGATGGTGTTGGCACAGCTCCCTATGCTCCGTGAAGCCGAGGAAGGGAAACGAGTCTATGAATACCAACACTCGACCTTCTTTTCGGAGCAGCTTACAGCCTTCGAGGTCTATCTCAGCTCTGGACCCACCAAAGATCGAGCCCCGGACCAGTTGCCCATCGTTCTGCAAGTCCTTCTTAGTCAAGTGCATCGACTACGTGCCCTGATTCTCCTCAGCAAATTCTTGGACCTTGGACCGTGGGCAGTTCATCTAGCTTTGAGCATTGGAATCTTCCCTTATGTAGTGAAGCTTCTCCAAGCAGCCTCGCTAGAGCTCAAGCCGGTCATGGTCTTCATCTGGGCTCGAATCATGGCGGTCGACTACACGGTACAGAACGATTTGCTCAAGGACAACGGCATTCACTATTTTATTTCCATCATGAACCCTCGTTCAGACATTCCTGTGGGCAATGCCAGCGAGCATCGAGCCATGTGTGCCTTCATCGTTGCCACGTTTTGCAAGAGATATCCTCCAGGCCAGACCGTCTGCTTGTTGCCCGAGCTTTTCAATGCCTGCCTGCTCAACATGGCAGAGCCTGAAAATCCCTTGCTGCGACAATGGTCCTGTTTGTGTCTCAGCATGTTGTGGTGCGAGTATGCCGATGCCAAATGGATGGGTATTCGTTGCATGGCTCATGCCAGACTCTGTGAATTGTCACTTGATCCCGTCCCAGAAGTTCGAGCGGCCATGCTCCATGCTCTGACCAACTTTCTCGGCATTCCAGATCTGACCGATCAGGTGTCCCAGATTGAAGAAGGAATCGCCTCTTCTGTCCTCTTTATGACATCCGATGGCAGCACGTTGGTGAGGAAAGAACTGGTTGTCTTCCTGTCTCATTTTGTGAAGCGCTACGAAAACAAGTTTATCGTGGTTGCTTACGAGCAGCTCGTGGAAGAAAGGGATAGACACCCGTACAAGCAGTCCCAGTCGACTAGTGGCGAAGCTGGTGACTCTCTCAAGTGGATGCCAGTCTCTGCAAACACGATTTATGGCTCGATTTGGGTTCAAATCTTGATGTTGTCGGTCGATCCGCACCCCGAAATTGCCCGGAATGCTTCAAGCATTGTCGACCATGTGCACGAGACATTGATCAACTCGCCCATGAGTCAGATGGCTATGGCAGTCATCGATGACCTGCTGCGGTTCTCGAAACGGGAAGAGTCCCAGCTTCAGAAAGTCCCGTCCCGCGATTCACTCAGGACAGTCGAAAAACAACCCGGCACTCCTCCTCCCACATTGGCGAAACAGCAGAGCTATTTGTCCCTGAGTCTGAAGAGGGCTGGCAGCTCCCTGCGCAACCTCGCATTTGGGACGGGTTCTCCTAATCCTTCGACCTCTTCCAATCAAAACAGCCCTCAGACATCTCCCACGAAAACAAGAGAACTTGTGCAACCAGTCAATACTCCTCGAAGTCGTCTCCCACCTGAATGGAGCCGCCCACCAGAAACTTCCGACGCGAGAAGCACCCCAGGATCGTATCACTCTGCCGTTCTGCCTACTTCCGCAGGCTTCGTTCCTCCCGAACCGAAAACGCGCGCGATTTTCCCTCTTCCAAGCACTTTGCTAGATTGGTCAACCGAATATTTCCGCGAACCACAGATGAGACCCAATGACCCAGATGAGCCGGGATCAGCGGACTACAACTCAAGACTCTGGCGGCGGAACCGCAACGAAAAGATCATTGCTGACAATCAGCCATTGAAAGCCGTGGCGGGAAGCTCCAAATGGACCCGCTACGAAGGGTTTCTCAACAACCAGAGCCAGCCAATGAAGCTGACGTTCCATCAGTTCGATAGCCACCTTGCCGTTACCGATGACAAGGACACCGTCACAATATGGGATTTCCAGAACAATGAGCAACTGAGTCGGTTCAGCAATGGAAATCCTACTGGAAGCAGGATCAACGATGCCAAATTCTTAAACGAGGACGATCAGCCTCTGTTGATGGTGGGTAGTTCCGACGGTGTTCTCAAAGTGTATCGAAACTATCAGAGTTCAGCAGACGTCAAGGTGATTACTGCGTTCAGGGCCTTGACGGAGCTGATCCCCAGCAACAAGAATGCCGGATTGGTCTTTGACTGGCAACAGGGCCAAGGCAAGGCTCTCGTGGCTGGGGACGTCAAGGTCATCAAAGTATGGAATGCCGCGACAGAGCTTTGTGTTGGCGACATTCCAGCACGCAGTTCTAGCTGTGTGACCAGCCTGACTAGTGATCAGGTGGCAGGGCAGATTTTCATTGCGGGTTTCGGAGATGGTGTAATCCGCGTATTTGACCAGCGCCTCAACCCTCGGACTGCCATGGTCAAACTCTGGCGCGAACACAGACAGTGGATAACGAACATTCACATGCAACGTGGTGGCGTCCGTGAACTCATTTCTGGAAGCAGGAATGGTGAGGTGAAGTTGTGGGATCTGCGGAATGACAAGGCTGTATTGACGATGAACGCTACATCGTCGACACCTTCGCCATTGAAGCCCGAATATGGCAAAGATGGCACAAGTAATATTGGAAGCACCAGCTCCACGGCATCCCTGGCAGGAGGCCCAATGGCCCTGCTCCGCAGCCTCTCGGTCCACGAACATGCTCCGGTCTTCGCGGTGGGCACCGACAAACATGAAGTGAAGTCATTTAATACCAATGGCGATACACTGGGTACCTTTGAGCCCTCCAGCAGTCGGATGGCGCACGTTGTCGGCGGCAGTCTTGCAGTGAGGGGGCATCAGGCTCCGATAGTAGCAACAGCATACCATCCACACCGCATGTTACTGGCATGCGCAGCGCTGGGAGATGGACACGTGAGTTTGGTAACTTACTGAGCGGAGCGGCATTGATGATGGAGGATTGAAGACTGCAGTGTGTCTTGGTCGGGGGAAAGGCCGATGTACCGGGTTATGAGGACATTGTCTCTTTCCGCCGCGACGGCATCCAGGCCTTTCTCAGTTAAAGCTGGGTGGTGAGGGTATGATCTGCGCACAAACACGTGGACGCTCCATATCATCTTTATTGAAATCAGTTCTGGTGGAGATCGTCATACCAGACGACGAGCGCGACAAAAATCATCTTAGTATTGTTTCTTCCCCGGATGCCGCATGATCCGGAATGGGAATGAATGTAGAGGCAACATCAAGGGCGTCTGGATTCTCCTTGGTCAACGGGTCAAAGGCATGGGCTCGAGATGGACAGTAGTACATGGCAAGTGGGTAGTTAGTTAGTGCTTGTAGCGGGCGTCAGTCAACACATGTACTTGTATTCCTCTAACCCGGGACGCGACGCATAATAATATTACCACGGTTCTGGTCTTCCTTTCGTCCTCTACCTCTATGCATGTTTGTAGGCCCAAGAGTCATCCATCCACTCCGCTTGCTCGGTCGAACTTTCAGGTTGAATTCTCGTTTGAGGGTAATTTTGGCCTGCCTGCCCATTTCAGCCCGACCTAAACTATTGACTACTCACTACTCACTGGGACAATTAACGCACGACTGGAGGGGGAGCTGTATCCCATCGGCCCGACGCATATTCTGGGTTTATATATAGATATAGATATAGAAGTATACGTGTGTGGATTCGGTAATCATGTATACCTCGGACGCATTGAGCCATGTTACTTGTATGCACAGACAGTACTGACCTATGGAAGAGGAGACTCGATTTGAGAGGGATTCCTGGTCCTCACTATAAACGCCAAAGTCAACAATAATAGTAAATAGTACTTGTAGGAATAGTGGTGATAATAGTGATAGTGATGATGACTATGATTGGCATGCTATCGGTGGTTCGGCGCCAAAACTGTGCGTTGAGCCGCATGCAGTAGCCAGGATAGTAATAGCTAATACAAATACATGCACGCCGGCATCTGGGTTGCAAAGGTCCTCCCCAAGTACAGTAGTACACAATGGGATTTGATGTCAGGAACGCCTTTCTATTTTTTGTTCCTCCCCCCACTCCCTAATCAAATACTCCGCCGATCCCACCGTCTGACTACGCTGCCTAGACACACCTTTAGCAGACCCTGCGCGGTGAGACCTTCTCGGCCCTCGCCACCGCCCTTGCCGTTCCAGGGTACCGTGTCAACCATGTCGCGGATGTGGTATTCGCCGCTTAGCGCATCGTCCAGTTCGCGGAGCATGTCCCGAGCTTCAGGTTCGCGGCCGACCTGGAAGAACTGAATGCCAACCTGCCAAGGCTCAGCGGACAGGGCGTCGAGTTTGCGAGCGGCATTAACGATCACGCTCTCGACGTCGTCCGAGGGCACGCCGTCGGTGATGACAATGATATTGAGTGGTTTCACCACTGGCACCGTGGTCCCGTTGCGCGCGAGGCGGGCCTGGCGGTCGAGCGAATCGGCTAGTTCTGAGAGATACGGTTTGAGGATCGTGTTGAGGCGCGTACCCGTGGGCGTGCCCCCAAACGGTCGCACATTTTGGAAGAGGTTCTGCACCGCCGCAGTGGTGGTGATGTTTGTGTACCCACCTGGACTGCCCGCGGGGGTGTGCGGGTTGCGATGGTTCAGGAAGTAGACATCGATGCCGTCCGGATCGTGTGCCGTACAGATGGGCGCGATGGCAGCGAGTGCAGCAGCCGTCTCTCGCCACGAGCGGCCAGCCATGGAGCCAGAGTCGTCGATCAGGAAGATGGTGTCAAAGGAGCGTAGGAAGGCGTAGGGCGAGTCATTCTCGACTTGAGCGGGATTGTGCAGGTCATTAGTGGGATAGGGGGGGCCGACGGTGTCGCTGTTGTTGTTGTTGTTGTTGCTCTTGGGGATTGAGGAATTAGGGGAATAAGGTGGAGGTGGCTCGGGTGCTTGTGGTGGTTGTGGACGACGCGTGGGAGTCGTGATAGCAAAGGGGTTGTTGGGATCCTGATTGTTTCTTGCCCAGGCCATGGTGAATTGAGATGGTTGAGATGGTTGAGACGGTTGGTCAGATGGCGAGGGGGGTGGTGGTTGTCTTGAAAACATGGTCGATGAGGAGTTGTTCTTGAACGACTTTCTGGAACTGAAGCGGCGAAAAATATTGTCCATCTTGTGGAGAGAGTTGGGAAAAGAGTCGTGAGAGAGAAGGATGGGGGCATCCATAGTAGAGAGGTCACTTTGTCTTGTGCTCATGTGAGGAGGCAGTGACACTGACACAGTTACGCGTTTGGAAAGCCACGTGGAACTAATAGTCAGTAGTGAGATTCACGCCTCAGGAATCAAACTGATCCGATATTTAACTCTTGTGTGTCTCTTACTTTTCCCTCCATCGTTCTTTCCTTTATACTTCCTTTGTCCTTTTCCTTACATCTCTGGCAGACAGAGAGATTCTGCCCTGGCAGATCTCGACGGGGGCTGAGGGAGGGGGACGAGCGGCTCATGATACAAAGATTGATTACACCATTGCCTGAAGTCCACATTGAGACATGCTTGTTACACAGCCTGACGAGCACAGGTGCAACCAATGACAAGGCAGCCTGAGGCATCGATAATGCCCTGACCTTAAGACCAAGAAGGCGAATCGCTAGGCTGTGCGCAGTCATCGATCCACCCCAATCCCGCTAGTCGACCAGTGTTGCGAGCAATGCCACGCCACGACCTAATTCCGCCATCAGCCTTGTCCAACCGGAGAATTTCCCCTCGCAGTAACACCTCACCGAAGCTCGTCCTCCTCGGCACATCGGTATCTGTTAGAAGAACCGTCACGTGCTTCTAGAAAGAACATACCTGTACGAGGTGAAAGGACAAGGCACAAAAAGGGTTGCCCCTACAGGCAGCCAGCCACGCACGGCTACTGAGCAAAGGACAAAAATGATGAGTTTTCCTTGGACACCATCTACACGGTCTACACCATCTAGGGGACTGTCGTACACAAGAGGTGGGTGGGGAGTATATAGACCGCACGTCCCCGTTTCGAGCTAGGCTAGGTATTGTGTCCCCCCCCCTTTTTTTTCTTTTGAAGATCCCCCATTGTATGGAGGAGCAGGACTGTGGAGTGGCGGTTCGGGGTTTGATGAAACTCTGCTCTATCCGAGCTCCATACTTTTGGTCTTCGCTTGAAGCAAGGCAGACTCTGTTCTCAAACTTCCTCATCATTCGACCATCATGAGGCCTGAGCAGGGGAACGTTGTCAGAAGAGCATGCTTGCTGTAGCAGACAGTGGTCCGACCGTTTCTGCATGCTGCTCCTCCCGGGGCATTGCCTCCGAACCAACATGTCTACAATACCCACCTGAGAACACAAACACGCATACGCAGGGTAGAAAAGATACCTACAGACAACACAGCACAGCACCACCTGATGTGCAGATTACAGCTCTGTTGGAACTAGATACTCCAAGAGTCGTCCGTCTTTCGCTCCGCCTATCTGAAATACCCCTCCCAATCCAACCCACCGCGATATCCAAAAGCCACCAACGCCATGCAAGGGTTCTGTACCGAGTACCATTTGGGGACATTTACACATTCTGTTCATTCGTTCCAATTTATGTTCATATAGTTTTGCCCACGCCATGTTCAGGTGGGTGGGCATGTTTCTTCTCGTTTCAAGTCGTGGCGCCGTTTCATTCACCGGTTTGGTTCGGTTCGGTTCGGTTTGGTTTGGTCATTCGCGGACCACCATGCAAGAAAAACACTCAGCACAGAAAAGCAAAATCCTCGTTCCACGCTTTGCCTACTTTGTATGCAAACATCCAACGCCATGATCAATGCTGCAAGTCGCGCACAGCCAGTCAATCCGTTTGTTACCCAACGCCCCGCTTCGTATGTATGGCACCGCGGAACCGAGTGGTTTGCAAACAAAACTCCGAGGAGAAAACGGGCAGCAAACCCAACTTTCAATGCCGCTTGTATTTCTGTGACTCTTCGTTAGTATTGGCCCACAAACGAAACTAGGACTGGATGTGTACAACTCACCTCATCGATCCTCCTCAAATTCTGCTTGTCTAGCATATTGCCTGCGCCCATCAATGTCTGCCCAACGGCTTTCGTGGCTCCAATCGCCGGCCGCAGGATGATGGTCGGGCTCTGTTTGAGTATCGCCCTTGCCGCGCCTTTGGCTGAGGAACTGGCCATAACCTCTCCAGGAACTGCCACGATAGCGTCTCGCGCGATCAATAGATCCCGTTCCAGGCTGGCATATGCCGTCCGCAATCCCTGCTTGATGCCGATCGGCTGGTCGGCATACAGAGAGATTTGCTTTCGCATCTCATCGTCCTCGTCCGTTTCTCCCTGTAGTTCGCGAGTCACAAGCAGATCTTCTGTATTCTGAAGAATCTGCTGTGTGCCAATCGCCATCTTCGCTCCGAGATTGACCAACTCTGTCGCTGTCGTCTTTGCAAACGCCAATGCTCCTTTCTGGATGCTTCGAACAAGTCTTCCGTCCTTCCGATACTCACGAATGGGGACTGCGATGAGGTCTCTCACCCCACTGGTAACGTCCACGAGAGGTCGGACGGGCGCCAGACCGGCCAGAACTCCAGGCAGTTGGTTTCGTCTGACGTCTGGGGTCCAGATGTTGTTCAACATGATACCTAGTCGATCGAATCCGGACACCCCGTACAGGATAACCCTCCGCAGGACCATGTCTGCACGGTCGAGGACGAAGAAATTCATGAACTCGGTGGTCCGTCCTGATCGAAGCCCTGCATAATCTACCTTCTTCGGCTTGTAGTCAAGTTTGAGCTGCACGGCGTTCACTTCCACACGCTGCAAGAACGGTGGGCTGGAGGAACCACTCGACGCCGGTGCACTGTCATCCCGGAACTCGAAGAATCGGGTCAAGAAATCCAACGCATCCTGATCGACATGCAATCTCAGTGGAAGAACGCTGACTTTGAGCACTATTTCCGAGGCCGATAGTTCTGCTACCGGTTTCACGTTGAGAACTTCGATGTGAACCATGCTGGCACCGTGCTCACGCTCACCAGCATCTTGCATGTAGGTTGCGAACTTCTTCCAAGTCGACGTAGGCACATGGTCAAACACCTCGATCTTTCTGATGCGGACGTCGATCGAACTTTGAACCTCGCCGCTTCCTGGAGGAAATGCAAGGAAATCGGCCGAGACACCTTCCAGTTCAAAGGTCATCTTGTGATGCTTGCTGCGGTTGAGTCGGAGCTTCTTTTGCCTAGGGACCGTGCCTGACGTGCGTCGAGATGTAGTTGCTGTGACCGTTGTTCCGGTGGCGTAGCTCCCTGTCTCGCTGACCAAGTCGTCGATGTCGTGGTTGATGGCGTTCGCCAAATCTCGGGGATCTTTGTTCGCCGGGATGCCAATGTAGATCGAATTGAACAAGAAGTCCCCGATCACAGACTCGTCATCGTCTTCCACACCAGGTGTTCGGCTGCTGCTGCGCGGGCGTCTCGCCATAGCTTTGTTCTCAATCTCCTTTACCGCATGCGATATGGTATCCCTCGTGGCTTGCCAGTCGTATCCATCAAACAGGTTCCAAATGACGTGGACATCCCTGACGCGAAGCTTCAATGGTGACCGCTCGATTATCGCGTCGCTTGCTAGACCATAGGTGTTGTGGACCGAATTCCAGCGATGAGCCGTGCCGCCAACTGAAGACTTCGGAATAAAATGATCTGCTCTAAAATCCAGGAGACTGTGCATCATCACGCTCTCGCCCGCATCGCCGATGTCAGAACCGGTAGCATCAACTGGGGCGATGTGCACACTTTCGGACATGACAGAGCGACCCAGATCTGACTCCACATGGCTCGCGGTCAGCTCGTCGTCAGCATCATCGCCGTCCCCATACATGCCAGTCATGAACTCGTTTTCGTCTTCGTCCTCGTCGTATCCAACCTCGGGCTTCGAAGAGGTGCCTATAGCGGATACACTGCTCGAAGCTTGGAGGCCGAGCAGCGGTCCAGGCTCTGAGACAAAAGCATTACCAGTAAATGACGCCAACATATCCTGTATTGGGACAACCTCAGTCCGATATTGAGCAACCTTCGAAGGTGGTGACGGTGGCGCAAGGCCGCTCAGAATCTGTATCATAGTCTGGGTGGAGTCTGCGCAAGTCTCGATGAACAGGAGATTGTTCCGGAACTCTACATCCAACCGCGTCTCTGAAGTTAGTTTGTCTTCAACCACTTTGATGTTGGCAGATGCAGCGGATATCGACCCTACAGGAACGAATCCTGCCTTCGTAAGTTGTTGGACCTGGTCGTTTTCTTCGAAATACAGCTTGTGGTCGACATTTCCCGATTCCAGCCCAACGGTCGAGGCATCATTAATGATGAGGAGAGAGGCTTTCTTGATGTCCAAATTGTCTGTCGAGCCCCTCTTCTGATTCTCATGGCGTATTACAGCATCTGTCAACACGAAAAGACCTTTGGCTAAGCCCTTGTCAGGATTAAGTGCGATCGCCGAATCTCGGAAGGCTATGGACAGTCTGACTTTCCGTGCTAGGCTGCCCGTATCTCCTGCATTCGACAGGGACGGGCTCGAGGGTTGTGAAGATGAACTCTGCTTGTCGGTGTGTGTATAGTCGACCTTGAGGCGTTCGAAAAGCGAGGTGAGCGCAAGAAGTGTTGGGACCTTGTACTCGATACAAGTATTTGAGAGCTTCATTCGAACAGTCGGTTCCATCTCGTCTGCGATGAATCGACACATAAACATAGGAGGGCCCATGACAGTTTTGCTCTGAGACAATACATCGCCAATCAGCACATCTTCGTCACTTCTCGACACTGACCAGGCTGCAATCTGAGCGGCAGCAAGTGAGGGCACATTGATGTGAGCTCCCTCCATAAGCTCGGCCTGTAATCGGACGACCCCAAACTTCTCATCAACATCGAAGCGGAAATCAAGCTTTTTCAACAGTGCGAAGGTGAGGATTCCTGGTCGATCATCTTCAGGCAGGTACTTGGTGACTGAGGAAAGTTTCGATATCTCATCGGTGAGCTTTGTGAGAAGAGGCACCCACCGCAACCCGGTGGCACCAGCTTGAAGATCTCCGACGGTCAGACGTAGAACGCCGCCTTTCCGACGCTGCCTCAACAAGGTATCAACCATTATATCATCATCTTCCTCGTACCTATCGCTGGAAGGGGTGATAAGAGAGAGAAGTCGGTCAAGGTCATCATCGTCTGGGGAATTCGAATAATGTACTTCGATATTGCGGATTTTGGCGTAGATGTCTCCACGAGCCCGAGAACCAGCGAGCAGTGGGCCTTCGACCGCGGCGCCATCTATCACCACCTTTACGTTGTTGTCTCGATAAACTGTTTTGATAGCTGAAGACTTGATCTGCATTGACGATTCGGACCCGATCAAGTCTAGAACAGCACCTGAGACTCGAACATCGACCTTTGGCAAAGTCGAAGAGGAATCACTGTCTGCCCTAGGTCGTCTTTGAGGGTCATTGAACCTAACAGTCCGTAGTTTCGAAGGTTCTGGAGCCGGCGCAGGAGTTGCCCCCTTCACGGTGTGTGTTGATATGAATGAGTTTCCCAAGTCCAACAAGGAGCTCAAGCCACCGCTTCTGCTGAGCACATCGTCAATGACCAACAAGTCGAGGACAATGTAGACGGGTTTAATTTGGACCTCGTATCGGTTTCCCGACACGTTAACCACGACATCGTGAGGTCTCAGCATCGAGCTGGTGGCTATCGAGTCGCGAATATTGATAGAGTCAACAAACGTCAAAACCTCCCTGGCGCCATGGTGCATGGCAATTTTAGATATCGACAGTCGCTGATTACGCTCTGTTGACGAGTCTTCCGTGTAGCTTATGGAAGTAATTGACACCTTCAGCAGAGCTTCCTGGCTAGAGAGAATTGATTCAATTGCCTGAACCCCAACTTTACTGGGTGGCATTCTCGGGACCGATTCACAGAAATTGAGGTTTATAGTCTTCAAACTGACGTCGGGGACGATAGCCATTCCAGGGGATGGCGTGGATGCTTTCGATTTCTGTGGGATCATCGTCGGGATTGCATCGTTGATGGTTTGCGAGGCTCTTACGAGCACTCGACACAGCACAATATCAAGGTCTACTGAAACCTCCCCGATTTCGATGCTCAGTTTGTCTGTTGGGAGTTTCGCGGTTCGGCTTTGATCCGTGCTCCGCAGAGATTGAAGTCGGGATTCGTTGAGGAACGTGCTTGGGGAACTTCTGCCACCCATCTGCATCTGGCGTATCTGGGAAGCATGACTTGCACGCCGTGGAGAGGTGGACCGATCAGCTTCTGACAGGGGTTCATCATGATGTGGCTGGGGGATTTTGAGGTTTACAGCGTTCACGTGTAGAATTCGAGTGCGAAAGCATGATGCCAGGCTGTTATCCAGGACGCTTTCCCCACTCGATGCCTCGGTTTCGTTGACAGAACGTGATGGTCCACGAGTCGTTGTCCTGGATATATCACTAAGTGGCTCCTCTTGGTCATTGTCTTCAACGTCTCCAGTGTCGTTGTCCTGGTCTGGTTGAGGCTCTGGCATAGGCCGTGACCAATCAAGCCCACCCGGCATATTGAGTGGTCCACTCATCGCGCTCATATACATACTCTCAGCCTCGTCATGTGTGAATGTCCTAGATTCTGCCAGGTCTTCTGACTGGGCGTCCGAGATTCCAAACTGTTCGTCGCTGTCTCGGCCCACGGACTGTTGGACTTCTTCGGCATGAGCTCTATTATCGATTGACTCGGTCTCGGCCGTTGAAGTGGGTTGAACTGGGATCGTTCTGGATCGCCTTCCGAAGATGGTGGAGTCTGACAGCGCTGCATCTTCGAGTCCAAAACCAAGTCCAGAATTACTCAATGACGCAGGAGAGAACTTTGGCAGATCGGAGTGCTGACTGAGGCTAGTGGTGCTTGATCGAGCGAAATCACTGTTGTCACTGCGTGCACTAGCATGGTGTGACAGTGGAGGGTGTAATTTGGCTAGCTTCGGCGAACTGAGGCCAGAGAACTCTGAGAATGTCTCGGACTCGGACAAAACAAACAGCTGGACTTCGTCGATGGATATTGATCGTCTCGTATCTGGCTGAGGCTCTAGGTTTTCTGGCTTGTCGATGGCGTCAACGGCAATGTGTCCAACCGAGAGCATGAACTTGGTATTCTCTGCCGGGCCAGTACTCCCAGTCGAGAGGTCCGTTTCCAAGACGACATTAACGTCCTTGATGTTGACGGACAACCGGTCTGCCACACCTTTGAGAAAATTGGCGACAAAGGTAGGTAACGAAAGCCCTCCAGGCATGCCGAGCCCAACATCTTCGCTGGAAGCCGAAGATATCACCGACTCTTGCATGTGCATCTGAGACTGTGACTCGAGTGCAGCTTGTAGTTCATCTCTTTCTCCGGGCGATTCGGCCTCGAGGAATGACGCCGCTAGATCCTCTGACGTGGGCAGCACTTGGGACAACTCCAGTGGCCCTCCTGCTTCTCCATATCTGCCACCAGGGTCATGGACGGGTGGCGAATTTGACCTAGGTAGGTTTGTACGGTCTGTCCTGCTGGGAGCAAATCCGGCTTTTGAACGAGATTTCCCTGCCGCTGTGACAGCTGTGGTATTGTCTGGTCGAACCGCCACGATTATCTCCACCCCTTCCACTTCAATTTCGATACCACTGATATGAAGGTCCGCTGGGAGGGTGAGACGCAATAGCTTGGCGGAGGCATGGGTCAGGGTGAACGATGTAGGCAGTTGGAGGATGTCGATGATTCTCTTGACTTTGATTCCGACATTCTTCAATTCGACGACGGTCCGCTGGCCCCATTTCAGCCCCAAATTGTCGAGGTCGAATTCGTCCGAGTCGATGAAGTCAAGACGGAGAAGGGCGTATCGAAGCAGTCGCTTCTGAAAGTAAGAAGGAAGAAAGTACGACATGGTCGAGGGTCCGATGAGCCCTTCCCGGCTCTTTGGGTACGGATGGCTATGCGGGCAACGTAGTCATCGTGGTTCGGTTAGGAAGGACGAGAAATGGTACGAACGTCGGGCCACGGAGGAATGAAGTCCAGGTGTTTGACAAGGACATGGACGTCAACATGAGGGACGAGGATTGATCAGAGATCAGCACAAAGAAGGTGAAGTTGAGGAGCGACGGGCAGACGCTTTCTCTCGGCGTGGGACCCGCGTCTGTCTGCTCCAATCAGACGGAAATAGACGTCTTTTGCGTCGTCTAGGTGCAGAAAACCATATCAGCAGTCCTCCATAGAGGCCGTGGAGGAAACGTGTCGTCTGCTCGGTCAAACGCAGACACGCTTTGGAACGAGGTGTATGGGAGTCGGAGAAAACAGGCAGATCTCGACGCACTCCCCTACCGACAAGCCACCCAGGGTTTGCTGCTCCACCCCATGATAAGTGCCAGCGGGATGATGCAGCTAACAGCCAACGAGGGGCAATCTTGGTGCCCCCAAATGCTTAAGCAGCTCCCGTTGGGCACGGTGAGCTAGTGGATCTGGGCCCTCAGTGGGCGCAGTGGGGGGCGGCGTCCACTACTCTTCTGTGGTCACACGAGGCAGCCTTTGAGTGCTCAAACACCCCATGACAATGTGCAGAGGAGAACGAACGGGCGATGAACCACTCCCAACACCGCCGACAACAAACCATGCAGGGGGTCGGCCCGGCCATATTTAAGAGCCCCGAGCGTCGCAGCCTGATGCGCCTTATTGCTCAGCCTCACCACCGGCCAAAGTGTGCATGAAACAAGCAGCCAGATCAAAGAACCAGAGAAAGCAGAGACAACATTGTGTTCATATCTGTCTGTCAAAGTGAGCAAATCCCGCTAAAGAACCCTGTCATTGTTGTCGTTGAAGACCATCTGGACCATCTGTCTGTGTCTGAGATACGGCACGGTTAACGTGTTGCCTCTGACGACCACAGCAGCACCACCACCACCACCGCCGCCAGCATGCCGGCCGCAGTCAATCTACTCTTCGTCGTCTTCGTCGTCCTCATCTTCCTCGTCCTCCTCATCTTCCTCGGACTCATCTTCGTCTTCATCCTCTCCATCCTCTTCCTCGGCCTCTAGCGGATATTCCATCAAAATCCACTGACACCACTTCTCAAACTCGCTCCTCCATTCTCGCAGTAACTTTGCCTTGACGCCTTTACCCAAATAACCCTCGGTGATGTCTTTGGTCCACTCGCCCGGTTTTTGGTCTTCAATGGCGCACCATTTGAGGGAGTTCTCGGCCATGGTTGCTAGGCCTTCCAACCCGAGATTCTCAAATGCCATGTAGGCCTGCCAGAAGTCATGACTCAAGCCGTTCTTTCCGTGGCCCAAGATTGCAGGGTCGTCGTTGTTCAATGACACAGCCACCCCTCGTGAAAGCAGTGCCGGGAGAGAGTGCGAAAGGATGGAGCTCGAGAGTCGCAAGATTTCATTCGAGATTGGGCAGCTCTCGATCAGAATCTTCTTCTCCTTGACCATGTCAATCAGCAGGGGATGCTTGTATAACGAATACCCATGTCCAATGCGTCTGGTCCCCAACAGAAGTGCATCGAATAGGTTATTGTCCGTACTGTCACCGTCACCAAGGCATTCGCCTGCGTGAAAGAAGAAAGGCAAATCCACCCCGGCCTCGGCGCACTTCTTCTTGAACCAGAATATCAGCGGCGTGAGATCCTTCAGTGTCCTTCCCTGGTCTTCTTGAGCCACGAAATCAAAGCCGCAAATCATGTGAGGAAACTTCTTCTTCATGCGTATGCACTCCCTCATGGAATCGGCCACTGTTCGGTTGTCCGATTTACGGATGACGGTCCATATCAAACGTGCTCCTTTGAACGTCTTTCCGGCAGGCGATCGTTTGAACTTCTCAATCTCCTCGCCCAGAACGGTGAAGAAATCGTCGAATTTGCCAATTTGACCCGTGGTCTGTCCTTGCTTTCGGAATTCAAACTTGAAAGCGATTCTGAGATCAACGTAGATAATGCCATCATTTGCCAACTGGCCGAGAAGGCGCTGAATGGCGCGGCGGAAGATGGGTTCGTATGTAAACATCCAGGTAATGACCATGAATGTACTCTGAAACTTTTTCCAGATGGCATCCAAACCATGGTGGTGGCACAAGGACTCCTCGTTGGTAATGGTGCACCTGCTAATTAGCCATTTCTTAAAGGTTTGGTCATCGTCCGGGAATGTCCTCTGTGCTTCTCTGATCGTTACAGGGGTGTTGGGTGTGTATGCCGCAGTCCAAATACTACCCGTACTCTTCTGCTTCTTGACAACTTCGTCGGGATAGTACCTGAATTGTAGTAAACCCGAAGTTCGTTTGCCCTTGTCACTCAGGCCTTCGGGTGCAACCATGCAGAATCCCTTCTCTGCCAGAGCCTGGTCAACCAGCCAGTCAATGTCGATCATGGCGTCCAGATGAGCATGCAGCAGTGCTCCCTTTGGCATCTTCTCGACAATTTTCCACAAGTCGGTCGTCTCCATGCGATCACGAGCCAGGGTGAACATCATACCTGGGTACAGGTTGCCACCGTTCTTATCAGCGAGACTATCCTCAAACTCGGAGGTCCAGACAGTCTGCAACTCTCGGCGGCGAATGGAGGCCATGATCTTGGCTGCCTGTTTGGCCATGGGAGACATGTTTTGTTTGAAAGCCCGATCATGGCGTTGCTTCTTCTCCTGTTCGATCAGAGCCTGACGCCCCGCCATGTACTTTTGGATGAACGGGTCTTCGACTTGGGGAATGCCTTGTTCCATTTCCCATTCAAGTTGAGAGTCATCAGACTCATCGCCTGATAATTCTTCTCGCGGTGCCATGACGAAAGAGTGTCTTTGACTTTTATGGTCACAATTCTACTTTGGACCAGGTCGTTTAGACACTTGCCCGCAGTGCACACCATCGTGGTAAAGACTCGTGTGATTAAATCATCGGTGGATTGTAGGTTCGGCAAAATATTAATCCGAAGCCTTGGCACGGTTCTCCGCATGGCCCTGTTTCTGACGCTCTACTCCGTCCTTACTATATACATCGTACCGACTCCAATAACACAATGTCGAAGAAGAGTATCTCAGGAACGATGCCTATACTTAGGTCTCCAGACACAAAGAGTATATGTCGTTGTTATCATAATTGTTTTACCACTGAAACCGAAAACTGCATATTCGCGGTTGCTAAGCTCGAGAATATCAGAGTCAAGATGCTGTCAAATGCAGCGTCGAACTTGTCGCCATTCGCAAACAGCTAGCAATTTGGCCTTAATGATCATTCTGGATTTGCTGAAATGTGGATCTAACTTGCTAGGAAGAACCTGAACAGCAAAGGCAATATGCGGTGATAGAACCAACATCTTATCTCGCGGTGATCATAGTGGAGGACAAAGTAAGTGACCACGAAGACAGTTCCTTGTACCGGCTCAGCACGCCAGAATCCAACGGTTGAGGGGCTAACATGAACCCCCGATTTCCTGGGCGTAGAGGAACGCCTCGGGCACACAGGTTTGCCGTGGGGTCGTAGAGTTCTGGATGCCTCTGGAAGAATTGCGGATCCAGTAGGAAGTTGCCAACGCCTTTATGCATCCCTATCAGCTTGAATGCTTTTAGGGCGAGTGCTTTCGATCCAAAGAGCACACTTGCATCGGGCGCGGGCAAAGAAGTCGCACCACTATTCGCCTCTTCTTCCTCGTCAAACTCGTCGATGGTCTCTGGGGAATTCTCAAAACTCGGCTGGAGGAAATTTGCTGTATCCGAACTTGACGTGGCTTCAGGCGCAATTGACCGGACTAGATCCCAGACCCCGACATAGCCTCGAGTGGGAGGTATGAATGCGATAAGTTTCGAAAGGTCGGCTTCCATGACGTATGAATTGCCGATATCACATATCAGCTCATCCAGATGGGGATTGGCCGAATGGTATATGATTAGCTTGTCACGTACCGAGGGAAAAGGGATCCAGTCGATTATTGATGGGTGATGCGCTGTCATCTGAAGTTTGGTCGGACGAAGAGAAGAGTCAATGACCGCGTACATCTCTGGCGTTGGGTTGAGGCGCCACGCCATAAGGCTGGCAACCGCGCTATGCGCTCGGGTGTATGAGTGCCAGGCGGCCATGGTCGGCCACGACAGACATATGAATGAGGACAGCATGAAGCAAACCAAGCTCGGAAGACTATAAGCCTGGTTAGTGAAGCTCCCTGGATCAAAGGACCAATCTCGCACGTACTCCTCGGATGAAACATTTTGTACTTCCCTTCGAAGACTTAACGATCTCCACTTCTGCCGCAAGAAGTATTCAAGAGTAGCAATATGGTCCGACCACGCGGAGTTGGTCCGATGTAGCTGCCCATGAGGACCTCGTACCAGGATCGGACCGTGTTTCTCCGCAGCAGAATATGTATCTGGTCCCATCTGTGGGAAAGTGAAAGATAGTCTTTGCTGGAGGATTGGGTCGGCCATCATGGTATCCCACATGGTTGGATTGTTCGTCTCTATCATCGTCACGTCGTTAATGGGATTTGGAAAGTCAACGAAGTCCAGTGAGGCGAATACATCAGGATCGTGGCTTATTGCTGCTTGCAGAGCATCCTTGAAGTCGTCGGGGATTTCGTCGAAGCCTGTCTCCAAATCTGGCCAGCTTGTCGCATTCGCCGAGGTGTCTGGTTGTTGACAAGTGGCGTCAAAAGTCAGATCAGGGATCATAATGCCTCCTGTATCGATTGAATCTGTCATCGGCGCGCGCACAGTGGCTTCTCTCAGGCTTGGTGAGGATGCATCTGAGGTCGACGAAGGCGCCGTGGTTGGACGAGGAGCTTCATCTTCTCCACCTTCGTTGGCGCGGGACTCCTTCTTCTTGTCCTTGGGGATCTTTTGCAGAATGGATCAGTTCTGGTTGAGATCCAAATAGTAGGCAGGTCATCAAGACTTACTACCATGTCAAGCGCCTCCGCAGTAGCCTCTGACAGGGCCCTGATGGTGACCTGGAGGCTTTCGAGTTTTTTATGGCACTCAAAGAGCCTGTTAGCGAGGAATGCGTTCCGCTCTTCGAGCTCGGCGATTCTTGCGGTCTCGGACGATGGCCTAGATTCCAATCTGTCCTCCAACTCCTTGATCCGCATAGCTTGCCGGGCGCGGAAGGCCTTCTGTGACAGGCGATTCCGAAGTTTCCTGTCCTCATTGCTCATACGGGCAGAACGGCCGTGGCGACCGCCCTTGGTTGCGTCAGTGTCGTCCTTCATGCCGTTGGGTTGACCGTCAATTTTCAGTCAAGCTGGTGATGACATATGGAAGTCTGAGTAAGTGCGAAGTGAGGAAGTAGTGCTAGGATGAAGGGGAGTTATTGACGTTAGCTGTACGACTAGTCGCAGGGGTTTCTAGAGTGTTCCCACAGGAAGAGAAGTACAAGGGGCGTTCCGAACGAGCATTCCTTGGAAAAGATGGAAAGGCCAACCCCAGATTTGCCTGACCCCGCGACTGGTGTAGATCGGACGAGCTTCTCCAGAGGTCTTCGGTTCCTTGTCTTCTCGGAGCCACACAAAGACTGGGGAAATTGGTCAAGTTGCTGCAGTCTCGTGGGTGCCAGAGAACCGCGGATACCCAGAAAGGTCAGCTTGATCAACGAGGAGGTCGGTATAACCGAGGGTAGCTTTCTTCTTACCTGTAATATTCTGACCAAGGCTTGTGGGGTACTCCAGGTTGAGAGCCTGTGGGGCGAGGCGGGCAAAATCTAGAGGCGTAGGTTGGGTCGAGTCAGAAGAATTTGATTCAACCAAGACCATTGACGTCTGCGGGGTGGATCGGTAGACCGTGTCTCAATCCGCAGATGCGAAGTCTCTTGTTGGTTCTGTCTCGATGACTGCGCAAAACATTACTCAGGGGCTCCTGCGTGCCGTTTGGGGTTGCAACTGATCCTAGATATAGCAAGACAATATGGAGGGTGGTTTTCGAGGATATGGAGACCAGCAACCATTTCCACCATCAAGCAACAGAGAACTAGGTGAAGATGAATGTCTCGCGTCCAGCGGAATCGGTCAGCCACCCAAATGGCGTGACAAATGGCTCTAGTACTGTAGCCTCGAACGGCATCGCCAACGGAACGGCCAGTGTTCCCACGCCAGGCCTGAGATATGGCATGTTCAGTAACTGGAGGCCTCATTCGAAGAAGAAGGATGACCGCGTGGAAGCATTGGAAGTGATTAAGAATGGCTTGTCCAAGATGACCAGAGTCAAGGCTGTTCTCGGATTGGATATCGGACTGGATAGCGGCCCGATTTACATTGACACACGGGAGGAGCCTCGCATACTGCAGACATTTGACGGAGAACCCGACTGCCGGGTGAAAATAAAACCTCGCTATATCATTGCTTTTGCTCAGGGCCAGCTGGAGCCGCGATATGCTCTATTTAAGGACGGTTTCTTCGACGAGTCGACATTGCCCAAGGGAGACATCAAAGTTGCAGTCAAATTCGCTGACGCCTTGTGCCCTGTGGATCCAGTACATCCTGTATCGCCCAGCCCTGGGGCCAGGTTACCGACTCCAACGGAAGACATTGACCAGGTCAGGCGAGATCTGAAAGAATTTGGCTATGGCTTGGTGAAGAATGCTTTGACCCAGGACCAAGTCCAGCTTTTGGCAGAAGCCATTCGTCAACAGGGACGCGGTGAGGTAGAAGCTGGTGTTGCAGCGAAGGATGGAGGCCCAAACGCGCCCAACCAAAGGATCTGGACATTGATCAACAAAGGACAAGAATTCCTCGATCTGCTAGAACATCCTTTGATTGACGAGGTTATACCAGAAAACTTGGGTGAACACTTTCTGGTCCACAGCTACAGCGCAAACATTGCACGCCCTGGGAATACACCGATGATGTTGCATACGGATCAGGTCGGCATTCAACCGCCTGTTCGGAACGTGTACTTTGGCATCAACATCATGTGGTTTCTGACGGATGTCACGGCAGAGAATGGTGGAACGCGTGTATTTCCCGGCAGTCACCTTGGTGCCGTTGCTCCAGATGGTGAGTCAATCTTTTGCAGGCCTTAGTATTATATCCTAAAGACAACGACGAAGGCTACCCTGATTGTTATGGGGTTATACTTTCTAAGGGTGGTGCTGACGTTGTTTGCGCTCTAGATCCTTTTAATATCGACGGGACAGTGGCAGCAGAAGGGCCAGCAGGTACAGCACTTGTCTTCGAAAGTCGACTCTGGCACGCCACGGGTCCCAACAGAATGACAAGTGGAGAGAGGCCAGTGATTCTCATGTTCTTCATGCGGTCCTATATCCGGCAACAAGAGAACAACTTCCTGTCCATCAGACCCGAAGTCGAGGCCAACTTGTCTGACCGTGCCCGGAGGATGTTGGGGTGGTGTACAGATGGGGCATTCGGTGGCATTGAGGGCGAGGTTCGCGAAGGAAACTTCGTCAAGAAGCTGGCCAACCCGGTTGGGCCTTTCAGGGACTCGCATAGATATACGCCGTTCCGGATGGATATGAGAGCGAAAGGGGTCATCGCTTCCCGCACTGCCGAGCTAAGTGGGAATAGAGAGGTGTAGGGATCAAATTCCGAACAATAATATGGAGGCACATATTTGAAATGTTGATATGGCTAGTGAGTTAGTGGTTAGTCCATCGTCCAGTCGCCAAAGCTCGGGTGCGCAAGGCTGAAACATCGGCGCACTTTCCTCAATAGCATTGGAGTTGTGCTCCAGCCCCTCCGAAATCGCAGTGCGAAATAGAATCAATCGAAAACACACTATTCGACGCTCTTTTCATCCCCTTTGGCAGCCCATAAAACCACTTATTCAGGTCCTCTGACTTACCTCGAACCCTCTCATACCTCCTCCCGGCTGGGTTGGGGCGCTGGCGCCACGATGTCCGCCTCACTTCCGGGCAATAGAGATCTTCCAGCATCTCAATATGACCTCTCAACATACTGGGGCCGTGTCATGCAGTCGGCACAGATAGCAGATCCGAGGTGAGGACAGAGCAGGCGTCACACTTTGAAGTGTCGACTTTGAAATTTCCGGGGCTGGCGGTCGGTTGTGCCGTCAAATGGTGCTGAAGGTACAGCGCAACAGACCGCAGCATATACACCGCCGTCCTTTACTGAACTATTGGTCCTGACCGTTTACTTGTTTCACAGAACACTATTCGTTTCGTCCTCGGGCCTTGAACAGGCAAAGCGACTGGTTACATCCTACAAGACTGGGGAGGCGAAGGTCATGACGCCGGAGATATGGCAGGCTAAAAAGATTGTGGATTCAACACTACATCCAGGTTCGACTATATCTCATGCCCATAGACGGGGAGAGTGTCTAACGCTGAAAAGATACCGGAGAACCAGTTTTCCTCCCTTTCCGCATGTCCTGTTTCGTGATCTCGAATCTGGTCGTCACCGCTGGTATGCTCACACCCAACCTGAGTAACACCGGTACTATCGCTTGGCAAGTCATAAATCAGTCGCTCAATGTCGCCATCAACTCATCCAACGCAAACAAATCATCACCGCTTAGTACATCCACTTTGGTAAAATCCTACGTGCTGGCAGTCTCTGCCTCATGCTCTGTCGCTGTTGGGTTAAACTCTCTTGTTCCACGGTTGAAACGCCTCTCCCCAAACACCAGACTTGTCCTCGGTCGTCTAGTGCCCTTTGCAGCTGTCGCGAGCGCAGGCGTGTTGAACGTCTTTCTCATGCGCTCCGAAGAAATCCGCCGCGGGATCGACATTTTCCCTGTGCAATCCGAGCAAGAAAAAGCCGAACGCGAGAAGACAGGCAAAGAAGTCGCATCATTGGGCAAATCTCGCAAAGCTGCCATTCTCGCCGTGGGCGAAACAGCAATCTCTCGCGTCCTCAATGCGACTCCAATCATGGTCATTCCTCCCCTCATCTTGGTCCGACTCCAGCAAACACAATGGCTAAAGTCGCGGCCCAGGATGGTTCTCCCCGTGAACCTAGGCTTGATCCTGACCACTAGTATCTTTGCCCTGCCCTTGGCGTTGGCGGCGTTCCCGCAACGACAGGCTGTCAGCGCGAGGAGCTTGGAGGAAGAATTCTGGGACCGGGGCGGTGAAGGAGGCCTGGTGGAGTTCAACCGCGGGATATGATTGTTGAAATACGAGGCTGAGATGTCAGATCGGGTTGGCCCTTATCTGGAGACACGTCGCTGGCAAGTGCACACGTTAATACTCGAGGGGAGAGCACGCCAGAGGCACAGAGGACTCTTGAGTGCCACGTACATATGCAAATGCAAATACAAACAGACATGCGGAAAGATGTTCTAGTTCTCACATTCGGCAGGGACACATGGTTATCCGATCGTGTGTTTTTGTTTTCATCTTCCCTGCTGCTCTACGAGGTACACATCTGCTTTAAACTGTGCCCGGATTCCTCGAACGGTCGCGACGGCACGTTGTAGGGATCGCTTCACATGTATCAATCCGTCAACCCGGGTATCTAAGATACGTAAACCTCCCTGACCTAGCCTATCTAATCTGGTCGGAAGAACGCTCGCCTCCATGCGTGGGAACTGGCCCGAGGTGAATTAATTATTTCATTTCATTAAATTAAATTACCCAGGCGGGTTGGGCTCCGTAGATCCGTCCTGTGTTTGTTTTATTCACTCACAGGAGCTGTCCGTGCCCTTGTCCTTGTCCTTGCCCTGGCTGTCTGTCTGTATGCCAACCAGTCTTCGACGAAAATCGCTGTAGCACGTCCGCGTTTGCCGGGTTGGTCTGGTAGATTTGACAGAAGGCCGGTTGACTGGATGGAGTCGGCGGCATAGTTTCGAAGACTCTGGCGTTGTCTGGGTGAGTGAGTGACCTGATTGTATTTGCCTTCAAACAGAGGCCGCTCGATGCCCTTTCCATTCGACATGTCCGTCTTCGTCGGTCGAGTGTTGAAACCATCTTCGCAGGGTCAATGCAGAGTTGTATCAAGTTCGATGATCGATCGACTCAAATTCCCCAGCCTTCTTTGTCTTTGTCTGGTTCAGCTTCCTTCGTGGCTTCTTCCTCCTCCCCAGTGGGCCCCTTCTTAACCACTTCTGCCCAGCTCTGTCCTTCTCTGTTGGGCGCTCCCTCGCCTTCATCCTTGCTATCACCGCCACTGTCGACGTTTTCGTCTCTTACGGCCTGACTCTCATCTATGATTCTGTCCTCTTCCTTCTTCTCTGCCTTGGCTTCTTCGCCCTCACCCGTCTCTGTTCCCGTCGTCTCTTCGGACCGTGTCTGGTTCTGATCCGTGCTGGGACCAGTCTCCTCTTCGGCGACGGTGCCATTTCCGTTTGGGGACTTCGACTCTGATTGCGCCTCTTCTGTTGCAGTGTCTTTTGCTGACTCGGAGACATCCTCGATTTTCTGTTTGACAGATTCAACCTGGCTTTCGGCGGTTCCTGAACCCACTTCCGAGTTGTCTCTCTCTTTGTCATCTATCGTTTGCCCTGTCTCTGTGTCTTCGTTGACACCTTCTTGGGACTGGGACTTTGCGTCAACTAAGCGTTCTTTCAATTGGCCCGCTTTTTCAGCAGCATAATCAACAGCAGCTCCGGCCTGTTCTTTCAGATCCCCCACCTTTTCTGTGGCATAGTTGACCACGGGTTGAGCCTGCTCTTTACCATTTTGGACCGCAGATTTGACACCCTCCATAGTCTTCTCAACAGTTTCAGCGGTAGAGTCTATCACAGCTTGCGCCTTTGCTGAAACCTTCTCCTTCGTGTCCTCGTCTTCTGCCTTCGCAACGGCACTCTTGACCTTTTCGGCAGTATCGTGTAAGTTCTTCCTGACCACTTCCATATCACGCTGAAACTCCTGTTGCACCTTTTCTGAATTGGCGCTGGCGGTCTGCTTGACCTTCGCCGATTGTTCCGTGATTGTGCTCTTGGCCTGCTCTGCAGCTTCCTTTAATTCTCTCCTGATCTCATCGCCATCCACAAGGACAGTATCGTCTCCGATATCGTCGGTGATGCGATGCATGTCTTCAAAAGCTTCGCTCAGCCTTCGCGCCACACCCTTCGACGCATCTTGAAAGCTCTTTCGCGCAACTATTGCAGTTTCACTGGCTGATCGACTTCGCCTTCTCTCGACTTGCTTGAGGTAAGACGTGATAAAGAACTGCAAGAACAACCATGTCAAAGGCAAGAGATACATGCAATTCAGCAGGATTGCAAAAACTTGACCACTCGTGTCGAGGCAATGGACCCATTGGAGCTCATCCCTGTACCTTGTTTCTTCTCGCTTGATGACATCTTCAACAATGTGGACAGCATCGACTCCAAATGGTTTGCCTTCTTCGTTCAACACATTCTCCGCAAGACCTTCATAACCTGCCCCTCGCAAGAGTGCTTTCTTAAGCCAAGCCCCCATACCGGCGGAGCCTGTTGATATTGCCGCGGACACAGTTGAAGCGATCTCTGTTGGAGCTTCTGACACGACCTTCGAAACAGCTTCTCCCACATGATAGATGTAGGGAACGCTGACCGGTATCTGGTATGCGACAAAGAGGTGGAGGAATGCATATGTTGCGCCAACGACAAACTGGGTGATTTGTAGGGTTGTCAGGGTCTGTTTGAACCATTTGGGAACCTTGATTCCCACAACCGAGCAAAGGTAGAAAGTATACTGTACTCTTGTCAGCAGATGGTCAAATTAGGTCGACAGGCAGAATTACCATGACTGAGTGAATGCCGGAATTGACCAGCACAAACATCCATATTGGTGGAGACATGTACCTAATACCAGCCCACATGCATAGCATTGCTCCAGCATGGTGATAGGTTTGCAAGAGACTGCTCCTCTTGCCCTTTGCCAGGATAATCAGTGTGTCCACGACTTCGTAGAACTTGGAAAGGTAGAACAGCCAGCCATAGAACGCCAGCCCTTCATTCCAGATGCGGCCCACATCCGTGGTCTCGGGACCAAGTCCATCAGCAGCCAGGTGCAATGCGCGGTTCGCCAAGTGCCATGCGCTGGTGGTTGCATTGTATGTCGCGGCACTTCCAGCTCCCCTCGGTCCGTGCATTTTGCAAAGTGCGTCCACAGTTCCAGCGACTTTCCACTCTTCGTTCCATTCCGGCAGAGATAGACGTAAGGCATTGACCATCCCCACGCAAGTCCATGCTGAGTATACAGCCAGGAAAATGTTGTGGACAATGACAAGGAATTTGAAGATGTATGTCCTACTGAATGCCCATGGCTTGTACTTGCGATTCGCATTGACTGAATTTAGGAAAGACACTAACGACATATACACCAGCGCGACTGTGATGGGCACCTGTGGTGACAGGAGGACATTGTACAGGTCCGTGGGGATCGTGAACGGGTGCGCAAGGGTCGGGTCGTTTGCTGGAGGAGGTACGGTCGTAGGCTCTGGTGACGGAGGGAATTTGTAGAAGCTGATCGGGAGGGTAGTGACCTTGACTTGCGGCGAAGTCTTGCTCAGGCTTAGCCAGTCAATAATGTCTGAAACCGACATAGTGGGTGAGCGACAACAAAATTGTGGTCGCGTGAGGAGATGCTCCAAGTCAACTTGCGACGAGAGGGAGAGCGGAGAGCGAAGAGCGCAGAGGTGAGGGAACAAGGGACAACTAAGGAGTGGTCATGAGCTAGACAAGAGGCATAATGAAAAGGAACAAGGTGCGCGACAAGTGACTCGCAAACCTAATGACAGTTTTAAGATGGAGGGTGGTGTGTTTTGCAGTGAATAGAACCTGGTGAACTGATGTGTGTATGTGTGTGCCTGACAGCAGTGCAGCTCTTAGACGAGTACGAGGTACCTGGTACGTCAAAGCTTTTTCTGTCCAGCCACATCAACGTCATGCCCGGTGCCAACCACCAAGAGCTGTCACTATCTCGTAAGGTGTGATCAACGCCCACCAGCCCCAGAGTAGCAGGTCAGGTATCCTAGTGGCTAGGTAGGAACGAGTAGGCACATACGTAGCCCACGAGGACAAAGGCCTTGCATCATCCGAGGTCTATAGGCGCTACTGGGTTTTTGGGGGTGGCGGCTAGTGAGGCCGGAAACTGCCGTTCGGGAAATACATCCGCAACTGCAAACGTCACCAAGAAAATAAAGTAGTATGAGTAGTTACTTGGTATTTGGTAGGGAAGGCACGGAGGACTCGGGACTCCATGTCTATCGCCATGTGTGCATTCCGGTTATGTACAAGGTATACATAACTTACCCTGGACCAAATATCACCGTCTACAAATGCAATCCATTGAACTTGCCAATAGGCTCTCGGGAACTAACATGCAGGCCATGGAATCCAAATCCAATCACACCATCGACATGGGCACGCCCGACCTCTGTCATCGTCTTCGCATCGAGCACAAGGAGATAACTCTTTCCCGCGGTCCCATCGAGAACCACCGACAATAGCACTCCGCCGTCTTCATCCCCAGATTGGGGGTCTGGCACGAATATCGGCTCCCCGGGGCTTTGACCATGTACACTCCACCTCGTTGTCGCATGTGTTTCGGCGTCATACTTGATAAGACCGTCGACGAAGGTAGATTTCCCGGTGTCACTTATTCCGTACATGTAACGATGCTTCTTTGTCACCATTCTGGGGTTAATGGTGGGCAGCTCGAATGCGTTGACCTTCGTGCTCTCGTACTCCAGATGGGCCTTTAAATACCCGGGGTTTGGTGTCGATGGGATGACCGGTAGGCGATATCGTCGATAGCTTGGTCGCGAACTGGAGCTCAATGAATCCGTGTAGGCATGAGCCTGAGGTTGATCGCTCATGAGGTTGTCGAGATAGAAGTGGTTAATAACATCCATATTTTCATATGCGGCCAGGTCGCACACGATGTCAACAGCGCCTTGCTGGGATCGCGATGGCTCTTCATATGCATTGATCGTGTGGAAGGAGTAAAATGCATCGGTAACATATTTGGCAATGACACCTTCTCCGCCCTCTTCTGGCGGCCGCTTATCAACCACAAACCAGGTGGTCGGCCGCTTGCCATCCCACACCATGGCATCCAGAAGATTTCGATTCCATAGAATAGATGCGCCACCCGCTCTGTAGAACGAGTTCCAGACACACAATATCACGTAGTCCTTGCTCAGAAAGAGCGAATGAAGATATGCCGGAGCGTAGTGAAACGTTGCCAAAATGGAAGTCTTCCCCGTGGATGCGGAAGTGCGCCATACGCGATACGTCCCAGTTCGACCAAAGTCGAGATTATAGTTGAAGACATCTCCTGTGGCAGGGTCTGACTTCGCATGTGCACCACTCCCAGCGCCCTTGAGGTCAGGATGAAGAACGCTCTGGTGAGCAATGCCCAGGGGCTCGAGAGTCTCCGGTTCAAGGAATTGCAAAATGTTGGCATCGGTTTTATTGCACAGAGTCATACCGCGGCTGGGTTCTTGCGGACCCTTTGCTCGATGGCCATCTCTTGTAAAGCCAGGGAGATTGACTGACATGGTTACTGCAGCGTTGACTTCGTTCGGCTTCGGGGGAGGCGCCGATGGCTGAAATACAGCCTGGACTTTCTGAAATAAGGATTTGCAGGGATCGTACTTTGCGGCAAATGTGAAGCCATCTAGCTTTCCGGTCTGTTTAATCTTTTCAATCAGGCCATCGCTGACCAAGCGAGAATTGTAAGTGATTCGCACTTGCGAATCCACCTGGGGCGCGTGTATCTGGAAACGATGAATCTGCGAGAAGTTGTCGAACCAGTGGTTGGTTTTGAACTCAGTGTCCTTCGATGTGCTGATCGTCCGTGGCCCCAGACCTGTACGAAACAGAGTGCCAGTGGCGTAGGCCGGTATGATACCTTGCACCCTCAGCTCAACAGCGGTCTTCTCTTCATAGTTTGCATCGAACTGCAGGCGGGACAAATTAGAATTGACCATGATTCAGATAAATGTGCTCACCCCCATGGCGTTTGGCCAGTCACGATAGTGCGAAATGGTCGCCGTCTTTGCCTCGTGGGTTCCCATTTTCGTCCTTGGAAGTCTAAGCGCAATAAGAACTTGACTGACCGTCTCTGAATGACACAGTGGGCTAGCCCTCAAGAAAGCCTGGTTACATGAGCCGATATTCTTGCCGGCAATCATGGCACATACCTGGCATAGGTCTGGTGGGATGGTTTCTGTGTCTTTCGCTTTATAGATCTCGATCCTATACCGCCGCCTTGGTGTAGCGGATTGAGTCTCTCCGTTCCGACGTGTTAAGGCCGCAAGGATGTTGGTACCAGCAAGGCTTGCTGGCGACAACCCTCAAAATCTTCGAGTGACCAAAACTGGTATGATGCGCGAAGCTGCAGTTATGACAGCCTTGCTGGTAAGCTTACGGCCGAGAGTGGTTGTAACGTTACCAAATGCATAGCCCTTCCGCGAGCTGTGGAGGATGCAATGAACTGACCTCGGAGCGTTTGCGAACTCTTGTATTGTATGCAAGCCAGATGTAGTTGTGTGATGAAGCAAGTGAGTGAGGTGGGATCATCAACCTGCGATAGGTGGTCAAGCACGGTAACAATGTCAGGTCAGGCATTCACCTCTTCACACCCAGAAGTGATTCGTCTTCCTTCCAGAGACCAATAACACATGAGAAAAGAACCCAGACGACAGTGGGCGAACACTCCCTTAATCAGAGGGGCCTGACGAATCACAATAACCCAGAAGGGATTGTGCATTTTGAACATGATTGCAGAGTCGCCTTCAACAGATCAAGAGTTTCAGTCAAGCCACTAGAGTCTACCAGCTCACATTGTTGAAGTGGGGAATGAAGCATTCAAGATTCACGCCTACATTTCGTCAGAATAGGCGTCGACGGTCTGGGTCTTTGAGTTTGACATATTAGATCTGTCGCTGGTGTCTCCAAGGAGTTTGTAATGGAGCTGGCTCGCTTCGTCGAGAACCAACGTGTGTTACGCACGGGCCGCCAAGAAAGCTGGGCTCGCTTATTGGCGAGAACCTGCATTCAAACAACTGATTAATTGGTCCAACTATACAGGTCATCGTCTGTATGTTCCATCGTCCTTCCACTGCCGTACTAGTCTGCTGTAACGACAAGTACTGGGAAGGTGCCTACCCTGCTACCCAGGTTTCTGTACCTCGCACACGCAAACTAACAGCCCGGGTTTGGCGCCCCGCGGTCAGGCGTTGACACCAGTCTTCATCCCCTTCAAAACGCACTCGCTTGTGCCATGACAGATCCACAAGATCATGCCTTGATTCCGGAGGACGACTACGACGAAGAGGCTGATAGTGACTTTGAAGTCGATGGCTCCGGTCCTGAAGATCCTACCTCTTCATCTGACGATGAAGGCCGAGATGCCAGCGACGCACTCCAACGACCCCGAAAACGGCAGAAAATCGACCCGCAGCAAGGCCAACAAGTGCTGATCACAGAGCTCGATTCGGGAGATGAAGCCACTGTACACGAACATAAGAAGAGTCGAAGGAAAGGCAAGAGAGATCAAGATGGTGTCCTGGAGCAGAGCGGAGATGAAGCAGAAGGATGGCGAGCGCGTACCCGTGGTATGCGAACCAAGGAAAAGGAAGAAAGAAGAAGGAACAAACTCGCATCAAGCAAGGGGAGCACCATCGATGTGAACAAAATATGGGAGGAGATGAACCGACCAGGTCCACTTCTTCCTCCTCGCGCGGAAGGTAGCGTTGTTGACCAGATGACACCAACAAAACAAGATGGAAAGCCACCAGATGCCGGGTTCGTGAGTAAGGATACTGACAAAGAAAATGTGCCTATCGTCGACGGTGAAGAGACCATAACGATTAAGCGGATATACAGATTCGCAGGTGAGGTGCATGTTGAGGAGAAGAAGGTTCTCAAGTCGTCGGCAGAAGCCCGACTGTGGCTGTCTCAGCAAGAATCCTCAAAGGCTGCAAACCCCACAACTGATGGCAAAGTCGTGAATCGACCGTTGCGCAAAATCTCCCGCTTTGACCCTAATGTCAACAATCCAGACGCCTTCAAAGGCTCTTGGACATCCAGCACGGCGCAAGAAGTCCATCTCAAAGGTCCCAAGCTTAATGTCGTCGAGAAAAGTAAGATGGATTGGGCTGAACATGTTGATACGGAGGGCCTACAGGAGGAGCTGAAAACACATGCAAAGGCCAAAGACGGCTATCTGACAAGAATGGACTTCCTGCAGCAAGTTGCAGAGCGCCAGGAAGCCGAAGCCAAAGTGGCAAGGATCAAAGGTCGTTAAAGGGTTGCTACTGCACCTGCCTACGTATGGTATTGCTGGGCCTCAGAGTAGATTCCTCTCCCCAGACAAAGGTCATAACGCATACTACGACTTTCGTCGGTCCTGCTTTCTCTTTTGGCGCTGCTACTTATTAGTGGCTATGGGACACCCAAGACCGCGCCTCTTCAACCTCAATGCACACCGAGGATTTCGCATTATCCCACTTTCACTGCAGACTCGTGACCCACCGTCTCAAGCCGTGCTCGAACGTTTTGTTTCGTGCGGGACAGACTCGATCACTGTCAACTACCTGGTTTTGCTGAAAACACTTCCCTTTTGCTTCAACACCGCTTCTCATGGAGGGCCGTTCCACTTTTTCCGACCTCAGGATGCGCGAACAGGGTCCTCGGCCTCCTCCTTCATCCTTTATCGGTACACGTTGTACAACACCGAATGGCTTCGTAGGCAAAGGCAAAGGCCACCTTACGAAAAGAATGCCGTCTGCCTCGCCGTTGAGGACGGTGGACACAAACACATGCTCCACTTCTCCAGCTCGGCCAGCCTTGTCTGCAAGGGCCTCAGTTACGTCAAGAACAAGCAGCATCCCCATCACTCCTCTCGACGACATTCCCGAGAGTCTGTGGCCACGGGTCATCCGCACTACTACTGCCGCTGAGATCAGCAACCCCGAGCTTTCGATCGACGAGATTACCTCCACAAAACTGTCTCTCGACGACCAGGCCATTTTGACCAATGTACCGAGAGAAAGCAGTCGGAAGGAGACACAATCCCGTAGACTTGTTAAGAAAGTGGCATTCGGTGGTATATGGGGAGAGAACAACGACCGTCTCAAGAAGATGACGAAGAGGCTGAAGAAGATACCAAATGGCTTATTCACCCGTAAAGAGAGAGGCTCGCTCGGAACACTGACACACTCAACAAGTCACTCACAGCCTGTTCCAGAACCGTCGCTGCCACCATTGGAACTCACAAGTGAACTCTGTGTCAAGAGCACCTGCACATCGTCAAACGTGGGAGACTGTGACGCGAGAAGATCTAACGCACCCATGGTAAGCCACTTCGCCAGCACTCGAGACTTTAGCTTTATTGACATACGCGGAGAAGATGGACTACGAATGCAAAGTCAAGGAGTCAGAGTCCTGTGTGGAAGAGATGGCAAAGGTACGACAATGAGCATCGGTCCAGAAAGTCCCACCTAACGACGTCTTCGAGATATCCTCTCTTATCCGCAAGGATCTTCATGAGTTTACAAATAAAGACCGCATTTTGCCGCTTCAAGGTCCTGGAAATTATGAGGTCCCATGTGCCCTCCCTCTTCACCTCTGATGTCTGCTAACTGTTCCAGCCTTTACCTCGTCACTTGCCTCATCACTTCACGCAACCCCCGGCTTATGCCTACGCAGCTTCCACCTCGACTCTCAACTCGATCCATGTTGCCGAAGACCGCTTGCTGCATGGTCCACGCTCGTTGAAGGCATTCTCTCGTCATAACGGTGTCGCGAGGGCGTCGTCCATTGGGAGCGTGGAAGAGATGCGCAGTCACGCCTTTGGAAGCCGAAGAGTCAGTCGACCCAGCTTGTCCAGTGGACCAGCCAGGCACAGATCTGCCCCAAGTATCAGCCGGATATCGCAATCAGCCTCACGCCCTGTCACCCATGCAGGATCGATATCCTCAGTAAGCGCTACGATAGTCCCTCCACGGAGACAAGTTGTATACATGGATACGCCTAGCTCATGTTCTGAATTCTTTTGGGATGGTCATGACTCGAAGAAGCGCCCATCGACATCCTTTACATCGCGGCCCGTGTCCAAAGGGGGCTCTTTTCGAAGCAGCCAAGATGGCCACGCGTGTCTATCTTTGAACCTTGCTCCAGAGGTCGAACTCGGCTTGGGGGAGTTGCCCGGCTACAACAAGGTTCCGCTATATGCCCCTAGGAGAATTGAATTGGCAGAACCCTCTGAAGTATCACCACTCGACGAGGCATCTGAGCACAAACAGAAATTTTTCCTTCATTCCAAGCTGAAGAATTCCAATCCAACCATTTCGGACGTCTCATTCGCATCGCTGCAAGGACAAACTTCCATCCGGTCACACCTTGAAAGAGAAGCTATGATTCAAGAACAAGAAAGCGAGTCTGAGACCCGTCCATCTATGGGGGGTTGTGAGAAGCTCTCCCGAGCTTTTTGCAGTGCTTGGTCGGAGACGACTACCCGACGCTGGCACAAGGGGTACAAGCGTCATGGTATGTAATACCGTGCCATGGCCTGCATTACATAAAGCCCGCTGGGACCAATGCGCTACAAGAGGAGATGATGCTTGGTTGGACTCAGCACTGTCCGGATTGTCTTATCAAGAGCTGGTCTTCATTGTAATAACCCAAGGACAAGCAGGACGAGTTGAGGCAATGATGGATGATGGAATTCAACCTACTAAAGTTGTTCTCAGTACGAGCGTTGGGAGATTTGTCCTCTCTCCATAGCAGAAGTTCCACTCTCCTCCACTGATCATGCTCCATGCAGGCATTATATCCACGTTAAAAGCAATGTCGCCCTTACCCTGGCCCTGGTTGTACTCGTCCTTGGACTCGTGGTCATCCCAGCCGGGACCAAGATGCGACCAAGACGCGAAAAAGCTTGGCACGCATCACCATCAATTTTCCAAGTCATGCAGCGGAATCTCTGTTTATTCATCTCGCTTTCAAAACTTATTCTTACATCGCGGGTCAGCATTCTTTTTCACCCTCTTTATTTGGTCTTTTAGATTGACGCCAGTTATTTTGCAGGGGTTTCTCAACTAGAGACCGCTGTATGCATTGACAATTGCCGCGCGAGTAACCAACAACCTCCTGCGCAATGCCCCTTTTTCTTCCCGGTACTGGTACAGGTGTAAGATCGAAGTGCCGACTTTGAGAACAATGACATCCCAACTTTTCCATGTGACCCAAGTTCTCACCTGTTGATACAGCCAAACAAAAACATATTTTTAATCACACATCACAGAAAAGTAGATCAGAAGGGGGAACGGAACGGTCTGCACAACTGTGTCTGTCCGATTTGTCCCTCTCAGAATGACCGTTGCAGGCCGTGGCACATCAAAGTGAACACGACCAACATGAGCATGGCAGCTGAGTCTGGGGTCAATGGATTGGATATCCGTTTTTGTCGAGCTCGCCCACCCAGTCGGGATCATAGAACTCGCTGTTCTTATCCAGAGTGGCAACGTATCGATTTCCTCTGACCCCTGGTCTTTTGGAGTGAGTATTTCTCAAATGACTTTTCAGATTGTCTGTCCTCGAGAATGGTCTGTTGCATTCGGGGACCCAACACTTGTATGTTGTGTGCGTAGACTTTTCATGTACAGTCTTCTCATGACGCTTCTTGTGCTCCTGCCTTTTGAATCGCTTTTGTTTTCCAGTGTGTTTGTCGACACATCCGGGATAGCTGCAGGCAAATTCATTTTGTGCGATGACCAAGTCGCAATTCATGCCGGTCCCGACTGGTGGCGCTTTGGGCTTTGACGACGAACCAACCGGACGCTTTCGCTCATAAGGACGCCGGTGAAGCCGGTCAGTGTTTGTTCGTTGCCTTTTCAATGCACTGACATTATGTTGCAGGGGACCACATGACATCTCATCCACACCGTGCTGTGAAGGCAGTATTTGTGGTGACATCACCGACAAAGGACTACTGCTCAAGATGGCAGATGGAGGTATGTGCAGCTTCAGAGGCGTTGATGGTTCGATCTTGTAAATTGGAGAACTAGCCAAGGTCGCGTGAAATGCCACACTTGGCTCTATTGTCTCTGAAGGAGGATGGATGGCTGGTGAGCTCCATTGAAGCGGATCGTCCTCCATTGCTGTCATCATCGCACCTGACCCAGTGCCTAAGGATCCAACAAACATCGCTTTCGTCAGCGCTGGATTTGTGTTTCTATGACTCAGGCCTTGTATGTCCGGATGAAACGGCGGACGGCTAGCCTCTGCCAAAAGCAGCTCATGCGTACCACCCATAAAGGACAGGCCAGAGTACCCAGGAGCCTCCCACAACGATCTATGAGCGTCGTGCTCATCATCTTGCGCAAAAGCGAAGATATGGTGGTTGCCATGAAGGTAAGCCATGGGTTTTACGTATTGTTTTGTCATCAAGTGCTGCCCGGACTCGACCATCATCGGGGTTATAGGGCTTGCGGTTGCTGCTGACGGAGTCCAGAAAGCTTCGGGTGAGGCCGAGTAAGTGGATGATGCGAGCGACGGTCGACGTAAGCCGCCAGAATCTGTACTGGCTGCATCGGAAGAAAAGAGACTGGACGAAAGCGAAGGACATTCTCCCACGAATTCTGGCGAGGACTCTCTATCAAATTCTGGATGATTCGGCCGAGGCAACATTTCGAAAGAGCTTTCTTCAGCCTTCAGATGCGATTGATATACTGGACGAAGAGTCAGCATGCTGTCCACACTACCATGTCAGGATCCTAGGGCCTCACGAACCGATTCCTTCTCGACAATGACGGGACATTTTCTGCCTTTGACTTTGGGATGTTGCCAACGCTCGACGCAACAGAAGGGTTGTTGAGGGAGGATGTGGAAAAGACGGGGGAGCGTGGGAATAAAAGGCCTGTTACGTCGCGCTTGACCTCGACACACGGAGCGCGAATGTCTTGAACAGAATGCAAGGCGAAAATATGTGTTTTTCCACCGAATGGATCGCGAAGTGTGGCCTGCCGTCTCCACCCTACATTGATTGACGAGCTTTGGCCACCGGGGCTGTGGAAGTTTCAGTGAGTCGAAGCCAGATCTGTCGACTCCGAATTCCTGAAAGAGGGATCATCGAGACACGACAGACCCCGACTTGGAAGGCCTCTATAGCATCGGGCTTCAAGACTCGATAGAACGGCAAGGGGCCCTTGTTCGATGGATCCCGACGAAGTTACAGCACAGGTCCATTGGTCGCTGACACCCACCCAGGATCGGCACAGGGGCTTAGGATCGGCTTTGCCAGATTCTTGCCCTTGAGTGAAGCCTAAACCACCTCCAGAAAGCCTGGCTACTTTCATACGCGCAACGGGCGCCAAAAGCGGGAAGTCTAGAAACGAAGGTTTTTCACGTGCGAAAGGCCTTGACCGGCTCCAAACCACAGATCTCGGTCAAGAGCACACATGATAGAAGAGATCCCCCATTCGTGCACCTCGGTTCCCCGGAAAATCAAGACTCTGCAGGCTCACCAGAAGCATCCACAGCCTTGCATCATGCTTGATTCCAAGATAACCGAATAATTCACGATAATGCAACCCTGCATTGTTATCGATTGTACTATCACTTAAAGTGCTTGCATCCTAGCCACTACCTTGCAGAGTGTCAATTTTGTCAAGATGGAATGACAGATGCAGCCACCGAGAGAAAATGGAGGTGGTTGAGAGCTATGAGTGGACATCCTTGTTTCACACGACAGTTGCACACTAGAGTGGAGTGTGCCGCTGTCAAATCCAACCCCCTCGACGAGCAACGAAGTATTGAAGGGGATGCCACCAGCGCAAGAAAGGTCCCTTTTCTCTTCCTTGAGATCTGGTTCCCATGCTTAGCTGAGCGATGGAGGAGAATCCATCCAAGTTTGTTTTTTGTTACTTCGATTCCAAGAGGATTTGAGGACGAGTTGAGGAGGGCTTTCTTTCAGCTCTGACCAACCACAACACCATCCCGGGGTTGTGTAAGGGGGTGATGGCGTTTCAGGTTGGCGGCATGCTCAATTCCTGCCGGGCTTGGTCCAGCAGGTATGTGCTTGACTGCCACGAAAGCAAACCAAGTCAAGAGGCGACTGTGGCATGAATGCCAAGCGCAGGCAATGTAGGCGCATTGACCATATTGCAGGAAGTCAGCGAACCACAGCCAATGCTCATCAAAGACTCAGTGTCTCCACCTCCAGCTCCCAGTGTGGTATGTGGCGCCGTTATTCTGTTATTGGACCGCGAATCTGAGACCCAGAATTGACAGCTACTAGAGGCAGTGTGTCGTGCATACTTACATCACATGTCCTGGGGGTGTTCCCTAGACTGTCTCGCGGTGTTTACCGAACGCTGGTCGCAGGAGCTGTTCTCACCCACAGTTGAAGGATGTATTCGGTCTTTCTGGGTCGTGGCCTGTGCGTTGCATTCCCATCTGCAGATCTCGAATTGCCAGGAGAGCCCTATGCGAACTACCTGCGAACCATCCAGCCCAATATGCAGCTTTGAGAGGCTGGGATTCGAACATGCGCCTCCACCCACACCTGACAGCGAGGGTACTTGAGGAGCAGCGCTTATGGCCTCGATAAGCATGCTCCACAATGCTTCGAGCCCATTCAATCTGCGTTGATTGTGGTGTGCTGCTCGGCTCTACAGCTCCAGCACGATCCGGCCAGGTACATCTCCCTTTTCCAATAGCTGATACACGTCTGGCAGGTCCCGAAAAGGTCGCACTTTCACATGCGGTTTGACCTTTCCACTACGGACCAAATCCACTGCCTCGAGCGTTTCTTTCAAGGACCCCACGAGATTGCCCTGGATCTTGAGACCTCGGATGACAATGGTAGCCACCGGCGTGTCCAGATGCACGTCCCCAGGAGGTATACCCACAATGCATAAAGATCCACCAATCCGGACCAGGTCAGCAAGCCTTCGGAAGGCTAATGGGTGGCCACTTGTGACCACAACGGCATGCGAACCCCCTCCAGTAATGTTTGTGATCTCCTCTGTGAGGTCCTTGCACTTTGAGAAGTCGACATATTGTGCCCCAAACGACTCCACAAATCGCTGCTTGTCAGGACCTGCATCGACTCCAAGCACCCTTGCACCTAGAGCCAGGCCATATTGTACTGTTTTTCAATGTCAGCAGACACTCGATGGATGCGAGGTGCAAGAACAAGTCGAACCTGCAAAGTGGCCCAACCCGCCACCCGCTCCGATGACAGTGAGCCATTCTCCTTGTTTTACATTTGCATTTTTCACAGCCTGGTACAATTAGCATTTTTGTACGCTGTTGAGAATGGGATAGACCTCACTTTGTAGGCAGTCACGCCGGCACAAAGAACTGGTCCAACGACCTTTGGATCCAGGTCTTGGGGCAACTCGGTCAAATACTTTGTGTCGAGCACACAGTATTGCTGGAAACTGCCGTCTTCGTGGTGCAGATGGTTCGTTGCATGAGGGCAGTGCTGGTCTCGGCCAGAGGTGCAATACTCACACTCATGACAAACACGAGACGCAAAACGAATGCCCACCAATGTGCCTAGCTGGAGCCTGTCGTTTGGAGACAAGTTGGGACCAAAAGCAACCACACGCCCGACTCCTTCATGTCCACCCACATGAGGCAGTTTTATGTTTGTGATAGGCCGACCGTCAGCCCCAGTAGCAGTCCCAGCCTTGGTATGGAGATCTGTGCAAGTCACAATAAGTCTTCAAGTCGTCAAAGCCGAATGAAAGGCTGTATTTGACCAACCACTTTGGCAGACACCAGTATACAAGATTTTGACTAGGATCTCATCGTTGTTGGGAAGGGTGACTGGATAATTGTCATCGAACTCGACCGGCCCGCCTTGCTCACGGACTATTGCAGCTGTCTGCGTCTTCGGGATGCTGTTTACGGCCATTGGGCAAATACAAACAAGAACTGATACGTTTTCGTGATGGATGCCACTGCTCTTGTCGGGGCAGATGGCCTTTTATCCAACAGAGAGGCTCTTTACACTGCACTAACAATACAGGAACGCTGAACGGGCCATGAAGTCAGCGAGCAATGATGGCGACAAGTTACACAGGCACATGGGGGTTTTGTGGCGTCACAAACAAGCAGAAGGTCACATCCACTGTCTTCCACAACGCTGGCCATCAAAACAGACGGGCTGGTCAGTCGTGGGATGTTGCGCCCTCACCCCGATTTCTTATTTGCTTGTCAAGCTTGTTCCGTCCACTCTGGTGGCCCTGCATCATAGACCCCGCATTATGACTGTAACCGCATCTGGGCTTGGAAGGGGTTTCGTGGTAGGTGTCATCGATTGGGTCGACCTGACTCAGGGGTTCAACTATTACAAGGTTCATGTCAAAGAGGCTGGCTATTGCATTGCAAGAGCCCGGGACAAGATCAGGGCCGTTCGTTACGGGTGTCGACCGAGGGAGAAATCCTAGAACCAGAAAGCTGTCAATAAAAGCGGAACATCAAGATGGCTTGAAACAGGCTCTTGCTGGAGTCACTATTGGTCTTGAACTCAAAGTCCAGGTGACAGATGCCAAGGGCTTTTTTATCGGCGACTGGATGGCCCGGTATCACACCCAACAAAGAATGAACATGTGCAAGGAGAATGCAGGCAGATGAATCGACAACTGCAAGCACTATAAAGTTGATCAATTGAGCGTGGGGTTGAGTGATTGTGCCCCATGCCCCTGGGGTGATCACTCACCAACGGTGCAACCCTCCCCACGACCCAAAGTTGAGGTGTACGTGGTACATAGATAGATCCGGTGGATAGATCTGCACACTTGGTGGCTCAAGGAAGGCGGGAGAGCCGAGCACATCAATGCTGAACGGCGTTGCATTGGTGGCGTCAAAAAAGGAGTTGTGGTTTCGTGGCTTTCGATGGCTGGGTGGCTGGAGACCCCATATCACGTGCCGTACCCAAGACTTGTCTATGACGTCAAAGCAATCCAACTCAACGCGCTTCCAGAAAACTGCGCCTCTATCGTGCCTCGACCAGCAACCGTGGAACTCCATCCTCCATACTTCAGACAGACATCAACTTGGCTTCATGATACTATCTCAAGACATACAGTTGAATCGGTGACGCGACCTTGACCGCGCGCGCGCGTGTGGAACTCCCGACTCAGTCGGTATCCGCCCTCAATGGTGTCCTCGCCCTATAACCCGGCCTGCTACCTGCCTCAATCATGGGCCTGCTACCTCCCACAAGCGATCTCTTGCCCTCCACCACCGTCATTCGCCCAGACCCTCTATAGCTATGCCATCTCCCCGTTCTCGTCGACATACACCACCTTACGCACCATATGGGACGCGCTCATCGGGTTGCCGATGCTCTCTTTCCTTCTCATCCCAACCATGTCCTCGTACTCGACCTCCCTCAATCTCTTGTTCTTCTACTTGACCTGGTCAACCCTGGTCCTTTCACACCCTCCGCTTCGGGTTGAGATTGTCGCGACCCTCGCTGTACGGATCCTATTCTATCTCGTTCCATCACTGCTCTTCTTAGGCTTCGATGTGCTCGTTCCTTCTGTGGCCGAAAATTTCAAAGCACTGGGCGACTCTGCATTGCCATTCAAGAACGCTGGTCGGAGAAAGACACTGCTTCTGTCGCGCATAGTGGGCTGGTCAATATTCAACCTCTTCCTGGGCGTTGTGGCCCAAGCTCTGATGGAACTCCTCTTCACACGCGTCCTCTTATGGCCTTCTGCATTGCGTGTGACAACGGCGCTGCCCCTGCCATGGGATATACTCAAGGATCTCGTGCAGGGATATCTCTGCCGCGAGATGATCGGGTACATGTTGCACCTAAGCTTCCTGCACGACTGGCGGCATAGTGTTCCCTTGAGCCGGGCGCACGGAGAGTGGTATCACGCCCTCGCTGATATATCCGCGCCTTTTCCACTCAGTGCCACTTACGACCACCCAATTGCCTACCTCATCCGCTCATTCTTCCCAGCTTATATTCCGGCGATGCTCTGCCGGTTTCACCTTCTGACCTATATCTTCTACCTTGCACTCATTTCGCTGGAAGAGACATTCGCATACAGTGGATACTCCACGATGCCCACCAATATCATTCTGGGAGGAATTGCACGGCGGACCGACGATCACTTAATATGTAACGGCGAGGGGAACTTCGGTCCCTGGGGACTGTGTGATTGGTTCATGAAAACATCCATCGGCGACGACATCATTGACGACATGGTCGCAGAAGCAGACATGCACGACGTGCCGGAAAGGTTGGACAGGTTGAAGCAGAGGGCGAAGAAGAAGGTCAACGGGAAGATGAAAGAAGCGAAGGGAGTTACGCAGAGAAGGACAAGGAACCGCAGAAGCGAGGAGTGACGCTGGAGTCGATGGGCTGTTTGCAGAGACCAATATACTTGATGGCTGTCAGCATTGGACATAAAGGCATTCTTGGAAGATAGGTTTGGATCAATCCATTACTTTGGAGGTGATGCTTGACACATTTTGTCTGTATTTGATCTCTTGGGGCGCGATAATGAGATGACATTATCTATCGGCCATGATTTGCTCAAAGCTCCGTCTCTGTGTTTGTGCGAGATTCTTCTTCTCCCCTTTTTTCTTCTGGTTCCGGCATCGCAAGATCATGGCTCAGACCGCTCCTCATCATCATCCTCCTCCCCTCGCCTCCGCCGCCATTCCCACTTGTCACAGCACAGCATAGCTCAGCTTAGCTTGGTGTTGTTCCCATGTTTTTTTTGGTTCGTTTTTTCAAGGTTTCCTTAGTGGTAGTGGTGATGAAGGGAGGTGGAGGAGGTGGTGGTGGTGGTTGTGGCGCTGCAAGCATACACACATGATAAAAAAAAAGACGCCCCTCCGAATCTCGGTTTTTCTATCTTGGTTCCCCGTCAACCCTTGCGCAACATCAATTGCCTCTGCCCCAGTTTGGATCTTCTGCTGCAGCCACGACGAGCAAAGAAGCAAGCACCCCCTCTGCCCTGCGTCTGCAACACACTTGTCCCCCGCCGCTCCCTGACAACACATCCACCATTTTCCGGCTCCTGCTCTCAAAAAGTCGCGCGACTTTTCGGGGCGTGGCTCCGGGCTCAGAAGGCCATCTCGTGGGGCTTCTGGCTGTGTCTCAGGCTGAAGCTGGACTTGAGGTAGCTCGCGAGGAACTCTTCGTTCTTGATGGCGGACAGTATGGGCTTGTCAACGGCCTTCTGGTCGGCAGCACGTTGGGATGCCGGAGCCTTCTTCTGTAGTGCGCGAAGACGGGTGTTAGTCTCCGAGAGTCGTAGTGAAAACTTGAGATACAAGTTATGGGGTGGTGGGGTTTTTTCCTTACCTCAGGCTTCTCGCCCTGCTTCAAGAAAGCCTCCTCGCCCTTCTGCTTCCGGCTCTTCTTTTCCCGCGCGAAGTACTCTGGGCTGGCAATCTTATCCAGCGTTGACTGATCCAGTCCGCTGATGTCGACCTTTGTGGATGTGGCAATGACGTATCTGGAGTTCACTCGTCGGAGAGGCACTCCATTGATCTTGAAAGGACCGGTGACCAGGAGTGCGCCTTCCTTGAGGTTCTTGAGGAGAATGACTCGCTTGCCGCGGAATCGACCGGCGAGGAGGATCAGGACAGCGCCAGGTTGTAGCGATGCTCGAGGTTTGGCTGGGTGAAGCGTCTTGCGGGCCTGTTCATTTATTGCTTCAGTCAGCACACGATCGAGGTTCGTTCGAAACAAGATACGCAAGCACACAAAGCCCCCGACATCCAGAACTCGCTCGGCCCATGGAGTTGAACTCGAGGTGAAAGACGGGGATGCTCTGGGAAGGGCATCCAATTTTTTGAGAATTTGACTCACCTTCTTGCGTTGAGGCTCGTCGTAGGCGGGATACCACTTTCTGGCCTTCTGGGAGTGATGGGGCACAGACCGCTCGCCGGAGCCGAACTTCTTGACGACGGCTTGGTTGGCCTCCGTGGAAGACATTTTGACCTTCAACCTTGACCACGCGGGCTGGAGATTCGAGAATGAGTTTCGTGGTGTTGTTCGCCGGATTGTGTGGTGGGAGAGTCGATATCAAGCGCAGAATCGGGAAAGTGTGCGGTTTCATTTCTTGGCGTGGGCCAACGCCCCCGATCTTGGGTGCAATGGAAATTCGCAATTGGGGTTGTGGACAATCACGTGGTTGGCTAACTTTCCTCAAAGCGTTGGTGCAAGTGCCAAGATCGACATTGCGTTCTAAGAAGCGCATGCTGCACCCTACCAGTTCATTCGGCTCGGCCCTGTATTATGACCAGGTACGCCAGGCTTCAAATGCTGTCGTCTGCTATTCAAATTGCCCTTCTCAGTGCAACCACCTCCCAGACTTCAGGATCGTCGCGTGTATAAGCATTCTGCATTTACTTCCAGGTCTCAAAAGGTCAATTTTACCTCTAATATCACGTTTCTTTCTCAGATTGGGCCTTTCTGCATTCGTTTTCCTTGCATCATCTCCATACCATGTCGATTTCACCCATCCTGACGTTCAAGGCGGGGCTCTGTGAGCTTGATGTAAGTGTCGAAACCCCCTATTTTTGCTGTTTATTTTCATCTGCTAACAGCTATATTCCCAGACGAGTACCTCGCCTCCACGAGCAAAACCTCTACCAACTCCAGGATACCTCTACCTCTACGCAGATGAACTCCTCCACCTATGCTGGCGACCGAGGACTGCTCCTTTGGACCAGCCGCAACTCGACTTATTGATGGTGCCAATGGACGGATCGTTCACCCCCTACCAGCCTACCAGCGCGGAAAACCCTTCCAACTCGAAGACGCCCACGAACGGAAGAATCTACGTCCTCAAATTTACCTCCAGCTCTCAGAGACACCTCTTCTGGCTACAATCGCGCAGTCAGCATCCGCAAGGTGACCCGTCATGGTTCTCCGCTCGAGATCTGAAGCTAGGCCAGATCGTGAACAATCTCCTTCAAGGCGAAGACGTCGATGTCCAAGAACAAATGGCTAGTTTACCTCCCGATGGAAATTCCCCAGACGACGACGGGGCAGAGCCCATGGAGGATGTGGAAGGCACAGATCATAACCCCAACCGCCGCCCTTCACAAGGTCCTGGAGCTGGTCCAGATGCCACGGGCGGGGATTTTCGAGAAGAAGGAGAAGAGTCACGCGAGGGCGGGGCGGATGGCGGACGAGCGTAGGTACTTGCACCCCACGTCGTGCGTTTTTCCTCCCGTACCCAAGTTACTTTTCTGACTCTCCACGTCAGGGCGGCCGCTGAGGGTCTGGATGCCAGTGCCTTGGTTCGGAACTTTCTTCAATCCATGGAACAACGTCCCCAGCACCAGGCGCCGCAGGAGAAGCTGTTCACATCACTAGGTGACCTGCTGACGGGGTCATCAACTTTGCCATTAATTGAATCAGCCGATGACAAGTTGTTGGACCGCTTGTTTGAATGTCTCCCGACCCATCTGTCAGAGATGGTGCGGGCTTCGGTCGACACGTCATCCTTACAAGACCCAAACTCGGCCCCGGAGCAACGGGACGCGGTAAAAAGGCAATTGACCAATTGCAAAAAGGCTTTGTTGCGCAGAGTGTTGCACACGCCGCAGTTCACGCAAAGTTTGTCCAGTCTGACGATTGCACTGAGAGAAGGTGGTCTTCCGATAGTCAGTGAGACCTTCAAGATCCCGGTTCGTAATGGCGGATATCTCAGACACGGCGGAGTACCTATGGGTGGAGGCGAGGCTGTGGAGGCGTTCATAGCAGGAGTGAAAAAGGACGTCGAAGACAAGCTCGCAAAAGGAGACGAGGATGGGGCAGGCGACCGGATGGATCAAGACTGAAGGTCGACACATCTATCTTACAACGAAGCCAGAAACTACCTCTACTCACATAAGTGTGGTTCTCGGGCATGTTGTCAGATTCGACCCATCAGAGTGTTCGCCTTTTTGCAGAACCAATCGGTTCAAGTTCAAAGCTCTCCATAAATTAGTTCCAAGATTCCCCAATACACAACCATGTCGACACTGCTACACAACTTCTCTGATCAATAGATTCTGGGAAAGCATGGCTTGCAAAGAGATGAGCAAAGAAACTTCAGCTGATTTTCATGTCCCAGTCTCGTGTCCCTTCACAATCGATGAAATTGAGATCAATGGGCTGACGAATTCAACGACGTACCTAATCCGAGAGCATGATCGGTACGGCGAATTCCCGCACATCTACGCGAAGATATGCGGTACTCCATCATCTGGCACACCACACATTCATCCCAATCTAAGGCACAGAAAGGTGTGTTGGGCACCTAGCGTTGCGGTTCAAAATGAGTTGGAAGGATATAAAGTCATTGTCCTTAGCGACACTGGTTGCGGGACAGAGGTGCCCAATTCAAGGCCTCAGCCGTCACCTCCAACGCAGCTCCATGACGAGCAGCGCCAGTGCAAGATACGCACTGAACCTGCGGTGTGGAATATCCGAACATTCCTTGAGTACACGATAAACCCTGGTGGAAGGATACCTTACCTCGTCATGACTACCCATTGCCACTATGACCATATCATGGGCATTGGGAGATTGCCTCCTACTTCGACTGCGACAGACTACGAGAACAGCAAAGACCATGTATCAGACGTTTGCCTTTCTGACGAATCAGCCCGCCCTCGAACGACGGTTTTGTCCTCCTCTTACGGCAAATCGTTCATTACACCCTACTCCAACCTCCAGGACCACAGCCTTTGCGATAAACTCGGTCTCCAGGCGCCGAGGTACGATGTTGGAATCTGGGCCGCGGACCTATCCCACGTTATCTTTACGCATCCGACTATCTCGTCCTCATCTCCTGCGAAGGTCTCTCCGCGACCGCTGCCCGTCAGCATTACAACACCCTTGACGATCCTCCATACCCCGGGGCACACTCCGGACTCCCTATCATGGTACGACTCAGACCTCCGGCTCTTATGTGTCGGAGACAGCTTCTACGTCAAGGAGACTGCAGTCACTCAGGATGCAAAGTGGGGTCCAGAACCGCCGATGCCGGTCATTTTCGACCTGGAGAGTGATTTGGGACAGTGGTGGTGGAGCCTGAAGAAGGTCTTGGGCTTTGTCCGAGTGAGGAATGCAGAAACCGAGAAAAGGGAGGTTCGTGAGAATGAGGGCTTGCAGGCGGAAGCGAAAGATTATGACGAAGTCGGCACCGATGCAGACGATGACGAGGAATTCGTATACATCGACGCCGACGAGCTGGCGCCCACTGCTTCGAAGAACAGTGTGGAAGTGGCGGCTAAAGAAAGAGCACGGCCCACCCTGCCATCTCATTCCGTGGAAGAGTCGAAAGAGCATGCCAATGTGAAGACAGTGCCAAAGAGAATCGTCACAGGAAAACAAGAGACACGGACGAAACAAACGGGCTTCGACATCCCTTCACCCAGCAAACGCGGCGTCATTGCATTACCGATCCTTTCCGCACCAGAGGGCCGCCTCCCAGCAGATACAGACCAGGCTGACGACGTGTGGATGATGGTCGTCGACCCAGTCGCTCGACCACGTCCTCAGCGCCAACTCGACCACCCACCGCGCTTCGGTCTGAACCCAGTAATAACCTCGCACCGCGTGCAGCCGGGTCTTCCGGACCCCCGTCTTAAAAGGGAGGGAATTCGTCCTCGTCCTCGTGACCTGTCGATCCCCCAGGTGCAGACCCAACCCCAAGGCTTCGCGACAAGGCGTCCCAGAGTCCGCCTCTGTGCTGCGCACACTACGCTCTCCGTCGATGCAGAGCGAGCCATCCTCTCGATCCAGCGCTTCATGACGAGGATCCTCGAGAACGACGTGCCGTGCAGACGAGCCGAGGACGGCCCCAGAGGTGAGGAGCGCTGGATATGGGACGACGCGCTCTCTTCCCCTATCTCGAGCGCCACCCAGACAGACACGGATGTCATGGCGATGAAGGAAAGGCGCGATACCAGTGTCCATGCAGAACGCGCGGAGCCTGAGCAGGGACATCGCCGCGGGACTAGAATGGCCGTGAGTGCGACGCCTGCTAGGTCCAAGTCGAAGCACAGCTACAGCTACAGCGTCGTCGCGCCGCTGAGTGTGATCAACGAAGGCCGGAGAAACATTCTCGGCCGTCACCGTCACCGTCACCCAGCTGGGGTGGTCTAGATAGCATTCTTTTTGGTCTGACATCGCACGACGCACAATGCACTTGGGGGTAAGTAAATAGAGGAGATACATACCTATGTAGGTACGTACTCGACGTGGGAGAAAGACGATCGAAGGAAATAGATTGCGTACCTAGGTATATAGTGCAGTCGGGGTTTCTCCCGTGCGTATTATATTGCCTTCGATATTGTTGGGGGAGTATATGAGTATCTCTTCCAATTTACAACCATAGTTACAGTTCCAGTTGACAATCCATGAGCCAGCCAGTCGACCTGCACGGCTTGCTTCTAGACGCGGGGGGAGAGAGTGATTATATACCTCGCAGTCTCAAAATCTGTGCTATGGTGTAGGCAATACCCATACTTGGTAATGTCTCACAACCAACCAATAATAATCACATTATTGGTTTGCTTACAAGAGAGAGAGGGTATATCATCCCAGGGCCATGACAATATGACAATACGGAGGACAGGAAGGATAGCAGAGACAAGAGATAATGATGGAGGAAATGAGTTTGCTATGTTCAATCGCTCTCGTCGTCGCTTCCAATCTCGACGTTTCCGTCGGGGAGGAGGCGACCGTTGGCTTGTCTAGAGTCGTCAATCTCGATGTCATCGTCGTCATTGCCATCGCCGTGCTGGGCACCGGTCTCATCGTCGTCCTCATCGTCCTGTTCTTCGTCCTCATCGTCCTGTTCTTCGTCCTCGTCTTCCTCTTCTTGGTCATCATCCTCATCATCATCATCCTCCTCTTCTTCATCTTCCTCGTGCTCGTCGTCGTCTGCTTCCTCGACATCTTCGTCTCCGCCTTGGTTCCCGTGTCCCCCATCCTCTCGGGTGGTTGAATCAGGTTTCCCTTTCCCCTTCCCATTCCGCACAACAACCGAAATTGACTGACTGTCGCGATTTTTCCTCTTCGCCTTTGCTTTCTCGGCGGCAGCTGGTGCCACTTCGTCGCTGACTGTCCCGTTGAGTTGCTGCTCCAGCATCCTCTCCTCTTCATCTTCCTCTTCGGCGCTCGTCCGCCGAATCTTCTTGTTGCTCGGCTCTCCTCTATCTTCGGCGTCCTCATCTCCGTCTGCTGCTCCGCCACCAGACTCCCGGGCTTTGACTTTCTCTCTGTAACCCCTCCTTTTCTTGCCAATGATCTCCTCGTAGACCTCCACCTGCCGTTCCAGTCTTCCGCCAGTCCTGCCATCCTTCCCCACAGCCCCAAGATCCATCACATTCGCAAACTCAATCTCCTTCAACGCTGCCATGACATCCTGCACACCGAGTGTTTTCTTATGCCGTAGTTGTGATTGTTCGTTCGCGTGGTGGGCAAGATAAGAGATGAAGACGGTGGCGGAGCGGGTAAGAGCAAGAAGGGCGTCTTTTTGTAGAGAGGTGTTGGGAGGGAGAACTCCGCGAGACAGACGAGATACGAGAGACCGGGGAAGAAGGAGGTCCTGCATCAGTAAACGGTCAGCCAATATTGCTTGTAGTTCCCCGTGCACAACCCCAGAGGAGCTCTGAGGATTGCTCTGATCCAGGGCGATCCTCTTGCGCCGCCAGCGCGAAATGCGGGAAGTCAGGAGTGCACCCACATCGATGCTCACGCCATCATCTTGCTTTCCTCCTGATTGCCTTGATGATCTCGGATGCGCATGCTGCGTAGAGGACGAAGCCGTTGCGTGGGTTGCAGTGGACAGTGTGGATACGTCACCATTTGCCTCTGTCGCAGACACGGTCGATGCACCGCTTTTCCGTGGCGGCATGGCTGGGTAAATAAAGTATGCGTCCGCTTGGACAGAGAGAGAGGAGTATGATATATCCCTGAGGACAACACAGCGTATAAGACTGCAGTGGATCGCGCTCCTAAGCCGTGTGAAGGGTGTGAGGTGTGTTTGTCGTTTGTGCCCCTGCGGCGATCAATGCCCGTCCCTCCGCTCGTCGTACGCGGACTATAGTTCACTCTCAAGAGTATGTAGATGAAAAAGGAATGTCCGTCCAAGGACAAATCCCGGTCAAAGAGGGAATGCTGTTGTTCGCGATCGCTCTGCTTTGCAGGGGGGAAAAGTTTCTCGGAGACGAGGCCGCGCCACTCAATGCCAGTACGGCAAAAAAAAAAAGGGGACGTCGAGGGTCAAAAATTAGGACTGAGCCGTGATTTCTGCCAGAGCTCAAAGCAGTAGACAAGTGCAAGGAACGTACAAGTACAATCGGCGGGAGAGGGGTGGTGGTGGTTGTGTTCGGTATTCAGACGCGGTCCCAATCGCCCAGACGGACGCGACCGCGAAAAAAGCCCGGATCAATTTAATCGAGTAGGATTTCTGACGTACAAAATCTCAGCCCCGTTTTCCCTCCCCTTCAAGTCCTCAGCCTCGTGCGACGCCCCCAAGAAATGATCGGAATGAGCAGAGAAAACGCTTTCAAATATGGATCTGTTGGCATAGTGTGAAATAGGTCTCTGCATTGAAACTTTTGAAAGTGCATTCATCCATCCCCAGGGATATCATCGTGACCCGAGTGACCTACGCAAACGCCAATAAAATCAGGCTCATGGTGCACATCATCAGACCGACTCATGACTCTATCTGCATAACGTCCTCTCCACCAGAAAATCCCTTGCCATTGTCGGCACCATCGCCCCAAAGGCCCTCTAGTTTGAACTCGGCTGCCCATTCCTTGACAATCTGTTTGCGATCCGCGCCGGTGGGCAGCTCCCTGGTATCGTCCATACCCTGGTCCTCGACCATCTCCTCGTCGTCGGCGACCTTCAGCACAGGCGGGTCCACCCACCCTTGTATCCTCCCGTCTCTCCAATCCGTGATGACCGTCATCGCCGCCGAGGTCAGGTTCGGCACGCCTCCTTTACCCAACCTGCCCCGTTTCCTCGCGACCTGGACAAGAAAATCTGTCGTTTCATCGCCCTGCGCGAACGGTCCCAGTGCGACAATGCCGTAATACTTCAAGAGTTTCTCGTATAGCGTTTCAGAAGCGGAAAGTCTCTTGAGCAGAAGATTCACTGCCGGAATGGGATCCGAGATTTGATTCGGCGGCAGCGCGTTGAGAAGAATTAGCCGAGCCTCGTGCTCTGCTTTTCTGCGCTGTTTATCCTCTCTGCCTTCTCCGTCCACCGTCGAGGGAAACACGATTCCAGGCGAATCAAGGATCTTCAATTTGCTGTCGATCTTCACTTCTCTCAAGCTGGTGGTGACGCCGGCCTCAGAGCCCACGGGGCAGGCAAAGCTCTGAGCGCCCTTGTTCAGACGTGAGGTTAAAGCGTTTATGACCGAGGATTTGCCCACGTTGGGATATCCTATTACTCCAACAGATATAGATCGTTTGAGTTGTTTGGACGCGGCGTATGATTTAAGGGAACGCAGGAGCGTTTCAGAGGTGGCTTTAAGGGTAAGTTGCTTGTGGTCAAAGGTCTGAGCGTTAGATGCCGGAGTCGATGCTCTGAGTGGTATTGTGGGGAAATATCGTCGTAGATGAGTCAACCAGCCTTTCAAAACAGAAGGAGGGATCAGGTCGATCTTGTTTAACACAAGAATTAGTCGTTTCGAGCCACCCTCGGCGGCCATAACCTGTCGTTCAACCTCTCTGGATCGGGTGCCCTCAGGATCTCTGGCGTCCAAGACGTACAGTATGACGTCTGCAGCATCGAGGACTTGCTTGAAGATTTTGTCGAATGCTTTCCGCGACGAGTCTGGGTTTCGGTGGTCTGAGGATATCGTCTCCGAGATCTGAACTGCCTCCGCGGCCGACCCGTCGTCTCCAGAAGGCCCGATGTCTCCTGCTAGCGCTCCCCCGTCGTACTCGGCAGCTCTCGCTTGCGCTGATGCTACTAGCGCCGCCAAAGGGTTTGCACTGTCATGGGCCTTGTCGCCATCGTCTTCTTCCATATCCTCGTCCAGAAGCTCGTCCTCTTCTTCCATCAAATCGTCCTCGTTCTCCTCTTCAGCCTCGGCGTTCGCTCCTGACCGCCCATCCTTTCCGGCCCTCTTCTTCTCTTTGATCGCCTCTCGTAACCTCTGTCCCTGTTCGGCCTTTTGTCGTTTCTTCTCTTCAAGCTCCTCGAGGAGCTTTTCCTTGAACGGGAACAGGTTGGGAATGCCGGGATCTTTCTTTAACCGTGACTTCCATTGAGGGTTCTGGTAGAGCCGACATCAGTATATACAGGATTTAGAGGCAAGATAGGGAAACAGAAAGCACACACCTTCTTTTCTTCCTTTCTTAGTTTCCTCTGTTTGGCCGCACTGGCTTTCTCAATTTTATGCCGCAGCCGCACGGGCGTGCGTTTTGATTTGGAGACTGATGATGCGTCAGTTGGACGGGTTGCTGAAGACAGGACCACTATACTTACATGGCTTGACCATTGCTATAAACAATGACAAAAACTTTTGTGATGAGGCGACTGGAGGATCTTGTGGCTAGGATTCCGATGTGGAAAAAAGTTACAGACTGCGGGCCATGCCAAGGAGGACCCCCGGGGCATCTTCAGCCCGAAAGCGACTTGGTGGGATGGCACGATGGCGCATGTTTCCCCCCCCCCGCCCAACTGAGACTCACCGCGTCTTTTTTGGCCGGAACGCTGCCGAATCAGGCAATGGTGCCGCCAGGGAGGAAACGCTCGGAACTCATTCTCACAAGTATATATACATGCACTCAACACGCGGTGGGCAGAGAAATACTCTATAGATATATAGATTCCCCATTCTGATCTTCCCACTGACCTCCACTCGTTCTTCATACCTGGATATACTGTGCCTTTTCACTCAGAGTCAACATTTGCGATGGGCTCAGTCGAACAACCTAATTTTTCCGCGCCACCCACGGTCGCCTCAGCCAGAGGCCTTCTGTTGGATTTCGATGGTATGTGAGATTCACCAGATCAACCTAAAACATTGCTAAGCCAGGTGACAGGAACAATCATCGACAGCACATCAGCCATCATCAAGCACTGGCACAAGCAGGGCGAGATCATGGGGGTCGATCCCAACATTATCCTCGCTAGTTCGCACGGCCGGAGAAGCATCGACGTATTCAAGATGTACGACCCTTCCAAGGCAAATTGGGATTGTAAGAATCACTCCGAGGGCGTCAGAGTTTGCCTGCCAAGTGGTTGACTGCGCACTAACGAGTGATTTGCAGATATAATCCATCAAGAGAGCCTCATTCCCAAGGAATTCGGCCAAGATGCGGTCGAAATCCCTGGCGCCCGCAAATTTTTGGCAAGCCTTGACGACGTCAACGTACCTTGGGCGGTCGTCACCTCGGGGACGAGACTCCTCGTCAAAGGCTGGATCGAAGTGCTGAAGCTCGCCCATCCACGCACCACCGTCGTGGCAGAGGATGTCGAGAACGGTAAACCCGATCCGACTTGCTACCTACTCGGTCGGCAACGCTTGGGCCTTCCCGATACTGCCGAAATGATTGTCTTCGAGGACGCTCCTGCGGGCGTCCGCGCAGGAAGAGCGGCCGGGTTCAAGGTTATAGGACTGGCCACAACCCACACTGTTGGTCAGCTGAAAGACGCTGGGGCGGATTGGATTGTGGAAGATCTCAGAAGTGTGAGAATGAAGGACTTCAAAGACGGCGTCGTGCAGGTGGAGATCATCAACGGATTAGTCGACACCCCTTGACCATTTGATGGACGTCCCCTTTTAGACGACTTATTACGAACAGGTACAATCTTGCTCAGCGCGGCGTTTGGAGTTGCGGCATCTGGTGCCGGTCATATAGACAATTCACAGGATAGACCCATGAATAGATGGTTGACAAGGAAATCATGCCGTCCATCAAAGCTTTGCGCCAGACATACGAGGCCGCCGCTCCACCCCGATGCCAAACTGAATCTTCCACCCTGGGAAATGTCATGCTCTGCAAGACCTTCAATGATCCCCCCAATTCCGATTGGAGATCATCCTGTCGTGCACGTCTCGGAGGATCTCATAACGATTCGAATTCGAAGCCAGAACATCAAACTGAACCGTGCGCACCCAGGATCTCACCAGCTTGTGTCCAATCCCTGCGCAGTCAATACCACTATGGAATAGATCGGATCCTGCTTTGAGATTCAAACAACTAATAGGGCTCTTTATGAGTAGTGACATACCTGAATCTGCATATGGCTGGCCTTGCTCTTTGGCTGAAACACCCTACGAGGGATATTGCCCTTTGGCGGTCAATGGCTGTTCTGTACGAATAAATCATCCTACCGTCACTTTCTCGTCACACGCCCAAACTTGCGGACTTCATAACTCTGACAGCATACTTGGTTTATGCTATTAAAGCATGTCGGTCAGATGTTGTGCCTCTAAAGGACGAACAGGACATAACAAGCTCGACGCAGTCTTCACTTCGTCCTTGCCAGAGGTTGCCATCCTGCTCATTCCACGGCTCACCAAGTCAGTGCCTGTAGGCAGTCACCAGCGTAGACCGTAGTCTTCAGTGTTCCCAACAGTGACAGCTGTCAGCAAGACGCACTGCAAGGGGGCGTGCAACGTATCGAGGGAAATCCGCGACGTCGGATAATATGCGACACCATGCCTCGATGCCTGAAGAGGAGAAAAGGCCCGGCCAAGGTCACTGCCGTCTGGGAGTCTGGATCTAGTATTGTTATTGTGCTTGGTACTGACATCCCTTGTCCTACAAAGGATCGGGGTCTTCGTGTATCAAGGACTCGGGTGCCTCGTTGCAGCTGACTTGGTGCTCAAGGAAACACGTCCAGATGCAGTACCAGCAGCATGTATACACAACACTACTGGAACCTCATGATACCACAAGGATTTCATGGCGCAGACAGTCATTGTCAATGGTCAGCGTGACAATAATCATACTCCATATGCTGTGATCTGGGTGTCCAAATGGAGAACTATTTCGGTACCGATGTCTTGAATCGACTTGCAATCAGCATCAAGAACGGGAGTCCTCGTACAAAGGAAAGGACCAAGGAGCTCGCCGTCGACCGGAGAAGGGGCTGATGCCACGGAGCTAGCAGTCTTTGCGGTATGGCACGCCCCAGGTACGCGTGAAAGTGCAACGTGGAAAGTGGGTTGGCTCTCGCGATAGCGGGAGGAAATTAAACAGAGTCCAGGCGAGGCTCCTTAGGGCCGGAAAAGCCTGAAGGTAAAAGAGAGCCACGGGGAACGACGCTTGGCTGCAGGGTTAAAGCCCGAGTGGTATGCTTGTGGATGCCGGAGCAGCAAGGCTCCAGGCGCACGGAAGGGGCTTAAACATCTAGCGAGAAGCCCGGAGGATTTCTCGAAATGCGGCGGAGAATAAAATGACATCGGTGGTCTATCTTAGCCGTAGCAACAACGATGTTCAGCTGCATCAAGACACCGGAGGCCCGAGAAATGTGAGGAGCCTGCGCTACCGAGATCACAAGGGAGTGTCGCAGACGGCAAGGAAAGAAGGGCGTACTCGGTACTCGCAGAAGTGTTCTAGTTGTAAGGCTGACAGATTCCTTCCGCTTAATTGAACGAAGGCCGAAGGGAGCACTAGCCAGTTGGGGCCATGCGAAATTGATGTCTTTGATTTTGTGCTCCTGGTGGTTGAGGCCCAAGTCACAGGTTCCTTGCATATGTCAGCAGTCTTTAAGGACCACCTGGGCCGATTTCCAAGGCCTGGAATGCACAGGGATAACATTGCCGCATGGCAAATCTGCTTCGTGCAGGGCTTTTCATCAGCAGCTACTCGTAGGTGATTGCTCAGGAAAGGAAAGCCCCTGCATGAGTTCCATCTCATCTCACGTCGAGGCAGGGAGCTGTCTGTTGTCGCGCGTCTCGAAATCGACGTGTAAGAGGACAAAATTCGTGCATGTCGCTGCCTGAGCGTGTAACGGCCAAGTCTGAGTGGGCGTAGTGATGGTGGCTCGTGACGGACATGCGTGATAGGGAGATTTCGGCATGGCGACCACTGAGTGGACGACGAAAATGGGCTCGGCAGGTCAGTCCAGTTGGCGGATTCGGGAGCTCAGCTGCCTCTGGTTGCTGCGGGAGTCTCCGCCACAGCTGCAGGTACAGATTGTGTTATGCGTCTGTCCAGGTACACACACACGGGGTAAGGAGTACCTCGTACAAGGACGCGATTTGAGTCAAAATGGGCCAAGATCCAAAGGCATGGGAACGGGAGCTTGTGTACCTCGACTGAGGATCACCATCCATTTGGAGCCGGATGATCGTCGATGATTTGCGTATCTACTCTCGCGATACGAGGCGAGGAACACAGGCGCTCGCGCTTCTGCGCATTGAAGAAATATCTCCTTGTGTTCGAGAGCCTGTCCTCGTTACATTCGTCTCAGAGGCCTTTGCAGTGAAGCCAATGCGAGGTGTCCAGATTACGTGCGATCGATATCGATATTCGCCTGGGGAGCATGTTATGGTTAGCTTCGTGAGGTAGAGGATCATCGACCGCCGATGGAGTCTGTGGACTCGGAGTGCCCAAGCTGTTGTGTTTGTCCCCGTCTTGTATCTATGCGCCAGAGTTCCGACGTCCCTAACAACAGGCGACTGGCACGTCATCCATTTGACAGATCTCGACTCTCGACGCGTTCGAGTCTCGGGTCCAGGCGCAATCAAAAAGACCCGGTCAGACAAAATCCAATCGCCCTCAGATTGTCCTTTAAAGTTTTTGTCTTTCGGGGGTGATTTTAATTCTGCGCATGGCCACAACTCATCTCGGCTCATCTCCCTTCGGACGCCTCCTCAGCGAGAGGTTTCGGATTTGTGCTTTTGTCACTGGCAGGTCACCTCCACGACTTTTCCTCGTTCGGTGCAGGGTTGTGGCACGAAGGAGGCTCTTTGGGCTGAGACCTGGGGCAGAACGGGTTAGATCGGATGAAAAAGTTGGCCAGACAGAGGCCAGGGTGTTTGAGGAGCGAACAGTGCCTGAAGGGACCCAGGGGACCACCACCTGGTGGGGCATGATTACTTAGCCTGGGCTCAAATTGCAGCCGCAGACTGGCTAGGCTTGAGCATGGGGATTCCTTGTTGTCGATACGGTTCCTGCATTGGCGCCGACCAGGTCAGACCAGGGCTCGCAGGGATCTCTGTCAACGTTCCCATTCCCCGGGACGAGGCGGCACTATCGAAAAGTCAACGCAGGTCGAGAACTCAAGCCCAAAAAACAAATCAAAGCAAAAGAACGCGGGATACAAAGACAGAAGCGCGGGAGTGACGAGCGTCAATCTGTTTGGGTGTGGGAGTAGGTTTGATGAGTGGACTGCGCAGATGGTATCCCGGAGGTACGAGTGTCTTGTCTGTAAGTGCTCGGTACTTGGATTTAGGGAAGAACAGCCGAGGGAGGGGTGTGAAGTCGCCTTTCTGACGTGGTTTCAGTGGTCGACTCTCGGTGACTGATCCCTTTTCCGAGCGCTTCGTTCCGCAGGCCAGGTTTGCAGCCTGCGCCTGGAAGAGGGGGAACTCGACCTTGCCTACAAGCCCCTTCGTTCACCTGTTGGTCTGGTCCCCTTCTCAGCGCCTATTCTTCCCCCTCCATGCAAACCATCCCCCCATCAACCCTCAACACACCTGCAACTCTCACAAAATGTTTAACCTTGACGCTCCTGCATGTAGGGGCAACCAGGAACCTTGATGGTCGAGGGCTAGCCTGCAGCTCCACCCGCAATGGGTTCCGCCGTGGCTGACTGGCTCGTCTCCGCTTTCATGGATCCCCTGACGCCCCTGTCGTCCACCAAGTAGCTTGACTGCGCTGGATCCTCCACTGCGATTCTCTGCGGTGGGGAATTGGCTTGCTTGTCTCTTGTTGCTCTGCGAGAAAGTGAGTCTCTCACTCTCTCCCACGTCGCGATTGATCAAAAGATCCAGAGCGCGCCTTGAATGGTCACAGACATTTTGTTTTTTGTTGTGTGCTGGGCGAAGGGCGATCAAGACATCCTCTTCGATTGCTTCAGCTATTTCTCCGGGTCACTCTCCCGTCGCCATCTCATTGAACTTCAAAACGCCCCCCTTCGGCGCCTGGGTTCAGAAAATCCTATCTCCCCCAGTCTTGGAACCTCGTTAAAGGGTGCGACGTACCCTCTGTACCTTTCGCTTGATCCCTCGCGACCGCCGCCTCTAAATCTAAAAATCCCCCGAGTCCGCCCACTTGTCTTGCTCCTCTTGGTCTACTTCTATCGAGCCTATCTATCTACACCTCTGTCCTGACCTGTACCACAGCTGGACCGCCTCCATCCTCACTGCGGCGCTCTTGTCAACAGCAGGCCTTAATCCGAGCAACCGACCGCGACATTCGCATCGTACCTCCCTCTGCCGGACTCACCTATCCGTTCCTTCTCTTCACATACTGCTGGACAACCTCGTTTCCCTCGCCGTCTCTCACCCTAAGTCGTTCCTTACCTTGTCAGACAGTCCAACATTCCCATTGATCTCGAGCCCTAGCAGATCCCTCAACCCGACCGACTTCATCCTTTACTCGTCCACTGAGATGCTGCATGTCTGATCAATTGCCTCACCACCTCGACCCTAGTACTACGCACGGACTATTTGCGGCCTCTGTTGCTCGCAGAGAGAAAGGCTACTTGGCGGAACCAAGCAGCAGCTTTGCAACTCAAGCAGACGGTCTTCTGCTCCCTGCCGAGGAATCTATGCGAAGAAACCCTGTGTTAACCTATCAATCATCACCGGCCTTCAACATGGACTACATGCAACAAAATGCGTTTAGCTTTGCCTCGCAACCTCAGTCACAGTTCATATACCCCCATGTCCAGTACCAAGCCTTCATGGCCCATGCTCAACAGCCTGTGGACGACTTTTATATGCCCTATGGTGGAGCGGAGTATGCCGATTTCGGGGATGCAGGGATGATGCAGGATGATTTTGGAGAGTCCCAGGAGATCTCTACACGCCCAAGACTCACCAAGGAACAAGCTGAGATCCTCGAAGCCCATTTCCAGGCGAATCACAAACCTAGCTCACAGTTGAAGAGAGAATTGGCTATTCAGACAAACTTGAAACTGACTCGGGTTGGGGTATGTGCTAATTATATCGTGTGCGTAGATTGTCAGCTAACCGGCTTATAGAACTGGTTCCAAAATCGTCGAGCGAAGGCCAAACAACAGAAAAGGCAAGAAGAATACGAAGCCCAACATGCAGCGGTGAAGTCTGGCTCGAAGGAGGGGAAAGATCTCGTTCTGACCGAAGCCTCCTCGGCGCGGGACATTATCTCTCCCAGATCATCTGTTGCTTCACCTGTGAAGGAGTCGAGCGCTGTCTCGGTTGCGACATCAGTTTCCACTGCTCACACATCACCTTCACCGATAAAGGTTGTCGACAACCCGAAAGAAGCTAGTTGGAACTCGTTGCAACGGGCGCTGGGGCAGGCCAAAGCAGCACAAAGCCAGCCAATGGCTCAGCCGCCAGCTGCTGCTATGTCATCCCTGGAGATTCCAGCACAAGCTGCACCTATGCAGCTCCCCATTCGACTAAACGACCCACGCACCACTTCATCGACGTCTAATATGCCAACCTGGTCAAATCGGTCTCCTAGAACCGTCCCATATCCCTCTCCGATCACCTTTCAGGACACGTCCTTCGATTTTGGCTTCGACAACGACGTAACGGAACAGAATCTGGTTCACGACCCAAACCCCATTGATCAAGTGGCCGACTATGGGCAAGATTCTTTTGTAGTAACACCCGAAGATTTCCGCGAGTCCCTTGCTACGCCGAAAGGCATGCACAGTCACCAGAGTCCTGTGACGGCACTGCCCTCCCCAGGTTTGACTATGCCTTCATATCCTGGCTCGCGGCGTCCATCAACCACGGAGGATCTCTCGAACAACTTTAGTCACTTTGCTCTTGCAAATGATGCCCCCGGCCTGCTGGCAGACCAGCGGGTGTCAGAAGCGATCTGTCCTCCGCAAAGTGGGCCTCTCGACATCGCCGCGCGAAGAAAGAGACCCCGGCCAGCAGCACTGACATCGGCCTCCCTTCGAAGCCGGTCCTACGGAGCGATGACATCGGCATCCCCGACATTTCGCCAGAGTGTCATGAGCCCTCAAGGAACACATAGCGTTCGACATGTCAAGTCGGCCGGTCAAAGCCTTCACTCAAGATATGCAGGAATCCGAAAAGCCAGTTCGGCTCAACGGTCGCCCATGTGTGCTGCAACGTTTGCCGAAGCTGAGGCTTTCAACCAATTGATGGCTCAGCAAACAATGGGAACACCATCTCTAGGAGACTTGTCAGAACCGTTGTTGTCGCCTGACCACGTCTCGACTGGTTACGGGATGGATCCGGAGAAGAACCCGTTCTTTGCACAAGCCATGGACATGCCCAGCCAATATTCCATGCGGCCGCCTCAAACTCTTTCGATTGCAACAGCATCACCTCCAGTGACACCAATGATGGCAGCTTTCATGAACAGAGCCCAATCGCAGCAGTCTCTCATTCCCCCGACCTCTGCTCCTCCGCAATACGCGGCATTCACGGACTACACACCTCCTTACTCAGCTGGACCACTCACCAACAGCAGTTGGTCGGATGCCCCATTGACATCGCCAGAAGTGTCGTCATTCTCCGTGTCGCAAATTGCTTCGATCGGGTTTCCACATCAATGTGATGGACTCAATGGCCAGTTTCAACAATTTGTCCTGCCATCGGACAACAAGTCTGAAGTTGACTATGCGTCCCACGTTGAACAGAAGAAAACGGAGTTCTATATTCAAGAGTTTCCAAATCAAAGAGAGGAACATGCACATGTTGCTCAACAGCTGGCTCAACAGAAGCCCAAAAACTATGTGTTTGCGAACACAGCTCCTCAGGATTACACCGGCACCTAGGTGAATGAACCAACTTCCAGTGTCAGACTCGGACATGAGTCATGACTTGCTTGTTTTGAGCGTATTTCTACCTTACCTGGCGGCACGCTGTCCATGGAGGCGACGTTTCGACTGGTATATGCAGGATGGATGAAAATGCATGACAGATAGACTTGAAAGTTTTAGCATTGGCGCTAGATGGTCGACTAAGATTACAAGAGGACATTGATGGAAGTACAGGTATAATAGGACGAGGCACCTACGGGAAACGAACATGAGAAAAGCCTCGGGGACACGAATTGTGATAGCTACGTAGGACGGGGCATCAGTTTCAATATGTAATTTACCATGACAACTAAATATTTACTTCTTAATAGCCCTCAACCTCGGTAATCGTGTTTTATGTTGTGCTACATACATCAGGCAAAGGAGAGATGAAGCAAAATATTTTCACTTGTGCGCAAGAGAAACAACTTCAAGAAGACTCAGATAATGGAAAACATGAATACAGACTATCTTAGAACTAGCTATCTATTGACAATTGACTGAGATAGATATGTCCTGTTACGGATAGTAACAAGCCAGTACAGACGAGTTTAGATCATAATCTAATCCCATCCTTCCATGCATGCTGCGGTATTCACAATTCCCATCTTTTTGTTGGCGGGAATAACTCCGTCTAAGAATCCTGGTTCATCTTCAGACGCTGGTCTGGCTCACCATCCTTCCTCAAGCCTTCACCGCCCAAGTGCGCCGCGCCCTGGGGATTCTCGCTGCTTCCGCCGCTGGAGCTGGACGAGTCCGAGGTGCCACCGCCGGAGGAGTGGCCACCTTTCTTGCCGGCCTCGACGGGGTCGACTTTGCCGTGCGCGAAACCCGGTTGGTTGACGCGCTGGTCGGGTTGGCCGTCCTTGCGGAGACCGTCGTGCTCTGTACGTTTCCGAAGGGGATAGGGTTAGCTTTCACTTTCACACGAGAGTCGTGGATACAGATGAGATGTAGATGAGGATCGGGGGTGGGAGGACTGGAGCAGCTGAAACCCTTCGGAGTGGGGAAAGGGGGGAAAAAGAGTGTATGGGAGAAGTGGAAATGTGGATGTGGAAGTGATATCCGAGTCCCCCTGCTACACGGCGTGGATGAAGAGAGGGGCCAGGGGAAAGGGGAAGGAGTGTTGAATGTCCATTGATGGGGAGTCTTGGTAGGGGATGGGGATAACTCGTACCAGTGGGCTTGTAGTCAGACATGTTGATAGACTTTTGGTTTTGGTTGAGATGTTTTGGTTATTGGGTTGTGAGGTCGGGAAGTTGCTTTGCTGTTGCGATATGATACTGATGGTGAATGGATGATGAGAATATTCTCTGAAACTGGGAGAGAAGCACTGTTTATATAGACAAATATGTCGTCCATCTTCGCTAGTCAGGTCTCCCAGGATCTGATGATGGTCTGTGTGCCTCTACCAATGCATCATCCCATGGTGACGTTGGTGAAGGTTCCTGGTTCGTTTGCTCTTCGTCCTACCTAGTATTCTTCCCTCGTCATCACTTCAGCTCGCCCATGAGAGAAACTTGTCTGAAATCGTGTCTTGATGAATCATCGGTTTTTTTCTGTCTTTCTTTCGAGGGGACGCTCCTGTCCCTGCGTGCTGACCTGGTCCATGCACATCCCATGCCCTTCCCCAGCCCGTGGGCTGGTGCCTGATCACTATGCAGATCGATCTTCGATCTCAAAACCAGAGCGGTGAGATCCAGCTTTCAGTCCCAATGAAACGAGGCTTGTTTTCTTCAGGAACAGGCTATCAGTGTAACGGATCCCTGCGGAGAGGGAAGGTTGCTTGGAGGTCGTGACGACGTGACTGCTCGATTCGTGAGGCCCAGAACATCTAGATCTGTCGTGCTAGTGCGATCTAACATTATTAGGACCCCGGCGATCGGTCAGAGCACAGCCTTGACAGGGCATGCTTCGGAACATGGGGGTTTAGCCCGGGGAACGAGGGTACTCCCCCCGCTTCCTGGACTTCAATCCCGTCGAAACAATAATAGGACGTCATGATGAAGTGGGCCCACGATGCGGAGTTGGAGAGCCGTTTCAATCAGGAATGCGCAAGAAAGATGCAAGGTATCATGTGAATCAACACAGACCAAGGTACCTGGTGGAAATGGCCAGCGGTGAGAGCCGGCATGGGACTCACCGTAGCAAACCCAGCGTCATGCCATGCGGTCTCCCGTTTCTTCGAAGGTAGAGAGGACACGAAAGGGATCCATGCAGACTGAATTACTCGTATCAGACGTTGGATCACTAGATATGGTAATTCAGGGCACGTCCACAACCCTGAAGCAGGTCCCCCTTCCACATGATGTTGCTGAGATAACCACCGAAGTAGCGTTCTGAAATCAGGTTGAGACATATCATGGGTGCACGGGTGTGTGGCGGATTACCCTGACTGCAAGAACTCGGTACTCATACTCGTACCAGTGCGGGTACCTGGTAGGTAGGTGAGGTTGCCTGAGAACCGGCTGGGGGGGCCAGGGGCGTAGATTGTGGTTCGTTCCTGGTCGCTCCTTGAAACAGACTGTATGAGAATCCGCTTCGTTGCCGCAGGAGAGACATGGGATTAGTAAAACGAAGGTGGGTACTGCGGACTTTCAGTTGCTGGCCCGTGCCTGAGGAGAACTGCTGCAGCATTTTGTGGATGGAAAATTGTGGAAGCTGGAAAGTCATGACGCCAGAAAGACAAAAAAGGGGGAAATTGAAGTTGTTCAGCCTCGTCATTCAGGTCGAGAGGCTTGGCAAAGACTTGGCGGGGAGCTTGGCAGGCACAGAGGATGAGCGACACAAGGCAGTCTGACTACACAGTCTCGTTCAAAGTCTCCATTGCTCATTGACTATCAGAACAGGTTCATCATCATCAATCATCGTCAACACTCATGATGGATATATCCAAAATATGAGACAATACACTGGTAACGGCCATTCGCCAGTATTTGACCTAGCAGAACTCCCGCAAATCCCGAATCAAAGGTTCGACTCTCACACTGCCGACAGCCAGCTGCCTTCCTTGTGTCCCTTGGGGCTGAGGTAGGCCGGTTTCATTGACCCAATACCGACCTCGGGCGATTGGTATGACTGCCGCATTAGTGGGATTCCATACAGCTCCTCTGGGACTTTCCGACCTCGCATCACGATTCTCGACGTTTGGTCATCGCGAGTCCTGTTCCTCGTCAGGAGTTCCCAAGCTGATCGCCTTTCAAAAGGCTTGTAGCTGGTATTGCTGACAGTTCTACCCTCTAACAACATAGCAGCAGGACCGCCTGGTTGCCGTCTCCTGATCCGCTCATGAAACTGTTGTCTTTCAATCTCGCGTTCACGCCGATCCATCTCTTTACTGCGTCGAAGATAGCTGATCCACACTAATACCAAACCCAACGTCAAGACAATACTCACCGTCCAGTATATGGCAAATGGTAGAGGCACAATAATCTTTTGGTGATTTGGCGGCACAGCAAAATTGAAAATCGGAGTGTCAAAGAAGGAAGCGACAAAGGTTCCAGGCAGGAAGAGCAAAGATACAAAAGCAATTGTCCTCATTGCCTTGTTGGTGTTCTTCCCTTGCCATGCGAGCTCATTGTTGATGTCAGCGACTGCGAGACTCGCGCGAGAGTCCCGTTGCGTGGTCAGTTGAAAGACAGATGCCATGGCATTGTGAAGTCTTTCGCCCAAGGAGTCGGCGTCGAACAGGTGAATGAATGTATAGTCCCACATGACATTCATGAAATGGTCCAGTTCTTCACATTCTCGCCAAGCTGAGTGAAAATTCGGCCCTGTTGGGTCGAGTGACTGTCGATATTGATTGTTACACCGTGAAATGAATTTGATTTGTTGTTGGAAGGTCTTGAGACGAAACCTGATATTTGTAAGCTTGCCGGAAAGGATATTGAACCCTTCGACAGCGAGGTCTTGAGTTTCCGAAACACCACGTCCTGGTTCGACACGATCAAGCACCCAATTCCAAGTGGGGAATCCGATTTCTTGTTCTAGAGCAAGAGTCTCACGATTCATGTCGTCCAACATATCGAAGGTGAAGCTCAATGATACTTTGGTCTTGACATAGCCAAGCAGCATTGGATGAGACAGGTGAGTTTGCAGACGGAGAAGGTCTGCAAGGACCTCATTCTTTCGCTGGTCGCCGTCGCCTTCCCGATACCACATGACAGCTGCGGTATGTCTGTTTGCAACATTGTGAGTCCACGTCACTGTCCAACTAGTCCCACTGCAATAGTAGGATGTCGATGTATTTCTTGCATCATTATCAGATTGAGAGTGGGACGAAAAGGACGGGACACAAACAAAAGTCAAATGGGCCTTCAAATATGATCCGAACGCTGCCAGTGGAAGGTCGAGGTTGTTGAGGATGTCAATGACGAACTCGGCCTGTTTCTGATGTTGAGAGGTCTGAGGCTCGGATGGTCGTTCGGACAAAGTCATGGGGTTTGACAAAATGCTTGGGGCCCGTTTGGCAGTCGACTGGTTATGAGTTTGGATCAGCAGAATCTTCATGGTGCCATTATTGTTCGTGTTATGTTGGTTTGTGCATGGCCGCCGGAGCCATTGGGCGATATCATCAGGAGTCGCTTTGGGGTCGACACGGAGAGTGGACTCGTTACTTGGAGAGCGGGGGAGTTCGAGAGTGTGCAAGGCGTGGTGGCCATTATAGCGCTGGAAGTCGTCGGGGGAGATGATGAGGCTGTCTAGACTCTCGGCGGGCATATATGATTCCGTTGGGATGGGTTTGCGGTGGTTGTTTTCTTTTATTGTGGGAAGAGAGTGTGGTGTTGCTGGCTGGGGGGTAATTGATAATAAATCGCCTTAGGTTGCAATCCACATAAGCTTGGTCGGTCGGTCGTAGACAAGGAAGGTTCCAACTCGAAAAATATATCTTGGAAGAACAAGAGGACGCAGGCGAAGATAAAGGACCAAAGAGGTGGGAAATGAAGACGAGATATTCATATAGATAGATAGCTCTCTAGTACCTACTTACCTACCTATCTAGGCAGTCAAGACTACGATTGCTGACCATGTACTGAGCACAAGACGCGGCATTGGCATTGACTTGACTGAATGACCGACGGACGGACGATCATTCAGTTACACCAGGGCAAAGCACAGCAAAGTACAGCAAAGCAGGGCAATTCGAAGTCGTTCTTTGATCGGCCACCTCCGACATCCCAAGATACACGAATTTGACAAATCACATCTCGCAGCGCCCAATCAGGAGGGCAAATCGCACATGCATGGGCAGGTGCGGTCAGGCACGGACTTGGGAAGAAGGAGGGAAGGAGCTAAGGGAAGGGGGAATTTCTGACTCGAATAATGCGAATGCGAATGCGAATGCGAACCGCCGCCAAGAGGGACAAAAGATCTTGTTGCCTGATTCTCCCGCTTCCTCTAGAATAGAAAGAATATGCATGGTATCTCTCACATGGGACTACAGAGCCGCATTCTCGGTCTGAGAGTTCCTGGAGCCGAGGTTTGGTTCTGAAACTTCTGGTTGCCTTTCTAGCGTGGGGGGTTCACATACCAGCCTTGCCAGCTTTCCCATCTGAACATGTCTAGGTAAGGTAATACGACGCTACGTACCTACCAGGACTGGGCGCGACGGGGATACGAGTGAGTGAGTGAGTCATTGGCGACAGATCTCGTGTTGCTGTTGCTGTTGCTGCTGCATCATTGGTGTCCAACTACTTACTGTGCACAGCTGCAGGCTGCACGAAAGCATTGACCCCCCCACGGTGCTAACCGCGCTTCGCTTCTGCCTTCTCCTCTGGCTGGACCGGCTGGACGCGATGTATTGCCTGGCCCCCAACCTCCTTCAGCTTCCCACACTCGAATGAGGTCATGGATGCCTTCAGCGCCTCACTTCTACCTCGACAGGGCGTGCGTTGCATCAGCGATACGACCTTCAGGCCATGCTGAAATTGATGTCACGTTTTCTCATGACAAAGTGCAGCCCAAAGGGTCCAAAGGCGCGCTCATCTGGATCCTCCCACAAATACTCCAAAAGCTTTGCAGCCTCGCTCACTTGCGAGGAATCGACATGGGTTTTCGTCCGCAGCATCCCCATGTATTCTCGGCGCTGATCTTGGCTGATCAGGCAAGACCCGATGATCATAATCGGCCACAGCATGATGGTGACGAAGGGCGACAGGGCTACGGGCACAAGTAGCGGGAGTGCCGCGTCAATGTGACCCTGGATGGCAATAATGACCTTGGGGTTGTTGACCACGGAACCACACATGCATGCCTTGACAAAGATCAAGAGAGCTTGCCGGTATATCTCCCCCATCCAGACATGCTCCGTTTCCCATTCCTCCATCTCGACCGCTACTGGGGGTGATTGCCACTGAGTGATTGTGTCGACCAAGCGCTCGTACTCCGACTGGGTTTCCGGGTTCTTTAGACAGCACTCCTCGTCTGTCAGTCTCTTCATCGCCAAAATTGAGACCTGAGAGATCATCTCAAAGAGACCTTGCACACAGCTGAAAAATACCCCAAAGGTCTCGTATTCCTTGAGAAAGTCCAGGGAGAAGCAGAACGAGTCAAAGGGAAGCACACGCGCTTTGTCGCGGCCATAGGGCGTGATGCTGTTCACCAACACCAGGTAAAAATACACTTCCAACGCAAATCCCTTGACCAACTTGATGTCATCATGCAGTCTCCGCTGGGGCTCTTGCAGCAGTTTGAGGACGAGTTCGCGGCTCGCTCGCAGGTGTGGAAAAATACCACCGTGTGGTTCACCAGAGAAAGCCTGCAGATCAAATGTCAGTCAATATGAACAATTCTCTTCTCTCTTCTGCCGAACATGAAGAAATTGAATACCTCGACATGACATAACACAAGCAAGACCAGCAGCAGGCGCACGGTCATGCAAATATCGTCATGAGAAGATTCGTCTGCGAACAGGCACCGCAGATTCTGCAGAAGCAACGAATAATGCTGGCGAGTGGCCAATTGAATATGTAAGTTGTCGGCGGTTAGGTAGCTGAGGTGAGTTCCGCTCAAGGCCAGCACTGAATGCATGAGGAGGTCATCCGAGTGCGCCAAGGGCAGTACGAGAGTGATGAAGGGGTTGCCCGCCAGGGGCTTTGCCACCAGGAAAGTGGATGTGGCTTCCAAGTAGTGTTGGAGCAACAGAAGAGAGCTGGGACTGATCAGGAGAGCTCGGTGGGTGCTAACAAAGGAGGCGGTCAATGGTTGCCAGGAGATGATAGACTCGGGGTTTCCGACCTCGGCGTCGTCCTGAAGCGCAGCGTCAACATCTGGAGTAGCGCAGGAAGAAGACCCGAATGTCTGTGACTTTGGTGAGGCCTTGTCCAAGATAAAAGTGATTTGTCCTGGTAGGCTGGGTATATCGCGTGCGCTTGCAGTAGAAATCGTGCTCCTTGATACAGCCTGTCTCTCTTTACGCCTTAGATCTCTGACGTCCCTCTTCCTTTTCTGGGAGCCAGTGTCACGGATGGGGTCCTCCGGGTGCGGCCAGTGGCATTCAATGAAATTGCGAGCGCAGCCAGTGCAGGTTGGTTTCAGCTCGTCGCACTTCTTCTTGCGCCGTCGGCATGTTAGACAACCCGTCTTGGTGCGGATACAGGCCAACTTGTCGCGCCGTTGCGAGGAACTCATGATTGTTTGCTTTCATCGATCAGTCGAGCCCTGTCAACCCTAGAATTGCGGGGTCGTCTCCATTCTTCTCCACGACGGTCTGCGCGGTGTACGAGTCATCGACAGGATCAAGCGCGGTGCAAGGTCGACTGGATTAAGGATGGAAAGGGAAGAAATTGGATGACTGGATCGCGGTTTGTCTTGTCTTAACAATGGAGATGGAGTGGGAGCGACCGGATGCGAGGAGCTTGAAGCGTGGACATTAGCCGCGGTGCGCACTTCGCCCAGAGGCACCGCAGTCTGATTAGACGAGAATCATCGCATCCAAACCCACTTGTCTGACCCAGTCCAGATACGGCCGCAAGGAGTATGGCGATCTCCTCAATGCTGGCATTTCTACAACCAGTGCAAAGACGGCGCATGGATCAAGGCTGGCGACTGTCCAGACAGAAGTATCTCACGATGGCCTCGTATGTCGTATTCTCACTTTTGACAGGCTCGTTCTACGTTGAGTTGGAAGCATATAAATATGATGCGATCGAATCACCATCTCCGACTTCGACCGCAAAAAGCCTCGCTCTTCTATATCATTCCAGTCTGCACGTATCGTCAGCTACGCCCCAAGCATTCTTTTCATTCGGGACGATCCCAAACCCGCAAGATGGCGCCCCGCGACGATAGACCCGAGGTCAGGTTCAGCGATGCTCCTGGGATGCCTGATCCCGGCTTCTACTCCCACGCCGTCACCCTGAAGCAATCGAGTCGCTTGGTGTTCACGTCCGGAATCATCGCGCAGCGACCGGATGGCAGCTTCCCAGAGTCGCTGGAGGAGCAGGCCGAGACCGTGTACAAGAATCTCCAGGAGGCGCTGGAAAAGTCGTGCGCGTCTCCGCGAGATGTGATCAAGGTCACCTTCTACGTCGTGGACTGGTCGCTAGAGCAGGGCGAGACCTTTATCAAGCAGTTTGTCAAGTTCATGACGGATGAAGATGGCACGACCCGTCGGCCCATTACAACGTTGATTCCTGTCACGAAGCTTGCAATCCCGGGAGCCAAACTGGAGATCGAGGTGGTAGCTGCGGTCGGAGGCCATGCTGAGCGATACGCAGGACCCTCTGTTCGCTCCTTTGCCCGACCAGGAGCGCCGTCCAAGGTCGACGTGGTGGTGGTTGGCGGCGGCTTCAGTGGTGTGCAAGCAGCGTGGGATCTGCAAAAGGCTGGGTTGAGCTGCGTTCTTCTGGAAGCGAAGCATCGCATTGGTGGCCGAAGCCGGTCGCAGCAACTGCAGAGCGGGCCGGGCATCATCGAGCTTGGGGCGACCTGGATCAACAAGAGGACACAACCAAAAGTGTATGCCACAGCTATACGACTGGGCTTGGACGTTGTGGATCAATATACCCAAGGGGACGAAATCTGGCAGTTCCATGACGGCGCAGTTGTGAGAACAACTCCTGGCACTGTAAGTCTAGGTGCTGTTGATGTTTGGAAAGCGTGTGGCTGCTGATCAATCCGCAACTCAGCCTCAGGCCGACCAGGTGAACCAATTCAATATCGCGATGTGTGAGTTGATCGACGGCGGTGGCCAGGACATCGACATCCACAAGACGGACGAGTTCCCCACAAACCTTGACGTTTCGATGGACACGTGGTCCGAAAGTAAAGGGTTCAGCGATGATCTGACCAAGTCCGCGATGAAGTTCTTTACAAGCGCCGTCGTTGGTCGCGATCCAGCCGAGACAGGGATGCATTATTTCCTGGATTACGTCAAGTCAGGGGGAGGATTCATGAGTCTCGCGACTGAAGGCGAAGCTGGCGCCCAGTCTCTCAAGATCAAGCAAGGTGATAAACCGAACGTCTACTCGTGGGACTTCTTCCGCTTACTTATCTGACAGGCACTTCAGCTATTGCGACTGGTCTGGCGGACGAGATGAAGCCCGGATCTATCTTTATCAACAGTCCCGTCGACAACATCCATCAAACCGCCAAAGGAGCGCTTGTCCACACTGCGACAGGAGACAGCATATTCTGTCGGAAAGTGGTCATTGCCATCCCAACCAATACCTACAAACTGATCAACTTCTCGCCTCCTTTACCTCATGACAAGAGTGCGCTTGTCTCGCGTACCAAACCAGGCGTATACGCGAAGGTCATTCTTACGTATAGTCGGATGTGGTGGAGAGACATCGGATTAGTGGGCAAATTCACGAGCTTCAAGGGCCCGATCTGTTTCTCGTGGGAGATTTCGGATGAGTCGCGGCAACAGTACTCCCTGGCGCTATTCATCGCGGGGGAGATCGCAACTAGATGGGCGACGCTGAACGAGCTCCAACGCATCGAAGCCGTGATTGACCATCTGGCCGAGCTGGTGGGTGACGAGCACGCACACCTGGCTAGAGACGACGTCCTCGAAGTCAACTATGTCAACTGGGGCGAGGAAGAATACCTGGGTGGCGCACCCACGTCCGCGATGGGACCTGGGATGCTCTCCAGGTACGGTGCAGCGCTGCGACAGCCATTCAAACACATCCACTTTGCAGGTGGTGAGACGGCGTTTGAGTGGAAGGGGTATCTCGAAGGTGCTCTTAGGGCGGGGAGCCGTGCGGCCGATGAGGTGCTTGCCTGGGCGAAGGAGGAGGGTCTGATCGGAAAGGTCTCGGCGAACCTGTGAAGCATGAGCTCTCTATCTATTTACATATCTGGATACTCTCTACTCTGATCAATACTCCACCATCCTCGCTATCTACCCCCTACTGGTAATCTTTTCAACTCCTTTAACCCCGGGCTGCCCGTGCTCGAATGCGGGTGAGACCCTACTCCACACCGCACTAGTCCTATTTAGGACACTTGAACGTCCTCTAAGCGCGGTATATTGCTAGCATTCGCAATGTCGCCGGGTCTATTTCCCCACCTCTGATACCTCCCCCGGTCTGGGGTCGGGGTGAACTGATAACGAGGCGAACTGAGGGAACAACACCATGAAGTCAATACAACCATATGGCGAGAGCTGGATGGATGGAGAATTCCCGACCACGGATCGACTTGCATCTCCTCTCAATCCTCGCATCAAACATCATGCAGTCATCACAGATGGATATCAATCCTGATAACGAACATGCATCGAAGCGCGGTTCAACACCATCGACAAAGGACCTGAAGCCTACGGTCTGCGCCTCGACGAGTAACCTCGGTCGATGCTCGCCTTCCGCCTTCGGCCTGGGCGCTGGTTCTATCATGGCCAAGTCTTATATCATTACGACCCTCTCCCAGACATGGTCTCCTGATCTCAGATGATACGCCTCCCTGCTTCAATGGTGGTTTGACTTGTTCACCTCACGCAATAATGGACACCAAAAATCCCAAGACACTAGCACTTGGTCAGTGCCCACAGGGCATTCTTCCCCGGATTGATACAGACTGACTGACCATGACCAACAGCGACAGAGCAACAACTGCATCGTTTCATCAGCGTGGGAGATGGGACCGTCCAAGACCTTACGATCGGAAGTCCCCCGACAAAATTACAATTCACCAAATGGAACATGGTCGCCTTTGCCTTTGTCATCTGCAACAGCTGGGCCGGCGTCGCAGGAAGCATTCAACTGGCGCTTCTGCAAGGCGGGCCCGCCACTCTCATCTACAGCATCGTCGTGTCCTCGATCGCCTACATGAGCGTCGCCATCTCCATGGCCGAACTGGCCAGTGTTTATCCAACCGCAGGCGGACAGTACCATTTCGCGTCGATCCTGGCCCCGAAGAAGATCAAGCAGGGCATCTCGTACGCGTGCGGCCTGCTGTCCATCTTCTCGTGGACCGCCATCGGAGCGGCCGTGACCGTCATCCCCGCCCAGCAGATTATGGCGTTGGTGGCGGCGTTCCATCCCGGGTTCGAGACCAAAGAGTGGCACGTTCTTCTCATTTACCAGGCCATGGCTCTTTTCGTGCTTCTCAACAATCTGTTCCTGCTGAAGAAGACTCCGTGGACTCACAATGTTGGATGTACGTCTCGTCTTTCCCTCCACAGCCAGTGTACGAAGTCAAAGCTTTCTGATGGAAAAATAGTTGCTCTCACCTTGTGCCTATTTCTGGCGAGCTTCGTGGCACTGCTGGTCCGATCATCGCCCAAGGCGCCGTCGAGCTTCGTCTGGGCCACCTTTATCAACTACACGGGCTGGCCAGACGGGGTGTGCTTCATCATTGGCCTGTCGACCTCGTGTGTCATGTACATCGGCTTGGACGCCTCGATGCACATTGCCGAGGAGTGCAAGGACCCGAGTCGGACGGTTCCCACGGCCATGGTCACGGCGGTGCTGATCGGGTGTGTGACGGCGTTTGCGTACGCGGTCGCCCAGCTCTATGCTCTGACCGATATTGAGGCCATTATGACCACGACCGAGTGAGGAGAAGCTCTTGGAAAATGTTTATTTATCCATGTATACGACTAACATTCCACAACAACAACAGGTACATTCCCTGGGTGGTGATGAGACAGGGCTTCCGATCGACGGCCCTCGCGACCGCCTTCATCGTCGTCGGCATCGTCATGACCGTCTTCATCCTCAATGCCGTCCAGGAGACGTCGTCCCGTCTCGCCTGGTCGTTTGCCCGCGACAACGGCCTCGTCTTCTCCTCCCGGCTGTGCAGGATCCATCCGACGCTGGAAGTTCCCGTCTACGCGCTCCTCCTGACCTATGCGATCCTGGTCCTGTGTGGATGCATCTTTGTCGCTTCTACTACCGGTACGTACTGTGTATACTTTTCTCCCTTCTTTCCCGCTTCGCGGCCTCCGCCTCCGCAACTAACGTGTATGCGATCGTGTGTACACAAAATAGCCTTCAACGCCCTCATCAGCTCGTCGATCGTGCTCCAACAGCTCTCCTTTGTCATCCCCGTCGCCCTCCTGCTCTACCGCCGCCGGGGCCCCAAGTATCTCCCGCGGACCCGGTTCTTCGCCCCGCCGCCGGCCGTCGGGTGGATCGCCAACGTCATCGTCGTCGCCTTCTCCCTCGTCACCACCGTCTTTTTCAATATGCCGGCCTTTTTGCCCACTTCGGCCTCGTCGATGAGTGAGTGATTTCACCATCTTTTTGTTTTTGTTTTTTGGTGTAGAAACATTCATGTGTGGATCCCGAAGACCTCTGAGAAATTCCTCCCTCCTTTCAATTCACGCGAAACTATTTGCTAACCTGCTCCTGAATAGACTACACGTGTGTCATCTTGGGAATCGCCCTGCTTCTCGGTATTGTCAACTGGTTCGCCCACGCGAGGAGGCACTATCAGGGCCCGACGATCATGTTTGAGAGCGAGGGCGAGGTCGAGGTCGAGGTCCAGGTCGCAGGGGAGGACAAGGATGAAGGCCGATGGGTATCCGTCAGCGTCGAGTGATTGATTCGGCAGCTTAGGCTGATTCGGATGATCAAGCTGATTGAGCTGATTGATATGGTGAGCGTGGACCGAACACCTGGGATACATAAAATGCGGAGTTTGCCAGGATTTCATTGCTTCTACAGCAGCATAACACAGCATAGCATAGCATAGCATATGATATGATATGAACTGAATGTACTCATTTTAGTCAGCGTGTTCATTGTGTTCAGTGTACTCATGTATACATACATACATACATACCGCGCCGAGACAGCGAGATATAACAAAGGGGCCCGGACGGTCCAGTCGGTTCGAAGACGAGATCAGTGCACATCGGACAAGACAAGACAGGGTAGGACAGGTTATGACATGACAGGACCACTCGTCACAGTACTTATACAAGGACAAGCCGCCTAGATTAGTTAACTACATCAACGACTGAGAACCCACCTACCAAGAATCTTGAATACCATCAACACCCGCGGACGCCCACTCAGTAAGTCAAACTCCCAATAATACCTAGGTGCCTACTCGGGTTCATACGAGGCGTTCCTTTCCATCCGCAATGAAACGTCACCATTAGCCTGCAGTATCTTCGTTCCACCTACACGGGACTCACTCACCATTCCACGCCCAAGCAGAAACTCACGTCGTCGTCTCCACCATCTGGTACACAGCCTTCTCGCTCTGCGACTCCTGCATCTCCAGCGACGCGCTGCCCTCGTCCGCCATTCCAGCTTCAACCATGTGGATCGCATCGACCCGTCTCACGACGTCAGAGGGGATCTTCTTGGCTCGGCGGACGACGTCAAAGGGGCTGTTGGCTCCCTTGAACACGGCGTCGATGGCTTCGAGCGAGTGTCGACGAGTCTCGGGGAAGAAGAAATATACCACTAGCCACACGGATTGAGTCAGCTCTAAACAGATTCGGACCCGTTGAATCCGACGTGGTGTAGGCGGCACAGAAGGCTTACCAGGCAGAATGATGCACAGATTGGTGACTGCAAAGATGATGAAAAACCTGTTGCCCAGGTTTGTAAACCCAATGGGTGTAATCTCCACAACGAGAAAGTTGATGCTCCATAGCGTCGTAGACGTCAGGCTGTAGATGGGCACGCGGTATGCCAAGGGAGCGACTTCGGTGCCGTAGAGATAGTTGACCCCGAGGGCACCCACGGTGAAGAAGAAGCCGTACAGAAAGACACACAGCGCTGAAATGATGGAGCATGCGCGCGAGTCTGCAGCGTGTCCGACAGTTCCAGCAAGAATGATAAACACAGCGCCCATACCGACGGCGCCCAGAAGCATGAGTGGACGGCGCCCAAAGCGGTCGACGGTGTAGATGGTCAGGAAAGAACAGGCAATTTGCCAAGTGTACACCGAGCCCGACAGGATGCGGGAGGTCAGGGCTGAAAGCCCAACATACTGTTCAAAGATGGTGGTCGTGTAGAACCCAATGACGCCCGCGCCGTTCATCTGCTGCGAAAAGGTGCTGAAACAGGCCAAGAAGGTACGATTGAGCAGCCGGTCACCGTTATTGTGGAAGAGACCTAGAAGGCTGCCTTGATCCATTTCCGCGAGTGATTTCTGCATCTCGTGGATCGAGGTCTGGATGTCCGGTGAGTCCTCCGGCAGGTCTTCGAGGATGGCGAGGATGGTTGTCGCTTCATCGATACGTCCCTTCTTGACCAACCACCGTGGCGAGTCGGGTAGGAATATACAAGCTGCCAAAATCCAGAGGGCAAGCACGATAGGAAACGCCCAGGGAAATCGCCAGCTCACGCTTCCCCGTGTGAAGAAGAATCCCAACTCGACCCACTGACTGAGTGCTAGACCACAACTCGCAAACATGCCTTCAAGCACAACCAATGCACCACGGTGCTCGGCGGGAGAGCACTCTGACTGCCAAACAGGAACTGTGGCGCTGATGGCACCGAAACCGAAGCCGAGGACAACACGGCTGACGATGAGTTGACCCAACGAGAAGGACGTACACATGATGATGGCGCCAACGATCTCGATGACGGCACCTATCATGATTGTGCGCAGGCGACCCAGCTTGTCGCCGAGCTTGAGGCATAGAAGAGAGCCGAACATGCAACCAACAGTGTATAATGCCACAACAGTTCCTTGACAACATTGTAGCACATGAGCCTCCATCATGGAAAGAAAACACTAGGCGGTGTGATAGCACGGACATAACACATTGGAGACGTAAACGGAGACAGACAACAGAGAGTAAAGGAGCTTACCCTGGATCCGTGCATTGTCCGCCTGCTGCTTGCCTGCCGTATTGACGGTATCGATTCGCGGAAAGGTCTCGACGAAGGATGGAAGAGTCAACAAACCACCGGCGGCCGCATTGTTATACCCGATCAAGATGTAGGCAGGGCAGACGACCATGGCAATCAAGGCCGTTGTCAGCCGCTTGCCACGCAGGCCGAGATAGGGTGCCTTGTGCGTCATGTCCAAGACAAGATGGTTTCAGAAGCAGAGAAATTGAAATGACTTGTGCAAGAAAGGGCACGAACACTCTGTGAGGAGCATAGAGGTACGGGACTGCGGAGATCTGTGCAGTCCAGAATGTAAACTCGGGACATCCCTCGTGAGGTAAAGGACAGCAGATGCCATTGTTATATCTCCTACCACCTGGCCATTGCCTGTTCCCCCTTTTTCCCCCCATGTTTTTGCTCCTCCGGGGTTCTGTGAGGAGAAGCTGGAGAAGTCGAGGGTATATAGAGGTCCTGCGTTTTCTCAATGGCTCGCTTGGACGTGTGAGAAGTGATCGTCGAAGGGGAAACCGCCAAAGCACGAATTGAGACGACGGAGAAGACCCGCAGTGCCGGTGTCACAGCCGACAGAGCCGGATTTAACCGGATTCATAGCCGGGGAGAAGCTGGATGGAACAAGTCCTAGAGGATGGATAGACATAGGAGCATCTTTGAGGAGATGCTGGAATGGTGATTCGTCGGCAGATTGTTGAGAGACTTCAGTGCTGTGTGAAGTGAAGCTGCGGTCACGGATCAACAGATGATCCTGTCCCTGGGCCTGTCACCAACCACCATCTCGAATGAATAGGTATGCAGTGCCCTGTTCCCGGGAAAGTGACAGCCATTCCCTTCTTGAGTGGTGAGAAGTGCGAAGCTCTGTACATGAGTAAGAACGGATCTATTTGCTACCAATTCGTACTCGGCTCTTCCAAGACCTTGGCAAGCTTGTCTCTAGTTCCTCCACTCTATAAACCCCTTGGCCCCTTTAGTCTAACAGCCTCGTCGGTTGTGCCTTTAAACCTGACACTCTTCTGTCCACTATCAGGCCTTTGCGACTCGTATCACGAGCGAGTTTCAGAAGGCAGAGATACTCAAGTGCCCTATGATATATCAACGTGTTGGTTTCTGGCGGGCCGATCCAGGGCCGGTCTGATGCCTGAACCGGATGGCGTACGTCATTGATACTAAACTCTTGGTTGCCTCGACTGTCTTTATCAGAAATTCCCCGTACGCATTTCACAATCTCTCCATGTCATCACGAACCGACGAAATTCAGAACCACCTCCCTCCCTCCTGTATTGCTGGTCAACCATGTCTCAGTCGCAACTTGACGTGGTGAAATCCATGTACGATGAGCGCAGCGAAGAGTACGACGAGAACGACGTGCACGTTAAACAGGCTCAGGACTACATCAAATGGGCCGCACTAAAGGACGGGGACAGCCTGCTCGATCTAGCCTGCGGAACGGGCCTTGTGGCCATAGACGCCAAGCAAGTGGTCGGGAGATCCGGGCGCGTCGTCGGCGTCGATATCAGCGAGGGAATGTTGAATGTCGCCCGGCGTAAAGCCCAAGCTGCTGGGCTCGACATTGCATTTCACAACCACGACATCTCCGACCTCAGTGGGCTCGACATCACGTCAAATGATTCTGAGGGATCCTTCGACGTGATAACCTGTGCGTCGGCGCTGATTCTCCTTACGGATCCTCTCCAGGCCGTCAAAAACTGGAAGTCGGCGCTAAGACCCGGTGGCCGCTTGATCACCGACGTGCAAACAAAGGACGCAAACGTGGTCATGAATATCTTCTCTGCCATTGCCCCGGAACTCGGTGAGACAGTACCCTGGCACTCGCATCTGTGGCAGTCACAACAAGCTCTGGCGACCTTGATGGTTGACGCTGGGTACCATGTTGACAAAGTTTTCGAAACCGAGGCATACGCGAGGACGCAGTATCATCCCGACGCGGCTGCCGAGATCTTCGAAAAGGCTGTCAGCAAGTCCATGTTCAAGGACTTTGGTCGAACCGATATCCGTGAGAAAGCCAGAAGATTGTTTGTCCAAAAGTTTACCGAGACTGCTGGGACCAAAGATATAATCGACGAGGAGACAAGATACTGGGTCACAGTCGCCACTAAACCGGAATGAGGAGCAACACGGATGAAGGGCTCGACCAAATGTATACAAGTTGGTAAATGGAAACTCGCCACGTAACAATCATTACATCTACCCAAATTCGCGCCTTATGTCCACATAAAATCGTACATTCCGTTAGACCATATAATGACATCCTGGGATCATTGTCGGCTTTTGGTCAGAGCCGCCTTAGAAAAATCGACGAGATCGTTCGTTGCCTGTTGTGTCGTGTACAATTGCTTCTGCAGGGAAGAGACCGATAAGTCAGACATTTCCATCTTTACAGTTCGGAATCGGCCAGAGGGATGCCAGATTCGGAGACGTGAATATGCGGGAATGAGAAGGAGAGGTCAAACACACTTCATCCGTCACTTGACCCTTCGTCATCTTGCCATACCTTGTTCAGCGACCGGTTTCCGCTTGAATAGTTTCCTCAGGCTTCCGGGTTTGTCATCTGGAGACCATGCTCGTCCGCCTGCTGGTGTCACCACCTCCGGCTCGGTTGCTGGGATGGGCTCATGGTGGACATATGCAGGGTGAAACTCGTCAGCTCCATGTGCAGGCCAACCTCCAGGGACGCCTTCCATTTCGGCGCGACCCTTTTCCAAGATCTCCTCGTTTTGGGCGTTCACCCGAGCCGCCTTTTCGGGATTTTTGGATGGGAAGCGGCGGTCTATTGTGGAGCTAAACGTGCCTCGAAGAGTCTCTCCGACGCCCTGTGAATATGTGAGTCAGAATAATGTCTCAAGAGTACTTGAGAAGATGGAAACATACGTGAAGTCCCTTGGCCGCAGCTCGCAGATCGTTGATCGTATTTTGATTATGTCGCATCGGCTGGTCAGCTGTTTTGAGGGATGAACGAGTTGGATAGCTGAAGTTGTGTCTTGAGGGACTAGCTGGTGGTGTTCCGCTATTGCGTCTGGCGAAAGGAGGATCGACAGGGCTCACAGGATCACCATCCGCAGGATAGGCGTCCCGTGTAAAGTCGCCGGATCTCCTCATAGCGCTTTTAGCCGGTATTGGAGGAGAGTCGGCTGCAAGCAGTCCTCCACTGGCCACCACAGGTAGCCGTCCCTTCTGTGTCGTGTTGGTAGATGCCATGGCTGGTTGGTCACGAGGTTCCGGGGTTGTGGATCCTGCGGGCATTTCGAGCAGCTCAGGGTGTTGGCTTGGGCCGGATTGTACTTCGCGCTTAACGTCCTTTTGGACATCTTGATGTTTCTTCCCTCCTCTAGTAGTTGTAGTGGTGGTGGTAGTTGTCTAGCATATCATTAGCATTCTTAACCAGAAACTGGGTATCGGAGGCAAAAAAGTCCTCATAATCTTGCCGGGACTTACCGTAGTGGTCACTACAGTAACAACTTCTCCTGTATCTTCATCAAAAACCTCCCCCGTCGAAGGTTTCAATGCGAGATTCCTGTCCTGGTCGATGTTGGCTATCTCGCTGTCCTTCTCCGCGGATATTATCTCATTCTGATTTCTTTCCTCAGGAGTAATGCCTCCTGGAACACCGTCCGCACTATTGGCTCCACTTGACGCATACGCCGAATCGGGTCCAACGTCTGGCTGCGGTTCGGGGGTTTTCTCTCGCTTCCCGAGCAAACGGCTCAACTTCCGATGCTTCTTCTCCTTCTCGTAGGCAGGCGAGGTCGTATTGGCAAAGGCTGCTTGGGACATTCTCGTGCAAGATCAAGGTGGCTGTTATACATGAACTATTGAAGACGGTGAAAGCTACAGTAGAAGACGATGTAGGAGGAGAGAGAAGCAGTTCAGCAGCTCCTGGGGCAGTATTTCAGGGTTCTGGTCGCTCCTTGGACTGGACACGCCAGCCCCGTCGATCGTGCACAGTGATGTCATTCGGCAAGCCATGATCGGCGCGTCAATCGAGAAACGCCACGATGGCTGCACAGCCACAAGTTGCGGGACAGACGAGGGGGAAGAAACGGCTCGCTAATTAGACGGAGGCAATCCAATCAATCGCATTCGGAGGTTGGCCGCCGTTGACGCAGGTGCTATGGGTCTGCTCTATGCCTGATAACCGATCCCATTCCTCCTCTCCGGCGGAGATTCGTGTAAGCAACGTCAAGTTCCAGCTCGATGTCGCATCTAACTTTCAGCTCACAGATATACGGCCAGGTGCACTTCTCACCTCGAGTGCTCCACTTCTGCAATTTCTCTGGGGTAGGAGTATCAAATGTGCTGAGGAGATCCCACAGTCCGAGTTGCGGTGTGATGGACAATTTCGACCAGGATGCGAGAGTTGGTACGACTTCGTCCATCAAAACCCGCTGGAGAAAGGTTGGTAGCATCCCGAAGTGATTCATAACCTGCAGCCAGTGCAGCAGTTCGTCCAAAACAAAGCGAACTAGGATACCGAGAGGTTGATGACGGTCAGCAAAGTTCTGTAGTTGAATAAAGGGAGCTATGTATGGTCTGGACTGAGACACAATGAAGTGATTGACGTTGAACAATTCGCCTATCCGTGTCAGCGGCGCTTCCGGGTGGACAGAGGCCTGTCGATGCAGATTACAGCCCTTCTCCGAGAAATCGGCAGCAAAATACAAAGTGATATCGCCCGTGGCACTCTTGCACAGTAAATGAACAGGAGCGTACATGGCTTTCGAGGTCGCTATGGACGCCACCACTGCGGATCGGACCAGTACGTGAGGCGCCGTCAGGTAATTTAGGAGTTGCGGTGTTCCCGCTACCTCGGACATGGCGATGGTGATGTTTAAAATTCTTCCTGTCTTTGCATACGCCTCTTCAAATGTGATATCCCCCAGATTGTCTCGCGTGCATTCGTGCAGCACGTCGATGTCGAATACGTGGTGGGAAGTTCGATAGCGTTGATAACGTCGTTTGATGGTTGCGAGAAAGGAGGAGTTGAACCATGATACGGGACCACTCGCAGCGCATCTTTCTTGAGAGCGAAGGAACGCATCCAGGTTGATGTTGGTGGCCTCCAGTACGCCAATCAAGTCTTCGTCTTTTGTCACGCATATATGTGCAGCAATCAGAGCTCCTGATGATGTCCCTGTAATGATCCGAGGAAGCAGCCGCTGTAGGTAAAGTGCTTTGACCACCCCAAGATGACACATACTGATCATAGCACCTCCTTGAAGCACCAGACTCGTACGGCCAAGGGCAGTGCGCATGTCAATGATAACTTGGCGCTTCTCTTGTGCTGGAACAACTGGAGCAACTCCATTGGTAAGGGCGTTCCGATCTGAGATGTATGCGATACAGTGGCGCACTTCCGTCACATAGTCGTGGATCAGTCGTTTGGTTTGTATCTTTGATTTCCGGTACAATGCAGGAGATAGAATCCGGCACATATTACGGGAGCTTTGTGCTCTCAGCTGGCTGCATAACCCTCTCTCATCTCCCATCCGTCGGCATCGTTCAAGGTCTCGCCTTAGTGTTCGAAGGATGTGCCAGTCGTAGCTCGAGTGACGGTCTATCGTGACCCAATTATCGACTCCATGAATAGCATCGTACTCGAACTGTCCAGTGTACCACGCCTCGTAGGTGTCAGGTGTCGTGTCACCGTTGATGTGTGGTTTGGTCCAAGGTTCGATCCAGACTAAGAGAAACAGGTACCGAAGGATGCTCCATAGGCTGCTGAGGATGCTAGAAGGACCACTCATTATTACAAAGCATTGCAGATATGAAGAGCCATGGAGTTCCGCACTTTTCCGACGTCGAAAAAGGTGAATACTGGTACAGACAATATGAGATGTCGAAGATGACAAGAGTGGCTGAGTTGGTGAGTTGCGGACTCACACAGGAAGAGCCTCGGTGACGCTGCTTTTGTTGAGTGATTCCATTGTCCGCAGAGTTAGTGCCTTGGCAGTGCCACCATAAAGCGGCCCTACTCTCACCCCTCCGTATATCTTGGGCTTCACCATTCAATCCTCAATCCAACATCTGCGTGTTCAAAAATTTTCTCAGAATGTATTCCCTCGACGAGCGGGTCCCGCTCATCTCCATTCCCATCTGCTAGAAACATCGTGGTTAACTAAAGTCCGCCTCGAGGGCCATCCAGTGGAACTGAGTGTTGCCGATATCGGCTTCGCAGGTTGATTCTCCAAATATTGTCATGGATATATAACAGATCCCAATCTCATATCCTGCTACTAAACTATTGGCATTCTTCAGAAGATCTAGCGGCGGCTAAAAAAGTACAGTGCTTCTTCGAACTCATACAGCCTCAATCAGGTGTGCTTCTTCTTCAAGCTCAAGAGTACCCGATACACAATGGCCAAAGAGCAAGCCGTCTACTCCCACGGCCATCACAGATCAGTGGTCGAAGATCACGCGCGTCGAACGGCCCAAGACTCAGCAGCATTTCTTCTTCCCCATATCCGCCCCAACCACACCATTCTTGATGTGGGCTGCGGTCCAGGTACCATCACTGCTGATCTGGCGACCTTTGTCCCTGAGGGCAAGGTCATTGGTGTTGATGCCGTCGAGTCTGTGCTGGGACAGGCGTCGGAGTATGCCACGTCCAGAGGGGTGACGAATATTACATTCCAAAAAGTCGACGCCAATGACTTACCGTTTGAGGACAACTCCTTTGACATCGTGTTTTGTCATCAGGTCCTGCAACACGTGAAAAATCCGGTCGCCATATTGAAGGAGATGCGGAGAGTTGCCAAGCCTGGTGGTATCGTGGCTGCTCGAGAAGCTGACTACAAGTCGTTCGCTTGGTATCCAGAAACCCCTGAGATCGCGCGGTGGGCAGAGCTCTATCAGAAAGTCGCAAAGACGAATGGAGGCGAGCCCAATGCAGGGCGATATTGTCACGTCTGGGCGAAGCAAGCTGGTTTCTCCCCAGATGAGATCACCACTACATGGGATTGCTGGAGATTTGCTGGGCAGCGAGTGGCCCAGTTTGCTCAAAGTTGGACAGGGAGAATCTTACAGCCTGGATTCATGGGGACGGCGGTCCGAGAAGGATTTTCAACCGAAGATGAGATCAAGAACCTCTCTGAAGCCTGGAAGAGATGGGGCGAGGACGAGGATGCTTTCCTTGCAATTCCCAGTGGAGAGATCTTGTGTCGTAAGACATAGCGGGATGGAAAACCCCGGAAAAGGAGGAAATGCAGCTGGTGATATTGGATCCTACTTGCGATGTCCTGTCCAATCACAACCTCTATGTATAAGGAATCTATCTCTCTTCGTGAGGACATGGGTTTGGTGATCGAGCGGGAGTATCTTTCTTTCATGTATTCCCCTGGTAACAAAAGGATCCTCTCTTCAACGCGGGCAAATATCCAATCCCAACCACATTGGTTCATGTTATAAATCAGCAACCAGAATGAGGAGAAGCTCGTGCAATGCCCCTCACATCACCAGATGTCGCCATTGCCTCTGCTGCGGGCCATTGAGAGATGCTTGACATCACATGCCTACAGCACCTCGAATAGTCATGATGGTGTCTCGCTAACTGCTTGGCTGTGCATGTAGACTTGATGCAGCGACCATTGCCTCTTCTCCATTTGGCCGTACCATACATAAAGCATCCACCTTCCTCCACATTTCGCCTGCATTCCATTAAGCCCGAACCTGGGGAATGTATACACGTCCACAAAATGGCAACAGTGACCAAGATCAGCCTCTCTACCGATGTGCCGGCCATCGTCCGTGTCAAGGTCTTGGACCAAGAAGCCACAGACACGACCAGCTCTTTCCTCAACCATAACCACACCACCCACGACATCCTCTTCGACGAGGTCGGTCGCCACAACCACATCGTCCACCACGCCCTCGCTGCATTCGCCTTGGGAGCCGACGCAGAGACATTGAAAAAGCAGTATGAAAAGAACGCATCGTACCAGCGGCCCCCTCCACCAGCAGACGAAAATGCCCTCGAGTCCCTGGATAGTGACCCTCGGGTGCTTCTGAACAGCATGACCAGGTCGGAGAACTACTCGACTTTCCTGGCGTATTTTACGCAAAAGCTCTCGTCGGCATCGATCCCCGACGTTCTCAACGAGTACGTCTTCTCCGACACCGAACCGGCCAAGACCATCTTCAACCGCTTCTTCGCCGGATACTATCACCCTTTTATCCACCTAGGATACGGCGTGGAGTTCAACCAGCCGGCGATCGTGGCCGAGGCGCTGGCCCAGGCGTGCGTGCATCCAACGTACCTGGACGCCTTTTTCGAGCTCACTGCGAAAGCCGCAGAGGATGAAACGCCAGACACGATGGTGAACCTGCTGAACAAGGTCCGCGGCGACGCCAGAGTCTCGACAGCGGCGCACTGGGACGACGGACAAAAGGTCCGCGACGGCGTGCTCGCCCGTGCCAAAGCCGAAATGGTCGCCTACGCCGCGCAGTGGCAGGTCCAGCCTCCCTACAGCCAGGAGCGTCTGGAACGAGCCGCGGCGGAGGTGATCAACGCGGACGCATATCTGACGGGCGCGGCGCAGAACCCGCCCAAGGTCATCAAGATGGACTTTTTCTACATGCACGCCGTCAACTCGAGCATCTTCCTCAGCGTCTTCCTCGCGCAGGACTGGATCGCCCCACAGATCAAGGCCAAGCTGGTCGAGTGGAAGGGCCGGCTCGATCTAGCGCTGTACGCGTCGCGGAGGGCGCCGAAGCTCCTCCTCGATGAGATCGCGAACTATCCCGCCGACGGCAGGGAGGTACTCGGCTGGGACGAAATATACAGCGTGGCGAGTCCGTTCATGGATGACGGGCACACGGCGAAATTCATCCGCGCATTGGCGAATGGAGAGAGGATGTGCGCTCCTTTTGAAAACGAGATCCGCAAGCCATTGTCTAACGAGACTAATGGACACGTCAACGGACACGCGAGCGGCGTGGGCTTGGAAGCTAATCGAGAGAACGCGCCCGACGACGTATGGAAGATCAAAGGAGACATGTGGCGGCGACTGGCTATGATGGTGCTGGACAGCGTTCAACCCGAACACGGTGAGAGGTGGGCGAGAAGCGTGGGATTCGCAGAAGCATGGAAGGACTATGGGCTGAGGAAGGATTCATCCCGAAGCAATGACGCCTAAAGCGTAGGTCATGTTGTATCATATTTTAAACCATCGTCAGTCTTGAACACGAACACCCCCAAGCACTTGATCCCCTGTCGTGTCTCTCCACGATGTACCATACACGATGATTCCAGCTGTCGAGCGACTACTTACCAAAACCATAAAATACAATCCCGCAACGTGGAAATGCTGCGCCGCTATCGATCTTCATCTCCATCAGACAGACACGCACAGTGCAGACCCGTCAATACCTAGCTTGCCCTTGCCTAGATACCTATCAGCGAGTAGCAACATAGTTCATGTTGGTCCAAAAGCGGTTAGTCAAGTACCCAAAACAGTTAGTGTTCTACCGAAGTATCTACCTGTTTTGTACTCCGTACCAAGTCTACAAGTAAAACACAGAATACCCGTTATTAGATCCAGATCAAATCTATCCCAGTAGGATTCAAGATAAGAGGGCATTAAGAAAAGAAACCATGGAGACCTCGAGGGGTTCGACAAACACACCATCACCCACAGACCTTTTCTACCTATCTACGAGGTACTCACGCTTCTTCACTCCAGTATGCCCCTCCGCTTCGTTACTCACTGGTTCCAAAGAATTAATATATATATTTTCGACCGGTCCAAAAAAAAAACCCAAACCCGACCTGCGCTTTAAAGACGTTTCCAGCTCTTGTCCTCTTCGTTTGTCACCGTTAGAACCTCAAGGGTTCCGCCATACCTGTCCAGCTCACCAGATATCAACACGTCTAATATACAAAGGGTCTCACCGGCCAGGCTCCATTTCTCAAAGACCCTTAGTCTCCCGCGAATGAATGACTTGGGCCGCATCGGCACTATCCTCCTCACATTCCCGCGGTTGCGACCTTGTTGTTCCCCGGGCTTCCCAAGAAATAAACGGTTCGTCGGTCTTGTTGCTGTGTATCAAATTATAATGTACATTGTCGCCGCCTCTCAATCCAGATATCCCTCCCTCAGTTCGTTTTGTTTCACCGTGCACTTAATGTAGGGTGTTCACTTGGGCTTCCCAGAACCCCTGCGGCAGCCTGGGAATATTAATCTTTGGGAATGAAATCCCTCCGCCAGTACTGGACTCCCTCTTTGGAAGGCTCTTAGGCGGCGAGGGTGTCGAGGGCGGAGTCGTCGAGTGCTGTCGACCGCCAATACTTATTCGCTTGTTTTCGCGGATGTTGTCAAACGTAGTCAGACTCTCGTCCAATCCTTCTTGAAGTTGGAGGCGTGCGGCTTTTTCCTCGGCAGATTCAGCCTCGACTTCGTCCGTGCCCGGTGTTGAGTGCTGAGAGCTATCCGTCGCTATAGTTGTTGCGTGTTGTAGTGAAGTACCGTCCTCCTCATTTCCATCTGGGGTGTGGCCTTCTAGTTCCGCGTCCATTTTTGCATCGTCTATTGGGGTTTGTTTCGGTGTAGGGATGAATGCAGGCACAACACCCCCCGCCATTCTCGCCCAGAACAAGCGCTCTCTTAGCCGCACCAATTCTTCCCATGCATCTTCCTCATCCTTCTTGTCACCAACCTTGACTACTCCCTCCCGGACCATGCGTACATAGGCGACCAGATCACCCACGCCACGCACCTTTTCCAAGCATAGGGTGCAAATGCACCATCTGGTAGCGCTTTCTCCCTCGCGTACACGCATGGCGTGGGTTCGAGGGTTTTCTCCTTGTTTCCTGTTCTCCCCACACAGCGCGCAAGGCGTGTATTTCCCGTAGAGCTTGATGGATGCTTCGGGAATTGGCTCAACAATCAGAGTCGAATCGGCCATGGCGGCAAGAATGCTGCGTCGATTCAACCAAGAAAGGGTCGGTGAAAGGTCAAGACGAAGAGTCGGCTCAATGTCTTCGACCAGGATGCGCTTGAAAAAACGGGTTTCTCTCAGCGGGACAGGTCCTTTGGCATCTGGATTGGGACTAAATGATCCTGGAATATTCGGAGAATTGGCCAGTTTCGACGTTGCTGGCTGAGAGATCTGTGACAAATTCGGTTGCGAGTGATTACTCAGTGAACCGAGACCTACCACATTTAACCCGCCATAGGACCCAGAACCTGCTCTGGACGGGGCATGGGAAGGATTGTGCGACCGGAAATGGGACGTTTGTACCAGATTCCTGAAGTCCTCGTACGCTGGAATATCTGTCCGACATAGTGGTTTAACGAGGTGTGTCAGAGTTGTAGAAGGGCTCGGAGCGAGTTCCCCGTGCTCGAGAGTGACAGGAGATAGGTTCATTGCTTCAAGGAGGCGGGCAAGATCACCACCTTCTCTCGTGACGCCGGGGCTTGAAGGTGCGATTGACACCCGTGGAGAATCAAGTTCCCTTCTGTAGTCTGAAGCTGGACCGATCTGCTGCATCAGAGTTTTCAACTCCGCCAGTTGCTCCGTCTGAGAGGCTATCAAAGCCTCGCCGTCCTTAATCTGATCGCGAAGCTGCTGATTCTTCTTCTCAACGGCATCCCGATCTCGGTTAGCGGTAGCCACCATCTTGTTCGCTTCATCGAATAATGAGGCTGTCAGAGTTTCCAGCTCCGACTCAATTCCTCGCTTTTCTTGAAGGACCTGCGCCCTTTGTTTCTTCTCCTCAACCAACTCCGCTGTAAGCTTATCTTTCTGTTCATCGACCTTTTCCTTTGGCAGTAAATCTCCCCGCGAGATCTTTTCTTCATATGCTTTGGCCTCTGCCTCTAACTTCGCGATGCGTGCTCTTGAGGCTTCCAACTCTTGTCTCGTCTGGGCAAGGGTATCGTCCAGGCTAGTTTGATGGTTGATCGCACTGATGAGTTTGTCACTTAGTGCGGCCACTTCGGCATTGACATCCGGATGTTTTGAGGGGGTTGAGTTGGACCTAGAGAGGTTCGACGTATTTGCATGCCTCGGGTCCGCAATGGTCCGGAAGGAGTTGTCTGGGGAGGCCCCCTGGGGTTGCGGTGGCTCGGGAGGAGAAGATTCGACAGTTGCCATTGTTCGCAGACTAGAAGCGGACTGCGCTTTGGAAACGTGGTTGGGTGGTGTGCTCATGGGTGGCCCCAACGATATCGAGCGCGAATGGGTGGGCAAACCAGCTCCTAAGAAGGCGCCATGATGTACCCAAGCATTCATATTCCTTTTATGGAAGAGAAATGAGAGTTATCTGGTTCATGCAACTGTCGTGTAAGGCATGCTGAGTGCCGCTGGATGCGTTGAGCAAGCTGCAGACAATGGAAGCACAGCGCAAGCGAGCTGACGCGATATGCGGCTGGTGGTTCAACTGGATGAAAAGTTACAACACCTGAAAAGTAGGTGTCTCAAGCCAAAGGCGAGATCGGACCAGAGCGAGGTGATCTGGGATGGATCTTCGGATGGCTCGTGGACGACGTAGGAGCCGAACTATTTAACTCCCGGAAGGTCCTCGAGGGTTGCAACCGGCCAGACGATGAGATGGGCGTCTCCCTCTCGGTTAGTGCCCGGGTTCAGAAACGTGATGGCACAGCACCACAGCTATGCGTACGGAGTAGGTGTGCCGCGTCATAATTAAGCGGAGGGATTTGGGCGGGTTTGGGTGTTTGTGGCGCGTGGGCGCCACAAACGCTCGCATGGCTCGTTAGTTAACAAGCCGGCCGCTTCTAGCAACCCTCTGGAGATGCTGCCCCGCCGCTCGCCATTCTGCGACTTTCTTCTGAAAGTCTTTTTCTTCTATTCATGCGTTTGCATGTTCTGCAACGATGGCGGACGACGATTTAGCACAGGTATGCTACCCGAGGCCGTCGTTCAATTCAAATGATTCGCTAACAAGCACAGATCAGAGCAGCGCGTCTTGCGCAACTCAAACAACAGCAAGGCAGAGGAGGGTCAAGTGACAACGGCGATGATGAAGAGAAGAGAAGGTCCGGATGAACTTTCGCCTTTGCCTATTGTAAAATGACAAAGTGCTGATAAATAGTTATAGGAAACAAGAATCAGAGGCCCGATCCCTCATGCTATCCCAGATCCTCGAACCAGAAGCCGCGGACCGACTGGGAAGAATCCGCATGGTCAAAGAGTCACGCGCCACAGACGTCGAGAACAGGCTGATTATGCTCGCACGGTCAGGTCAACTACGACAAAAGGTTACTGAAGATCAATTAAAAGATATGCTGGCCAGTCTCTCGGAGCATGAGAAGCAAACGGGTCACACCATGGAGAGCGTGAAGGTGGTTCGGAGAGGTGGATGGGACGACGATGATTTGGACGACCTCCTCAAGGAGGTGTAGTTGCAAGAGGGGAAAAAGGTTTTGACACATTTGTATGATACCCCGCGACGAACATTGCTTTATGCATCATGACGGCACCTCTGGTCGAGGAGGGGAAGGAGATGTTGGTGTTGCCCCTTCGGGTGCTCTTGAGGCCTTAGCAGCTCTGCGCTCCTCTCTCAGTTTCTTCCGAATCGCACGCAGGTCAGGTGGTTGCTCAATGCCGAGCCTCTGACGCAGTTCACCAACATCCGTCTCAAGCTCCTCCTCCCAGTACACATTGATGAGGTCTTTGCTCTTCCACCCATTTGAGAAAGCCCATGGCAGGAATATCTGGAACATCCTCTGCCTCTCCAGTGGTTTTAGCCGGATAATTGCAGCCAGACTGAGTCCTGTCATGGGTAGTCCGGTGTTTGCAAACTCAAACGCCTTCAAACCAAGCTCTCCCTCAACCCATACCGGCAGTCCGGTCACAGCATGATAGAAATCGTGACATTCCCGGTATCGTTGCATGACGTAGGCCTCCTCTTCATCGTCGATGTACCGTACCGCATCTCTCGTATCTGGGGTGACACCTTCCCGGTCAAGCCACGCAGCGTATGTTCTCCCCACGCTGTTTTCAGGCAGTTGTCTTAATCTTTCGAGAGACATTGTCTTGGAAGTGATTCGAGGGCGATCCCGTAGGATTCTTCGTCCCGTTGGATCCGACAACATGCGATTCCGTAGCCATGAGATAAAGAAAGGTTGGGCCGTTGCTTCCCCCAATGCGGCGACCATGTCATGTCTGTAGGGATCAACAAGCGAGGTGACTGCGCTTCCAATTGCTAGGCCAACGCGCTCCACGGTGGTAAGGGGGACATGACCTGGATAGTTTGGTGGAGGGCGGTTGAGCACTGAGAATCGGCGGCGTGAGGATGGACCTGATGAAGCAGGAGTGTCATGTTGGCCTTGCAGACGAGCACAACTGCCGCAGACAGGGTTTGAAATCCGGAGTATGGAAGACAGGAGAGCGAGATCGTGCTGCCTGCTTGATCTGAGTAGCTTCATCTCGCCTTTCAGACGGACAAGGAACTCTTGGGCCTTCTGTATAATCTTCTGAGTATTGACATCTGACAGCACAAACATTTGGTATCTCGGTTAATTTTCGGTGGCACCACCCAAGCTCCCAAGCAGCGAGGCAGGTCGGCCAGATCATGCATGACCCCGATTGGCTGGAATCCCAACTTGTTGTCGATGACATCGAGTTCATCATCGTCGCCATCATCATTATTGCAACCCATGGATCTCAATCCTTCAACCTCTCACTCCCTCGAGGCTACATACTCATGCGTGCAGGCTAATGACGCACTCGAAGATTCATGACTGGCTGCAACCGGGTGTAAAATTTCGAGACAAAGTCCAGGTAAATCACGAAGGGAACAATAGTAGTGTGTTTATTTATATGAGCAATGCAGGGATGCCCCTTCTACTTGATTGTTCTTGTAGAAAGTGGTGGCCTACCTCGTCAGAAATTGCCACTCAATGACTATGCCTTATAGATATTTCTCGCACCTCGCACCCTTTCCCATTCCAATACTCACCAACCAATCTACAAAATTCGTCTACTGCAAGGCCCATCAGACCGCACTAGGCCCATTTACGACTCACAGCCGACAAAGGCAGCTTTTGCACACCACGGCACTCAAGATGTCCAATCCAGTCCTCAATTCAGAAACCATCTCCCGCATCACGGAGGCTGAGAAAGAGATTACTGGCGCTGACACCACGGTCAAGGGTGGTCCTACCGCCAAAGCTCAAACCCATGCTGGCGAGACCATCAACTCCCAAAACTTGCATGATATCACTGAGGGTGAGAAGAGGGTTACTGGTGGTGAGCGGATAAAAGGCGGTCCCACAGCCACAGCTCAAAGCATCCTGGCCCAGGAACGCAATGAGACCTCTCCCGTCGTCTCTTCTGCACAAACCCTGAACGGGACACTTGACAGCAACACGATCTCCAAGATTACTGCGGCCGAGAAAGATATCACTGGCTCCGAAAATCCGGTACGGGACGGCCCAACTGCTCAAGCTCAGAAGCACGCCAATGAACCTATCAACCATGACACCCTTCACGATATTACAGAGGGAGAGAAAAAGATCACGGGGGCACAACGCCCAGTTGCTAGTGGACCTACCGCGACCGCCCAGAGCGATTTGGCGAATAGTCGGTCTTGAGTGTCAGGATATCATGGACCGGCATCTGCCATTGCTCAGTCACAGAGGGAAAAAGGGTATCGGGACGAGAGGGGTCCTCTTAGGTCAATGCCGACACACGTTCCATTGATGGATTGTCGGGCAGAGGCATACTGTGTAAGATTACCGAGCGTCGCCATGGGTCAGAAGCTTCTTTGGCATGATATGGCATCATGGTGTTAAAGAGGGAATATTACTAGAAATGTATTGTTCTGGAAGAAACACAGAGTATACCTCACTACCATTTGAATGTTTTCATTCATTGCTCTTCTACTTGGGATTTTCGGCTCACCAATTGATTTTTATTCAGTTTTCTAGTAACATATGTAGGCTCTATCCCAGCTCAATCGCCCGAATTGAATCACTAGCAGGAAAGGTCCAAGAGAAGGACAACTTGCAGCTTTTTGCACGTGGAGTCGTGGCGTATGACTGCTAGAGATCCGACGCTGATCCGCGACCGAAGCTGTAGTCAGAAGGAATGGCGGGACTTTAGCACGCCTGTCCGACTGGAAATGGTAGGACTTTCTAGTCTCGACAAGGTGCGAGAACTATTCATGGTCCGGTGGTTGTCAAAAAAAAAAAGGGTATGGTCGTTGCAATGAACAAGCAAGTGTAGTGGGACTGCAGAAAATGTCAGGGCCGATCAGATGGTCATAATGTGGAAGCGAGCCGCAGTTATCAAAGCGCTTGGATGGAAGAGATCCGCGTATACCTCACTGCAACAAGGAAACGAGATCCCCAACCACGAATCGACCTAGTGAAGCAGAATGTAAAGCGGGTCTCTCCGGTCAGGGACATGAGATTGTTATATGCTCTTGAACGCCGCATGAGACACAGTTTTGGTGATTGCGCAGAGCTTAGAATTTCCCGAACAATGATGATGGATGATCTGCTTCATTCCCTGAAAATATGTACACTGTTGAGCGGCATCCTATAGATGACCTCGTCACCTGTTTGTTTTTCTATTTTGCAAACTCCAAGACACATCAATAGGCGATGGGCCAAGGACCACTCTTTAGTAGTTTTCTTTTCCCCATTTGTTGAATGCATCGTGGACGGCCTAAAGCAACATGTTAGACCGATTCGCAGTTGGTAAGGATGCGACGCACCTTGGGCAGAGTCACGTTGGGCACAATAACCGTATTCAAGGCGCTGGGGGCGTTTCTGGGGGTCTGGTTCTTGTCGCCCTTAGGATGATATTGATATTTGAAGTGCTTGGAGTGGTCATCATGGTCATGATCCACCTGCCACGGCATGGAGCTCTGAGCAACCGAGACTTCGGCTTCTGAGGTGGCGGATGTGGGCTTGCGACCGAAGTAGAATCCTGCGAGACCAAAGGCACCCGACATGACACCTAGGAGAATCTAGTCCTTGTTATGAGCAGCTCGTAGCAGAAGACACGGAGTGTGCGGGAACCGTACATAAAGCTCAGGATCCCGGCGGGCGCCCTTCTTCAACACTGTGTCTTTTCCGGCCTCACCAGCTTTTGCAGCTGCCCGACGAGCCAATGTTGCCACGAAAGCCATTTTCAAGGGGGTTGAGAGAGGAGTGGTGAATGTAGCTCGATGTTGAGAATTGGGAGCTTGTCAGTGGTGTGAGTTGCAGATGAGGCACGAGGTTCAACCTTGAACTTCCGCAGTCTGATTGACTGAGCCACATTTGGACTAGTGCAACATGTGACTATTCACGTGACTACATCGCGAGATTGTGTCATCGTCCCTCGTCTTCTTTCCCCTGAGCCCTGAATTCGAATTTCGGAAATGCGCATCCGGTTTCTTGCTTTCTCGTTCTTCGTGCCTCGCAGCAAGCAGCCTCACTTTCAATCGCCTGGCCCTTTGTACGCATCACCTTCACTTTCCCCAGCACCGTCATGGCCGCTCCGCTCATTCCAAGAACCCTGACACTCCGCACATAGTCGATGGTAGAAAGTAGGCCTTTCTCCTGTGCGACTTCTTTACGATCTTGACGCTGTGAACCAGATTCCACGTCTCCCCGCGACTCAACGTCACCCCTGTGCTTCCCTGGACCTGTCATACACTTTCGATATGCACCCTACATTACTTTCGTGACGCGATTCTTGTTTCTTAGGAGACCATGGCTGTCAGACCCTCAACCGCTCGAAGCGAAATCTCCTCTGCCATCTCTGAAGATGGGTACGGATCCAGACCCCAGTCAGGTGTCCCTCTTCCTGCGCTGCCCAACCCCCCCTCTTCACAACATGGTTACGCGCATCTAAGAGGTATCACGCAACCTACAAACCGCTCGATAAGGAGCAATCCCTCACCGGCCACTCCTGCCGCGCCCTCCAGTACCGCTGGCTCGAGTCGGCCACAGAGCCCTGTCTCTCAGGGGAGTCGCACCCATGTTCCCTCGTTAACGGCGCAAGGCTTCTTCAAGCCGATGAGCTCCCAAAGATTACAAGCACAAAGATTGAGGAGGCCTCTCGGCGCTAGAACAATGCAGCCGCCGGCGCCAATTCCAGATGGTGATGTTGATGAAGATGCTCGAAGTGTTGCGTCGAGCAGACAAGGCCCGTTCCATGCGATGCCTAGGAGCCATCGTCCTGCTCCATCCATCACGACGGAATATACCCAATCGGAAGCGCCAGATACCGCCGATGCCGCATCTCCCGATTTTGCTTCTCAGAATGACGGCGACACGCAGCTCGTCAATGGTGTCAACTCTCAGAAACCGCGTCGGCCATCTCGGTTAAATATCGCGACCACTCTCAAGGCTGGTGATCCGCCTCAGAAGTCACCGCTGTCTTTCCGTTCAGGATTGAGCCTAGCAAGCAAGCACCGCTTGGAATCAGGACACCTGCATCTGTCCTCCAATGCCACATCTCCCGCATATCCACCGGATACTAATACCGAGGTCGCGGTAAAGAGTGCCCTGGGCAAGAATTATGAGTATTTTGAGGGTAATACGATCTTTTGGCTGGGAGGGCGTGTTCAAAACGCTCGAGATCGTCCCATCAATATCGCCACGGGCATACTCTTAGTTCTGCCAGCGATCTTGTTCTTCGTTTATTCGTGAGTGGATCGATCTCCGTCGTGGTGGTTGCAACAGAGCTGACCAGCGCATAGGGCTTCGTGGTTGTGGCATCATGTCTCACCCGCCATTCCTATAATATTTGCTTATCTCTTTTTCATTTGTGTATCTTCTTTTCTTCACGCTTCACTTGTTGATCCGGGGGTAAGGATGCAGCCGTACTGTCTCTTTCAAACTTACCGGCTAACAGCAATTAGGTTTTTCCTCGAAATATCCATCCATTCCCCCCGGAGGATCACCAAGATCCCTTGGCTCTTGGACCTCCCACTAATGATTGGGTCATGGTACGACTGGCTACCTCGCAAACCGCAGCGATGGATGTGCCAGTCAAGTATTGCAAGACCTGCAACATTTGGCGACCGCCGCGATGTTATCATTGCCGAGTCTGCGATAATTGTGTCGAAACCCTGGACCACCACTGCGTCTGGCTCAATAATTGCGTGGGCCGACGCAACTATCGGTACTTTTTCACCTTCGTCAGCACAGCGACCTTTTTGGGCCTGTATTTGGCCTTTGCGTCCTTGGGCCATGTGATTGCCTATCGAGACCAAAGACACGTTTCTTTCGGAACAGCCATAGACCGAAATCGTGTCCCTTTTGCCATGTTTATATATGGATTGTTGGGATTCGCTTATCCATTCGCATTGTGGATGTACCACCTGCTACTGGTCGGCAAAGGCGAGACTACGAGAGAATATCTCGCATCCCGAAGATTCCCCAAGGCCGAGAGACATCGGCCTTTCACACAAGGGAATCTAATTAAAAATTGGATCTCTGTATTGGCGCGACCCAAACCTCCAACTTATCTCCATTTCAAAAAGCGATATGAAGAAGGCGATCAGCGATTTGGCGTGCGCAGGGCAGACCGGCAAGCCCATGGGGTGCAGAATGGCGAAATGGAGATGAAACCGGTACAGGGCTTGCAAAAGACCTTTGAAGGGCCCGCAGGAAGGAATTCGTCAAAGAAAGAAACCAAATGAGGGCGTATATAATAGTTGATAATGGGGATCTTGCTGTTGCCGGGGCGCAGAATGTATATCAGGCTGGGAAAATGGAACCAAAACATGTTTTGCAAGCGCAGCCAACTCAAAGCTAGATGTGGCAATTCAGGAGTCCATTCAGATCAGTAGTGCTACTCGGAGGTGCATACTCGTACTAGGAGTTGTGTAGGCTGTGTGGCTGTGGAATGTTGTTGTTATGCTTCCGGGTTGCTCTGCTGGTCGCAGGGCTGCGATTGGCCGAGAAGTCGAGTCTCGTCCCCCTGCTCCCCTAGGCGATTGATACGGTAGATTGGCTTGCCAATCTACTATCCCTCTATTTAGTTCCGAGTCCAGCCTCCTCTTGTTTGTTACACCCCTCGAACTTCTCCCTCGAACTTTTCCCTTGAACTTTTCCTTCTGTGCACGCGTATCTCTCATTTTGTACTCCTTCATCCAAGAAACTGTTCAGTCTTTACCAACACGGTTCGATTGGAAAGGGTTGACGCGTCAACTCTGCTTCACCTTGCCGCCGGCCCAGCCCATGATTACAAGATGCATTTCCGTCAGACCTTTCTTAGCTTCTACCGGACGCGAGCTCAGAATGTGAACACTGAAGTTGTCGAGTCCTCAAACACTCGGCCGCCGCTATCTCGTTCCACAAGCTCTACACCTTCTGACAATGACCCGGAAAGCATCGTACTCATTTCAAGGCCCTCCAGACAGCAACAACTCCCTACGCCGTCCGAGAGCTCCTTTGACGTGTCCCTTCAAGATGCCCAGGTCGCGACTATGAAACAAGTGCCGAAAGGCCGGGTTCGACGCGTCAGTTCCAGACTGGCCAAGACACAAAGCCACAATGGTCTCGTGGGAGACACAGAAGATGAGGATCTCAAAGGGAGGACCGTCAGTGGTGAAACTTTGGTTAATTTGGAAAATGCGAGCCAGTCAACGTTGGTCAAGGAAAGTATTGCCGCGCTGGACTTGCCGTGGAGTGTGAACGAGGTCTTTACAAAGCAAGGCAAGGAGGATGATCTGTTGAGGGAGAAGGACGGTAAAGCATACCAACCCAGAGAATCAACAGAAACTGCGGCGGAAGATGGCGAGGACCAACGTCTAAGAGCAGAGAAGGCGGCCGCAAAGAAGGTCAAAATGGCTGAGAACAATAAGATATGGGAGGAACGTCGTCAGGCCGCTCGGAAACTCGCGACAAGAAGATCGTCCAGAATGCCGATTCTGGATAAAGCGGGAGAGGTCATATCGAGTATCGCTAATAGCGTGCTTGGGAAGAGGAAGGATAGAGCGTCAGACGCGCGCAACGCAGCGCGATCGAAAAGCCTAGGAGGCGTGGAACCGACTGCTTCAGAGCCGGTCTCGAAGAAGAGGCGCATCAGTGAGGGTGATATCCCTGTTCAAGAGCTTGCCCAACCAAGAGCGCCCGTTCGTCGGCGGGAGAAAAAATGGCTTACCTCGGGCCTCTACGCCGGTCAGTCCAGGTTTGCCGAGATGCGTCCTGCTTCAAGCAAGAGCAGGCGCAAGAGTGCGGCACCTTCGGAACTTGTCAAGGAAAACTCGGTCCTGCCTCTGCCAATGTTTGGCGGCGAACGTCTGTTGAATTATGGCCGAGACTTCAAACTCCCTTTTGACATATTTTCTCCCGTTCCTGCTGGTCAGCCGAAGCCCGACGAGTGGAGAAAGGTCAATAAAAACGTCGTTGTCGGCGATGCGGCACAAACGTGGCGAGTGTCCAAGTATGAGGAGCATTCGAGCTGTGTGTGCAAGCCTGAGACGGGATGTGACCAAGACTGCATAAATCGATATATGTACTACGAGTGTGATCCCAGGAACTGCAACCTAAAGGCAGAGGACTGTGGGAACCGTGCCTTTGAAAGTCTCCAGCGACGCGTCAAAAAGGGAGGGAAGTACAATATCGGGGTGGAGGTAATCAAGACCGAGGACAGGGGATATGGCGTGCGAAGCAATCGCACGTTTGAACCACATCAAATCATCGTGGAATATACGGGAGAGATCATCACTCAGGAGGAATGCGAGCGGCGCATGAAGACGATGTACAAGAACAACGAGGTGAGGCGAGCACTGGAGAATCTTGCGTATCCCACTAACTCAGGACAGTGCTATTACTTGATGCTCTTTGACCAGAACATGATCATTGATGCCACTCGAGGATCCATTGCACGATTTGTCAACCATTCGTGCGAGCCGAATTGCAGGATGGAAAAATGGACGGTCAACGGTAAGCCTCGAATGGCTCTCTTTGCCGGCGACCGAGGTGTCATGACTGGAGAGGAACTCACTTACGACTACAACTTCGATCCTTATTCTCAGAAGAATGTTCAAGAATGCCGCTGCGGATCTCAAAAGTGTCGCGGAGTATTGGGACCAAGATCCAAGGAGGAGCGGAAACCCAAAAGCCCCGAGAAGGAAACCAGCAAAGGCCGCGGCAAATTGGCAGGTGCAAAACGAAAGATCGCGGAGGCTATAGAGGAGAGCACCAGTCGCATTGCGAAAAAGGCAAAGGTTGCTGCGGCACCGGCACGGAAGGTCTCAGGTCGTTCACAGTCCAGCAGCCCGGTCAAGGTGCGAAAGATGAAGCTCATCAAGAAAGCTGTGACGCGAAAGACGAGTGCGACTGTCGTGGGCGGACTCTCCAGACGCCCCTCCAAACTCAAGACTCTTGTTGCAAGTGCTAAGAGCAAGTCAGTGAAGTCGAGGGTTGTGTCCACATCCTCTTCAACAGCCCTGATTGCGAAGACAAGCCCCAAAAAGACCACTTCAGCACCCGTCAGCCGATCATCAAGCCTGCGAGAGAAGGCATCTAGCGTCAAGAGCCGGGTTGTGAGAAGTGTTCGTGGCACACAGAGAGTCAGGACAAAGACTATTCGAGCAATTGAGGCTGAAGAGGGGGCTTCATGAATATTGATGGGTGAGTGATGAGGTATTGATGCCCATATGTTATATGAGGATTTTGGGTTGGGGGCGGGGTTCTTCGAGGGCCCCGATAGACGGGGGTGACATTGAGGCAATTCGAAGCAACTGTCGCCTTGTATATATAGAATGGAGGTTTGCCAAAAGGTGCCGCTACCGAGGCTGGCACAGCGTGAGCGACTGGCGGACTTCTCCTTTGATCGACGATAGTGCGGAGAATTGATGCTACAAATCATGCCTAATGAGGTGCCCTGGGTGCGTGCCTCAAAGTTTCCCATGATGCGTTCTTATGGGTTGTGATATTGAATTGGTTTGCTCTATAAAACTCACCATTACGGTCATCACTAGACTAACCAACCTTTTACCACCCTTAAACAGGATCAATCATGGTTGAATCAGCTGTTGAGAAATCCCCCTTCGCTGCCGTCATTCAGAAATACCGCCCTAATCTGGCGCCGTACGAAGAGCTCTACAAACATTGCCATGCCAATGGAGAACTCTCGACGCAGGAGAAAGAAACAGCTTCGTTGATCACTTCGCATCTGAAGAAACTCTCAAACGACCTTGACATACGCACGGGGATAGGCGGGCATGGCCAGGTCGCCATCTTGAAGAATGGACCTGGAAAGACCATCCTCCTGCGGGCTGACATCGATGCTCTTCCGATCCAGGAGAAGACGGGGCTACCCTACGCCAGCAGCAAGACGATGCGCGACACGGACGGACTCGTCAAGCCCGTGATGCACGCCTGCGGACACGACTTCCACATCACGTCGCTACTGGCCGCGGCAGAGACACTCATTGCCGCCCGCTCGACGTGGTCAGGCACTATAGTCTTTCTGTTCCAGCCCGCTGAAGAAAGAGGGAGCGGTGCCCGCGCCATGGTGGATGACGGTCTCTACGCTGCGGACAAACATGCCTGTCCCATTCCCGACGTTGTGCTCGGCCAACACGTGTTTCCTCTCCAGGCGGGAAAGACAGCCACGCGAGCGGGACCAGTCATGTCTGCGGCGGACAGTTTCAAGGTGACAATCTACGGCAGTGGCGGGCACGGCAGCATGCCGCATGTCACGATTGATCCTGTGGTCATTGCCTCGCACATCGTCGTGCGTTTACAGACGATTCGGTCCCGCGAAGTACCTCCCGACGAGACGGCCGTGGTCACGGTGGGAGCCCTGCAGGCCGGCAGCACGGAGAACGTCATCTCGGACGAGGCCGTGCTGAAGATCAACATCCGCAGCGTGAGCGTCGAGTGGCGCCAAAAGATCCTGGACTCGGTCAAGAGGATCATCAAGGCCGAGTGTCTCGCGGGCGATTGTCCCAAGGAGCCCCTGATCGAGCCGACCTCGTCGTTCCCCCTGACCGTCAACGACGCCGAGGTTGTGGGTGAGATCAACAAGTCCTTCACCACATACTTTGGCGAGAAGAACCACGATCCGAACCTCAAGAACGTGCTGGGGAGTGAGGATTTCGGGATTCTGGGCTCCAGCATCGGGAAGCCATATTGCTTCTGGTTCTTTGGTGGGCACGACGCGGGCATGTACGACGAGATGGTCAAGAAGGGCGAGGAGAAGAAGATCCCCGTGAACCACAGCCCCTTCTTCGCACCGGTGGTGCAGCCGACGTTGACGGTGGGGATTGATGCGTTGGTTGTGGCGGCGTTGACCTATGTGGGTAAAAAGTGAGGGTGGCTATCTATCTTTCTGTCCAGGTGATGTTTCGAAAAGCTAGCTGGGTGGATGTTGGGGGAGATAACATCGAGCGAGAGTCGTCAAAGCGAATGCTTCCTCTACTAGCCTAGCCGCTGTACATTTCAAGCCCCTGATGTCCTGATATCACCCTATCCCTATACAATCCCTCTCCAACCTCTCATCCAGCTTTCAACCCTTCTTTTCCCCCTTAGCCAATCGAAAGAAGTACATGTGCGATTTCTCCAAACTGCTCGCCACCCACTGGACCAGTCACGGCATTTGTCCCTTGGGTCCCCTTGTAATCACGCAAGGCTTTTGATGAATGAGGCACGGAAGCCGACCGACATCGGCATCTGATTTCCCTCTCCTCAGGCGGGGAATGGCCGACCTCACCCCGGGGCCAGACAGGCCATACATCCTCCGCAAGTAATCCGGATCATATAATTAATGTGACATGACCATCCGGGATCTCGAAAGCTTGTTGGAGATTGCCCATCTTTTCTCGCTTGGTTGTTTATTTGAACGAGAGTGAAAGCGAGACAGAGAGAGAAAGTGGAGTTTCCTGAGTCGCCTGCTATTCCCCCTCTTAGTTGATCTATACATACATATGAGTTTCATGAGCAGAGCGGTCCACCGATTGACTTCTACGGCCAACATCCTTGCGCAGTCCCGTACGAATACTCGAGTAGCAGGAGCAGCAGCAGCATCAGTAGTAGTGCCAGGGACAGTATCGCGACAAGTGTCGACATCATCAATATCCTCCACCATGTCTTCCTCCACTCCAGTCAAACTCGCCATCCTCGACGACTATGCCTCCATCTCGCTCCCGCACTTCCAGTCGCTGCAGGGTCAGGTGCAGATCGACACGTTCCCGACCACGCTCAACGCGCGCATCCCAGAGGAGCACACCAAGCTCGTGGAGCGGCTGCAGCCGTACACCATCGTCTCGAGCATGCGCGAGCGCACGCTGTTCCCGCGCTCGGTGCTCGAGAAGCTGCCGAACCTGAAGCTGCTGCTCACCACGGGCATGAAGAACGCGGCCATCGACCTGGCCGCGTGCAAGGACCTGGGCATCACCGTCGCCGGCACGATGGGGAAGCCCAACGCCGTCCAGGGCTATGACGCCACCAACGAGGTCACCTGGGCGTTGATACTGGGGTTTGCAAAGGATCTCGTGCACGGCGACACGCTGGTCCAAGGCTCGAATTCTTCGGCGTCAGACCCCAACGCCGCGTCCGGCGGTTGGCAGACGCACCTGACGGCCGGACTGGCGGGCAAGACGCTCGGTCTGCTCGGTCTCGGCCGGCTGGGCACGCAATGCGCCGTGACGGGCACGCTGGGCTTCGGGATGAAGGTGCTGGCGTGGTCGACGTCGCTGACGCAGGAGAAGGCCGACGAGGCGGCGCAGTCGCGCGGCCTACCCAAGGGCAGTTTCCGGGTGGCCGGGTCCAAGAAGGAGCTGTTTGAGCAGGCCGACGTGCTGAGCGTGCACTACGTGCTGTCGGAGCGCAGCCGCGGGATCGTCGGCGCCGACGACCTCGCCGCCATGAAGAAGTCGGCCTTTGTGGTCAACACGTCGCGCGGGCCCCTGATTGACGAGCCCGCCCTGCTCACCACCCTCGAGGCCGGCTCCATCCGCGGCGTCGCCCTCGACGTCTTCGAGGTCGAGCCCCTCCCCAAGGACTCGCCCTGGCGGAGGCCCAACCACTGGGGCCGCGACGGCCGGAGTCGCGTCCTCCTCAGCCCCCACATGGGCTACGTCGAGGAGGAGACCATGCATAGTTGGTACGACTACCATTGTCGCGCCGTCGAGAGTTTCATCAAGGGAGAGGAACTCAAGTTTATCATTCAGAAGTAAGTATCGGCGAGCGCGCGAGGGGGTGGTTTCAAGGGGGGGAAAATGGGGTTATTGGTGAAAGGAAGAGATTGCGAACCAGGGACCACGCAGCGTCTACAGTATATAGAATACAACAGCGCTCGTTGAGTGAAGACTGGAACAAATGCTCCTGCGCTATAATCTTATCACGGAGAAACGTGTGCTCGATCAATCAGAACTCGTCGCCATCTATCAGCTATTCAACCCCGAAAACATGACATGCTTATATGCGTCCCACGATGGCCCCTCCCATGCGATCCCCAGATGCTCCGCTTTACCCAGAGATGCCATATCATAAGCTGTCGTCGTTCTTGATCTGGACCTTGATGGCTCCGCTCTTTGGATCACTCGCCGTCTGGAAAGCAGCCACCGCATCGCTCATGTTGAACCGATGCGTGACCAATTTCTCCAGAGAAATCACACCGCTCTCCACCAGCCTGATCGCTTTCGGCCACGTGTTACTGTACCGGTATTGATATTGGAGATCGATCTCTTGCGTGGACAGCCTCATAAACGGGATCGTCATCTCGTTCTTGCCCACGCCGATCACAAAGACTTTGCCACCGAACTTGACCGACCAGATGGCCGAGTTGACGCTCGATTCGACACCTGTACATTCCACTGCGACGCGAGGTCGGATACCACCCATTGCCGAGACGATTTGATTAGCGCATTCCTCCGCAGATGCGCCCTTGGGGACCTGAAACGTGGTGACTCGTGGAACGAGGGATTTCGCAAACTTCAACCGTCCCTCATCAATGTCCGTGATCAGGAGGGGACATGCACCAGCAGCTGCGCAGCATAACAGTGTAACCAGGCCAATTGGACCAGCACCACATACCAGCACGGGGTCTCCAAGCCTGACACCGGCGCGTTCCATTCCTGCCAATGCTACAGAGAGAGGCTCTAATAGACTTCCGTTCTCGTAACTCATGTTCCCGATCTTGTGACACCACACCGCAGGGTGTTTGACGTATCGCCTCAACAACCCATCAACGGGCGGCGTGGAAAGAAACTCAACACTCTCACACCCATTGTATCTTCCTGTTAAGCACGGCTCGCATTTGAAACACGGAACATTCGGTTCTATGGCCACTCTGTCGCCTGGCTTCAAATTCGTGACACTGGGATGGACGGATAATATTATGCCTGCAGATTCGTGGCCCAGGATATGGTCGTCCGTGACAATCATAGGACCTATACACCCTGCGTGCCAGAAGTGTACGTCTGAGCCGCAGATCCCGGTACTCTTGATGCCGATGTAGACTTCTCCTTCTCTTAGGTCTTTTCCATCTTTGACTTCTGCAAGAGTTGGCGACGTTTCGGCTACCCAGAGGTCATGTTTCGGGTTCGTGAACACGCCAATGTTGGATTTTGTGGGCTGGAGTTCAGAGGAGTCTTTGCCAATCGTGACGGCGGCGGTCGCGTCAACATGACCGTTAAGGGTCGACATTATCTTATCTGGAAATGTTTCGATGCGGGGTATGGGAAAGAGCGCCGCAATTGAAACGTGCTCGAAGTGCTTCGAGTTCTTCACAAGTACGACACAAGCGACGCAAGTTCTGCCAGATTATATACTCGGGACGTTCTGTCAAACACGCTCAATCCGTCGAGTCAAAGAATTGGGGACGCAATAACTCACCACGTACCGCTTCCCGTCCACATTATTTCTCAGGTTACTCCAATCCCCGCTGACGTCGGCCCTTTTCCAGGGCGTAACCGCCGCAAGATTTCCTCTTTGGGTATATCCCCCACTATTGTCGCGGTGGCCTCAACCTTCTGCCGGGCCATGTTAGTCCGAGAGGCGAGAGGCGGCCAGTGTGTTCTGAGGACGAGTCGACGAACAGCAGGACTACCTGTGCAGCATGAAGCGAGAGAAGTTTTGCTTAGTTCGGTGTGACATGGAGGCACTGCAAGCACGTGCTTCACGTGATAAGGCTTGGTATCTTTCAAGTGTTTGCACAGCCTCATTCAACCTAGCAGGCTGCCTAGCACGGCGCTTAGAGACAAGCACATCGCTAACAGCCTCACCACTTTTCCCATCTTGCACCCTTAATTACGCCGTGATGACGAGATGCGATCGAAACGGCGGCACCCTTGATCCAATATGCATCTTGTGCACTAGTCGCAGGACAGTCACCAGTGCAGCATTGGATAATGCTTCATTCCTGGCGTCAATTCGGCAAACAAGAGAGCCACATCGGCGATATCGTGTCAGGCTGAGGAAGTCCCGAAGCCCTCCTATGTATCAGCAACCCTTTTCTGATCGATCCCGGCGACTGTTTGGCCATATTCTGCAGAATGTTAGCGTCAGACTATCATGTTGGGTGGATCTCTGCTCTACCATTGGAAGAAGCTGCGGCCCTAGACATGCTCGACGAGAGGCATGGCAATCTTCAACAAGCAAGCTATGACACCAATAACTATGTTTTGGGCCGAATTGGTCCCCACAATGTAGTCATTGCATGTCTACCTCAAGGGGTTATCGGTCCCGTGGCGGCAGCCTCTGTTGCCATTCCCATGCGGGCCACTTTTCCCTCACTTCAATTCATCCTGCTCGTGGGAGTTGGTGGCGGTGTTCCCTCGGCACACCATGACATTCGACTAGGCGATGTGGTCGTGAGCCGTCCTACCGGACAATTTGGCGGCGTGGTTCAATACGACTTTGGGAAAACCCTCCATCAAGGTCACTTTGTCCGAACCGGCTCACTCAATCGTCCTCCTGATGTATTGTTAAATGCTGTTTCAACCCTAGAGGCCCAGCATCTCAGCCAAGGAGGGTCTCAAATTGGTGCCATCCTACAGGACGTCGTTTGGAGGAATCCACGCCGAGCGAATGCTTGCAATTATCCAGCTACTCACAAAGATGAACTGTTCGAGTCTTCTTACGCCCATCACATCTCAAACAGCGCACTCTGTGAAGCTTGCGACCGCGGCAGACTCGTCAATCGACCACCCCGTGCAGGAAACCATCCAGTCATACACTATGGGCTTATTGCATCCGGCAGCCAGGTTATTCGAGACTCGATCATGCGGGAGCGTCTCGGTGCAGAACTCGATGTTCTTTGCTTTGAGATGGAAGCGGCTGGCCTAATGAATTATTTTGACTGCTTAGTTATTCGAGGCATTTGCGACTACTCGGACTCGCACAAAAACAAGCGGTGGCAGGAGTACGCAGCTGCCACCGCAGCTGCTTATGCGAAAGAGCTTTTGTGGACTATCCGTCCTGTGCCGTCCTTCCGAAGAGTCCTGACTGACAGGACTCATGATGACAGTGAGGGTTTCAGTGCTCAATACGATCAAGACGACTCTTTTCAGGAAGGCCCAGGATCAGTTTTCGAAACGACCTCTTCAGGCACACCCAAATACCATTCAGCTGCCGCCGAATCTGGTAAGTTTTCCACCTCCAAAGATTGTAACACGCTAAGAGACATAACCAGCGTGTCTGAAGTCGCTATGGTTTAGGGAAATGGGCGGTCGTCGAGACAACATCGACCGTGCGGCTGAGGGGACCTGTTCCTGGCTGATAGAACACCCGGACTATCAGCAATGGGCCGCAAATAATAAAGGGTTTCTCTGGATAACTGGTCTGCCTGGTGCAGGCAAGAGTGTTCTCCTCGACACTCTGGTAAGCAAAGTCGAGAGCCAGAGAGACGAGAAGGTCATTGTGGCTTCATTTTTCGTGCATGGCCGCGGCACACAGATGCAAAAGTCTCCTGTCGGACTGTATCGGTCCATCCTGCATCAAATACTATCAAGAGCGAAGATCCTATTAAGAGAGCTAACAAACACGTTCGTGTTGAAGCAGCTAAATCAGGGTGAATACGGGCACTCTTGGACCTGGCACGAAAAGGGCTTGTTCGACTTCCTCAATACTCGAGTGAAACAGTACACCAGACAATCTATCAAAATCTTCATAGATGCCTTGGACGAATGCGGCGAAGAAACGGCAAGGAAGCTCTCATCAGAACTCTGGAGCCTAACGACGCCGACCGCAGAGGCTCAGTCAGCAATCAGTGTGTGCATAACCTGCCGTCACTATCCTGTAATGGATCTCTTTGGTGCTCCAGAAATCTGCGTCGAAGCTCAAAATTCTGGTGACATTTCCAGATTTGTTCATAGCCGTCTTTCACAGGTCTTCAAGAACAAAAATTCGCGGCAAGATGTCGAGCACGAAATTTTGCGCAAAGCTGCGGGAAACTTTTTGTGGACGGCTCTCATCCTCGAACAAACAACCCGCAAAGGGCGTCATGGCTATGGTCTGGAAAAGATTCGCAAAGAAATCCAGAATAGCTCTCCAGAGCTTGGACAGATATACAAGGAGGCCTTGTCGAAGATACCAGCCGAGGACAGAGTCGATGCAATGCGTCTCTTCGAATGGGTGTGTCTGACCGAGGAGCCTCTTTCCCCGATCCAGATGAGGTATGCCCTAGCCTTCGACCCACTGGATCCGCCAACGACTATTGCATCGTGGGAGTATTTAGACACATTCACCGAGACCGACGGACAAATGGAAATATTGATCAAAGCGCTATCCGGTGGCCTTGTCGAGATTGTCAGTGGGGACAACATCATCCAGTGCATTCATCAGTCAGTCAAGGACTACCTCTTGCAGCGAGGCCTCCAGGACCTGGAGCATTCCATCAGCGAAGATCAATCGAGTTCTAGGCTTGAAGACACGCTGGCGAAGGCTCATGAGCTCATATTCAAATGCTGCATGCATTACATTCTAACGGATGAAATACTACAGTTTCCAGTTGATGAAGGGCAGTCTCCAGCGAAACAATATCCCCTCATTCAGTATTCTGTTGCTAGATGGCCCTCTCACCTGAAAAAGGCCGACCTCGATGGACGGTTACAGAGAGACCTTTTAACATACCTCCAATGGCCTTCTCGGACTCGCTTGGATCAATGGCTTTCACTGTGCTATCTGGACTCTCGTGCTTGTGTTCTTCAATCCGGGGCACATTTGCTCCACGTTGCTGGATATTATGACCTCAGCCATGTCATTGATGCCGTGCTTGACAATAACCCATTGGAGGATGTTGACGATAGGGACGCTCAAGAATGCACTCCTCTTATCTGGGCGGCAAGAAATGGACATGTCGAGGCAACCAAATGCCTCCTGCGTCACGGGGCAGAGGTTGACTCTTTTGATTCGGAACGACATTCATCTCTGTGGTGGGCTACAAACTATGGCCACTTGGGCGTCGCGGAGATCCTAATCCAGCATGGAGCAAATACTAACTTGCAAGATGAGACGGGCCGCACAGCATTATTTTGGGCCTCAGAGAACCTTGACGAAACGACGGTCAGTTTCCTTCTATCTAATGGGGCAAACCCCAATATACAAGACAACCAGGCAAGGTCACCGCTCTACTTTATCATTGGGCATTTCGTTCGGGAAAAGGCACGCAGAATCTGCCGGAGACTACTTGAAGCGGGTGCACAACCAAGCAAGAAGTTATCTGAAGATGAGTCCTTGTTGCGATGGGCGACCAGTCGCGACTTTCACGACATCATCGATCTCATATTGAAACTTGACCAATTTGCCCACGACGACAACCGACGAGCGCTAGCGTTCTTGCAGGCTTTGAATCGGAGAAACTTCTCCGTCGCCCTGAAATTTGCCCATGCTGGGATCAATGCGCAAAAATTCACAGACTTCACCGGCGAAACCCCTATCGCCTATGCTCTTTCAAGAAATTCTCAGGGGGTCGTCGGAGTACTGCTTGAGAAGAAGAATTGTGACCCCAATGGTAGGGGCTCCAGGGGGACAACACCTCTCATTGCCACCGCCCAGCTGGGACTTGTCGTTATGATGAAGTCTCTCATTGCTCTGGGTGCCGATCCGAATCTTGCGGACACTGAACGCCGCACCCCTTTATCTTTTGCAGCAGCAGCTGGATATATAGACGCGGTCCGCGTCCTTTTCGAAAGAAGTGCCGACCCAAATTTGAGTGACCAAAAGGGGAAGACACCGCTGATGTGGGCAGCTGAGAATGGGCATGATCCTGTCGTCGCTCTGCTGATCGAAAGGGGTGCATTCCTCAAAGCCCAAGATACTTTAAGGTGTTCGGTATTATTTTGGGCAGCGAAGGGGGGCAGTAGTGCTGTGTTGGAGTTGCTGAGTGACGTGGACAAGGAGCACCGGAACTCCCTGGGGCAAACGGCACTCTGGTGGGCCATCATGCATCGGCAGATAGACGCAGCAAAGCACCTCCTCACCTCTGGAGCCAACCCCAACATAACCGATACTGACGGTAGGAGCCTCGTCTTATGGACTGTGTCTACCGGTTATCGTGTTGGCGCCCAGCTTCTCCTCGAAAGGGGTGCGGATCCTAATTTAAAGGACCGCAAACAGCAGACAGCGCTTCTTGTGGCCGCAGCTAACGACGACATTGATTTGATCAAACTGCTTCTTCTCCACCACGCTGATCCCGACATGGAGGACGCGGACGGCTACACATCGCTGTCACTTGCGGTCAAGAAAGGTCTGACGAATGCAGTTGCGGTCCTTTGCGAAATCTCGCAATTGAATCGTGTAGACCGCAGTGGGAGGACACCGCTTTTGTTGGCCGTCATGAACGGGAACGAAACGGTTGCGACTTGTCTCTTACAACATGGAGCCGATGCCGATTGTCAAGTTTATTCCGGGAGAACTCCACTGTCCTTCGCCTGCGAGTACGGTTATGAGAGTCTCGTGAGGGTCTTACTGGAATACCGAGTCAATGTAAACATTCAGGATCGGAATGGTCGCACCGCCGTCTGGTGGGCAGCGGCGTACGGCAAAACCGCGATTTTGGAGCTCTTGCTAGAGAAGGGCGCCGATCTGCAAATTCTATCCAAAACGGGCGAGGGTGCTTTGATGAAAGCGGTGAACAATGGCCATGTCGAGGCATCTCGGTTGCTTTTGCGACACGAGCCCGCTGCTCTTTCAGACGCTGAAATCAGCGCCAGACTTCTGGGATTGGCAACAGACAACAATGACTCGGCCATGGTGTCATTGATGATTGAAGAGGGGGTAGACTGTACTCAAACTCTTCCTTCGGGCAGGACGGTTCTATCGTGGGCAGCGAAGAACGGATACCTTGACGTTCTGAAGACCATGAACAGTCGTGGGATCGACCTGGAGGCGCCTTGCGATCAGCAGGGGCTTACTACGCTTGACTTGGCCTTTGAACGTGGCCACAAGGATGTAGTTGAGTTCTTGATGGGGATTTGGACGTGACGAGATGTATATACGATGGGTTTATATGGTGTCTTGTGTTGGACGGGTCCACAGTTTTACTGTTGACAAGGCTGCGATTCACGTGATCAGCGGAAAGGGATACTTGTCTATACTCGATGCCCCTTTCTTGTCAGCCATGCTTGGATAAACTTAATTATATTCGCGCAGTCTTGGACCCGGTCAAACAAGGGGTTTCTCTCTGCATACGCGTTCACTGCCTAGATCAGTCCACACTTTCATATGTCCCTTGCCCGAATCGTTGAGTTGGTGCCTGCTCTGCCTGCTCATGCCGGGGTTGCCGAGTGATCATCCAACCCCGGAACATTTTCCGACGTGATGCTATCAATCTTGTTGTAAGGGGGGTTGATTGTCCAGATGAGATCGAATCTGTAGTTCATCTCCGTCAGCCAAAGGCACTTCTTAGAGAGATCGTTGATTGAGTGATTGAGTGAATGGTGAATGAGGTACCTGTTCCCGGGATACTCCGGCACGTCCTCGACGCCGAGCGCCTTTGCGATCTTCTCCAACGTGTCATGTTCCCAGCAGATCAGGACGTTACCCTGGCCGACGTACTTGCCCTTGCCTTTGGCGTAGTCGTGCACGGCCTCGGCGACCTTGTCGACGTGGTCCCGGTCGATGAGGAAGTTGAACGGCACGTTGTATTCCTGGAGAGATTCGACGAGGGGTTGCACGGTCAGGAATGGGCGGGTTTGTCTGTTGTCTGGTCGTGCCGGATGCATTAATCATTTTTGCTTCGCAGTTTGCAGTTTGCACTCTGCCCTTGGCCCTGGCCCGAGCCTTGAAGAGACTGAACAGAAGGAGGTCCTCGAATTCCCCCTTCCTTCACACCTAGGGAGGGGAGTGCGAGGGCCCTCGACTACCAACGCGCTGAGGGCTGATGCACGGATATGGACATACCTGGCTTGGGTTTCTGCGCGATCACATACCCGATGTTATACTTGCTGCTCCGCCCAAACACCTGGACGAGACCCTCGGCGCGGTCGATTCCCTGCGCAGAGAGTCCCGGGCTGTCGTCCCCGTCGCCCTCTTTTGGGGGCTTCTCACCGTGGCGGATCAGGTAGAGGGTTGGGGAGTCGTGAGGCTGAGTTGGTTAGTTTCTTTGTTAGGACAGTGCGTGGATTTTATCTGGTTGAGCTAAGAGTACCCTACCATTTTTCGTTCCGAGGCGATTGGATCCTTAAGAGGCGACTGCTGAGAAGTGGCTAAAAAGTCTTGGTTTGTTGGATTCCTGGGGAAAAATCGAGCACGCGACAAAAATCTCGGTTTATCTTATATGTTGGTCCTCGATCCTGCGCCTGACACCTCAGACTGTCTGTCTGGGAATAACGTCTGCCCGGTCAGCATCCTCGCACACGCCCCTGTTCAATCCTCACTGTTCATTGTTGACATGCCACGCTGCGCTGGGCTGCGGGGGTGGCTGGCTGACCGGGCTGGCTAACCACATGCATGAATACGAGAAGGGAGCTGATACCACTTGACGGCGGACGCTGACTTGTCCATCCATGCAGTGCTACCTCCGGCATGGTTCAGCTAACTGACAGTGTGACCCCTTTTGTTCACCTACCAAAGTGATTGGGTCCTTGTACAGAACAATGATTTGCCTTACTTACCTACCGAGCTCGTCACTCAAGACCGCATATTTTGCTGACCAAACTGGCTGGGATCGAATAGCCTCTACTCGTGGAGGCTAGATGGGTGCTTCTCCTGGCCGGGGTGGATACTGGATCCTCCATACAGAATCATGGTTAATACAGGCGAGGCACTGGGGATAAGTCTTGTGCAACAATAACTTCAAGGGCGGCAGCAAGGTGTAACCCTTGCCGGAATTGTTGATCGAGATCCAGCCAGCACTTAGCAGCGTCGGTGATGGTGTTAGTAGAAGAAGAAGAAGAGCAGCAAAAATCATTTTCAAATGAAGGTGAACTTGTCCATTGTCAACTTTGGTTTCTGCTCCTTCATCACCGGTGGTTGTGAGCTGGTAAAGCATACCGGGTACTATGGTATGGTCAACTGATCGGAGAATATTCGCCGTATATTTTTGGTGTCCAGAAAGCATTTCGGACATGGACCCCGACCGAGAGCCTCAGCCCGCCATCGCATGCCTCGTACATCGATACTGCCTCTGTGGGCATTTTGACTAGAGGTTAAAGTCCACTACGCCTCTTCCAGCCGCTTCACCTCTTCTGATCCTCTCCACTGCCTCTGGGAGTCTGTCAATCGGATAGATTGTATGGTCACCAGAGATCTTTCCGGCCGCGGCGTATTGGAGCGTCGTGGCGATGTCGGCTCTGCTGCCCACCATTGAACCGCGCACAGTCAATCCCTGAGTGATGAATTTGGTAGGTGGCGCTCCGATCGTGAGCTCTTTGTTGTGCGCTGCTCATGTCCCTGTTTAGTCTTTTTCTACTGTGAAAGGAGAGGGGGAGTGTGGAGGGAGAGCTTCGGAATGGGGAGGAACAGAAATGACTCACGGAGTCCTATACACGACACCACAGCACCGACGCGTGTGCCCGCGTACGAGATGGCGGATGGATAGGAATTGCCTGCCGTGACGAACACTCCATGTGCTCCGATCCCGTCTGCGATCTTGACGGCCTCCGCGACCGGATCGTCAACGCGCTTGAAGTCGATAAAGGCCTTTGCACCCCGAGAGATGGCGAGCTTCTCTTTCTCGTCTCCCGTGTCCACCACGATCGGTCGAAGCCCCATCGCCGCGGCCAGCTGCACGCCTTGTATGCCCACGCCGCCGCCTCCGCCGAGGAAAACGGCCCAATTGTTCGGCTTGAGTGTCGCGAGACGCAGCGCGCGATACATGGTTCCCGCAGAGCACATTATGGGGGCTGCTGCATAGTCGTCCACGCCGTCGGGAATTCTCTGCGTGTAGTGCGCTGGGGACGTGACATAGCTGTGGAAATAGATCAGCAGGTCTCAAAGGCTACAGCGGGCTTCGAGAGCAGAAAATACTGTTGATACGTCCTGTGTTATTGAGACAATCAGCATTGAGGCCGCAACGCAAGGTAACTAGCAAGAACACGGGAAGGCCTAAACTTGCCCTGTTTTATGAAGACCACAGAGCTGCGATTTTCGGCAGTACGCCTCCTTGTCGTCCAGACAGAGGTCGCAGTCTCCACAGACGGACCATCGTGGCTTCATCCCCGCCCGATCGCCAACCTTCCAGTTCTTGACGTTGGAGCCGACTTTGACGACGACGCCGGCGCCCTCGTGGCCCGGAGATCGCACGCCGAACGCGGACATGGGCGGGCCCAGGTCGCCCATGGCGAAATGGAGATCTGAGAAGCAGATGCCGGTCACGTTGAGTTTTATCAGGACTTCGTTGGGCCCTAGACGACGAGGACTCCCGTTAGAGCCATGGCGGACGCCAGCAATAGGATGGCCTCTCAGCGCTGAGGGGGAATAGAGCATCAGATGCCCATCTCACCTGGTTCTGGAACCGGCACCATCTGTACCTCGATATGGAAATTGGGGCCTTCATTCACCACGACTCCCGCCTTGCACTCTTTGGGTATGTCAAAGGTGATCTCGTTCTTCCCAGCTGCCTCGTTGGCGTCGGGACCCAATAAATACGACATGGTAGATGTTTAACAATGACGACGGCGATGATGGATGTCCCTTGGATTGGGCTTGTAGATATGGTTCACGAGTCACGATGGTTTCATTTGGTCCCTCTCACAGGTATGGCCAAGGCCATTCTCGGAGAAGATTGAGATATAAGAGAATGGGCGCATGGCGAATGCTGCTGCTGGAATTGGTTCTCCGAGAGCCAGCATTTCAAGTGGTGGGTGGAGATGACACTTTTTCAGTGGGGAGTTGTAACCTACGGTGTACAGTGTTGAGATGAAATGGAATATGGCATGCTACCAGCTCGAAGAGGGTTGGTGAGGGAGGAGGGGGTACGATGTCGTGGATAGATTTATAGGAGGTTGTCACACACCCAGACCCAGCACTGAAGCCTTGCTCTCATACATGTACAGAACTTCATTTCCGCTCGCCTTGGCCAATAGTCCCTGACATCTTTGCACTTCAACATCACATTGGTCTTCCCCACTGCTTGAAGCGCCCAAGTTTCTGTGGGGATATCCTGGGGTTACGAAGCGTGTTTGGAACCGTAGGTGTCTTAGACCTGTTTTCGTGAGGCAGAGGCATCCTTCCTTAGGCTGTTGTATCTAAGGCTGCAGGGGGGACATAGACGTCCATTGCGGTGAACTGCTTACCGCGAGTAACTGCCTCGTAGCCGAGAGGACATGACAATACATAACATTTGGGGACCCTTGTATGAGGCTGGTGTGGACTTTCAGATCCCAGGACTTGCCCCGCCCCTAGGAATTGTGCCTCGGCTAGGAGGGAGTCCGGTGTATCTGCAGGCATCGATGCCCCGCACCACTCCAGGGACAGATACTTCCATTGCTCAATGTTTCCAGGTGCCAGCCTGCGAGATTGAGAGTACATGTTCGTCGTCTCCTGCTTGGTCGTCGGGTTTGGCTGCAGCTGGTCATTCTGGTGTGGAGGCGGAGTGAAGAATTGTTCTCTTCTCTGCCTTGAGATTTTAGTTGTAGGATGATGTAATCAATGACCGTTGCCACTGATGTCACCAACTGCGGAAGGTCCTGCGAGGTGGATGTTTAGGCAGATCTCATTTGAATCAATCAAGTCAAATGGCGGTCGACTTAACCAGACAAGTCAGTGCCAGACCACACAAGATCAATCCCACCAGGAAGCAGATCTCATACCAAGCTTTCGGGGCTTCCAGACAAGCAAAATGCTTATCATCCCACAATGACCCGCCGATCCAGCCACTCCGGCCCTTCAAGCCTCTGGCCCGGAACCATCCAACAATGGCCAACTCCATCTCACGCCCTAAGCCCACGACCCCCATGTCCACGAGCCCACTGCCGAATGTTACCTTGCCCATTCAGGGCTGTCAACCCGGAAGGATCACCCAGAGGGTTTCTCCCCTCCAATGAAAGAAGCCGATGCTATCTTCAGAGTTTTCCAACCGTCGAATCGAAGGGGTTCTCGAACTGATATACCAAGGGATTGGCAAGATTGGGCAGGCGGATGCGGCCACAAACACCCCGCCTAAAGAGCCCACCAACGTGGCATTGGTGGCACGCTCAGCAGCATGACGAGATAAATACGACTGCAGGGCGCCACAGCTATCGGACTCTCTCTCACCCCGCGCAATCTCACGCGACACCTCGGCCGCCGTGGTTGTCTCCCTCGTCTTCTTTCGTCGCCATTTCCAAGAAGACAGCACACGGATCCCGTACAAAATGACCATCGACGAGGAGAAAGGGCTCCCGCCCACAACGGCGATGATGACCACCAAGGCCTTTGACGGCGAGAAGGGCTTCGAGACCCTTTCTGGCCCGTCCTCGGAGGATTCGCCCCAGCTATACAACAATACCCCGGTCCACCAAGACAATGGCATCCTCTCCAAGCTGCGCCGGCTAGAAGCTCGCATGGACGAGAAATTGGGAGTCGAAAGCGAGGCCATCGATCGTAAACGCCCCGAGGACAAGAAGCCCGTGCCCTGGCATGAACAGCTCACCATGGCTCTTCTCTGGGCCAGTGGCACCATGAACACGTCCTGCTTCGCCACCGGGTTCTTGGGGTGGGAGTTTGGCTTGAGTCTCAAACAATCCATCCCCATCTACATCTTATCCTCCATCCTCGGAGGGGCCGTGACTGGCTACTGCGCGACATTCGGCGCTGCAACAGGCTTGAGACAGATCTCCGTCTCGCGATATAGCTTCGGGTGGTATCCGAACAAGATTATCGCTGCCCTCAATACCGTGCAACAGATCGGCTGGGCCGCCGTGTCGTGCATCACGGGTGGATTGGCCCTCAACGCCGTGGCCGACGGGCACGTCTCCCTCGCAGTGGGAATCGTCATTTTGGCTATTGTGGCGCTCGCCATCTCCTTTGTCGGCCTCAATGCTATTTTAGTGTATGAGCGCTACGCCTGGCTCATCTTCTTCGTCATCTTCATGATCATCTTCGGTGAGACGGGCAAATACGCCGACAACACGACCCCGTCGTCCCTGCACGGCGCTACCCTGTCGGGTACCGCCCTCTCACTGGTCGCTATCGTCTATGGCTCCTCGGCTTCGTGGTGCACCATGGCGTCCGACTACTATGTGCACTACCCGGCGACCGTGTCGCGGGTCAAGGTCTTCTTGATGACCATGTTTGGCATCAGCATCCCGACATCAATCGGCATGGTCGCGGGCTCCGTGGTGGCGTCGGCGCTCAACAACAAACCCACCTGGCAGGACGCGTACGAGAACCAGGGACTGGGCTTTTTGATCCAGGACATGCTGCACCCGCGCGGCTTCGCCAAGTTCTTGCTCGTGCTCCTCGTGCTGTCGGGGATTAACACCAACGTCATCTCCATCTATTCGGCCGCCATCTCGTGCCAGCAGTTTGCGCGGCCCTTTGCCCGCATCCCGCGCTTCATCTGGACGTTTCTGTGCTTCGCCGCCATCCTGGGCCTCGCCCTCGGCGGCCGTGAGAAACTCAACACGTACCTGGTCAATTTCCTCTCCCTGCTCGGCTACTGGTGCACCTCGTACTTTGTCATCCTCTTCTCCGAGCACGTCTTCTTCCGCCGCCGCAACTTTGCAAACTACGACCTCGACGCCTGGAACGACCCCGCCAGACTGCCCCACGGCATCGCCGCGTTTGCTGCCTTCGGCCTCGGCATCGTCGCCTGGTGTATGGGCATGGTCGAGACCTGGTACACGGGCCCTCTGGGCAAATTGATTGGTGACTTTGGCGGCGACGTAGCCAATGAGTTTGCCTTTGTTGTTACTGCCGTCGTCTATACTCCCGCGAGGTATCTGGAGCTCAAGTACTTTGGACGATAGATATTTGTATGTTCTTAAATGGAATCAGAGCACTCAATGTGGAATCTGGCAGCAGAACAGATCACGGCACAGCTATCACTCTCCATTCCGTCATACGTCTTGAGTTTCCTCTCAGAAGAGTCACCGTCAAGTTTTCGTTCATTGGTCCCCACCTCCTTTCGCAATTTGCGCATACGCGATGTAATCACCATCGATCCATTGGCAGACGAAGAAGTTTGTTCCATATCGTGCTGGCTCGAGCATTACCTCTAGGGGTATCGGCAGGGTCCACCCCCATCGCCCATCGCTCGTTGTTTTTCAGCCGACTACCGTCAATATCACCGAGAATGCCCGCTTTCGCTTCGGTACATCTGGTCATCGAACTCGCTCCGCAATCCCATCGGTGCATTTCCAGTGGAGGGTAGGTGTTGGTGTTGTGGGGTAATGGCGACTGGATACAAAGGGAGAAGAACCCCGTGGGGAAGACACCCCACAGCTCGCGTGGGTTTTAAGCGAACTGCCAGATTCAAAGAAAGCGTCTGGGCTCAAACACGTTTCCATAGACAAAAAGCTGATTTCTCAATCTCTCTGTGATCGTCAGAAGAGAAAGATCCATCAAACATGGCTACTATCGACGAGAGAATGGAAACAGAAACAGAAACAGCCATTCACGAGGAAGACCTTGACCTTGAACAGGACCCGCATAGGGCGGCTCTGGAAGACAATCCCGAAAAACCAGAGAAGCTGACCTGGGCGACATGCTTGTCCATCCTAGTAAGACTTCTGTGGGCTTGACGAAGGGCAAGTACTGAAATTCTGAACAGTTTCTGGCTCTGGGTTTTGTCTGTCCGCTTTCGTCGTTTCTCCTTCCAGCTACTATCCTCGTCCAGATCGGCACCAGTCTCGGTGACACGGTGAACATTGTATGGGTTCCTGGTGGCTGGTATATTGCTTCTTCGGTCTCATCTTCGATTGCTGGGAATCTAAGCGACATCTTTGGGCGCCGTTATGTCACCTTGGCTGGCCAGGCTTTATCCATCGTTGGCGCGGTAGGTTTACAATCACTTCTGTCTATGCAGTTCTAACACCGTCAAGGCCAGTGCGGGGACAGCACAAACCACCAATGTTGTTGTTGCAGGAACTACCATCACAGGTTTTGCTTGCGGTATGGTTTTTGTGGCGTACGCTAGAATCCCGGAGCTGCTGCCGAACAAGTGGAGGTTAGTGGAATTGTCCCTCTCATCTCTGTTCCCTTTTCGTGTGAATACTGTTCACTGACCAGTATAATAGAAACATCGGTCTCTCGACCACCGAGTTTGTGGCAGCCCTACCCTGGGCTGTCTGTGGTGTTATCATCACCAACCAGTTTGTGGCTCAATGCAACCTGGAGATGGTGTTACTACATTGGACTTATCTACGCCGTGATTGCTCTTGTCGGAACCGCAATCGTCTATTTTCCGCCAGCGCGACCTGATGGTGACTACAGCACCACTCGTTGGCAACAAGTCAAGAGCCTGGACTACGTCGGATTGTTTCTCTACTCGACGGGACTTACTGTCTTCCTGGTCGGCATGACTTGGGCTGGATTGGACGGCCATCCCTGGAAGAGTGTGTCCGTGGTCGCACCCCTTGTGCTCGGCGCCGTCACCTTCGCGGGATGCTTTGCCTATGACTTCACACTAGCACATCATCCCTTCTTTCCTCTGGATTTGTTCAAGCGTGTCCGGCAATTCACCATCCTTTTGGTGGTCGTGTTCGTCTCGGGGATGATCTATTATGCCATGGCGGGCCTTCTACCACAAGGCACTCTTTACATGTTCACTAGCGACCCAATGGACATCGGTCTCACCCAACTTCCTAACGGTCTCGCACAGCTGGTTGGAGGCTGTATTATGCCGGCCATATCACACAAGATCAAGCACCTCAAGCTTCAGGTTCTCATCGCTCTCACCATCCAGACCTTGTTTACCGCCCTCTACGCCGTGGCAATTCCCAACCACAGGCCGATGTGGATGGCCTTCCAGTTCTTCGGCATGGGTTGCTTTGGATATATTACCCTCCTTTGCTATTTCATTGCTGGCCTTCACGTTCCATTGAGGGAGCTCGGTCTCGCCACTGGTCTGATTGGCACCTTCAAAAGCGCAGGTGGCAGCGTCGGCAACGCCATCTTCAACACCATTTTGAAACCAAGCGTTGAAGCACGGCTGGGAGGCGCGATTGCCAATGCCGCGATAGCTTCTGGGTATCCCGCAGAAGACCTCGAGACCCTTATTCCGGCCGTCATCACAAATGCGCTGGGTGTGCCTGGTTTGGCCGCACTACCTGGTGTCACGCCTGCCGTGATCGAGGCAACCAGCAAGGCGTTCAAGGACACTTACGCCCACGGTTTCAGGTTGGTCTTCTATGCAACTATTCCGTTCGGTGTGATTGCCATCTTGCTGTGCTTGTGGGTGGAAGACGCTTCCAAATATCTCACCAACCATACTGCCGTGCATCTGATCTGTGCGTGGCAAGTCCTTCCAGGCATGCGTGCCCGCAAGAGCGGTGTCATCATATCCATCGCATCTCGAGCGGCGACTGTGGACCTTCCCTTTGGGATAGGGGATGCTGCCGGCAAGACTGGTCTTGTTCGCGCCATTGCTAGCTTACAAGCGGAATTGGAAATCGACGGCTTGGGGGAGGTTGTCCACACCTACGCTCTGCACCCTGGTGGGGTCAAAACCACCATGGGTGGATGTAAGAGCTTCCGAATCCTGCATATGGAAGGACGTACCTTTGACTGACGCCTTATCCAGCTAACAGCGACCCAGATGTTGTGGCCAAGTATCCCCGACTCGACAGATCTCGACCGGCCTTTCAAGCCCTCTTCAAGGACAAACCGGAACTCTGCGCTCAGACATGCGCATACATCTCCACGGGTAAAGCCAAAGATCTTCGCGGCCTATACATTGACTGTCGACAAGACCTTGGCCGCTTGCTCGAGGCCGGGCGAGAGTCGCTGCTCAAGAATGATCTTTACAGCCTCAAGGTTGGCTTCCTTGACGGATGGATACTCGAACGAACCATAATCGATATGACGGCGGATCGTTCAGGCCAGTCAAAGTGACGACATTGCGACCAGGAAATGTTTGGTCTCTAAGACCTGTTCGCGCGAGCTCCCCTTTGCCGTAGTGGTTGGATAAGAATGAGAAAGAATCTATGACTTTAAGTAGAACAAAACAAAGGGGTGGTGCCAATATATTAGGCTAAGTCCAAACCTAGCCTATAGCAGCACGTGACAACCGTGTCCCTTTCTATTAATTCATACGGAATGGATTCGCCGGCTCAAATGTTGCATACAATCAGAAAAATCCAATTCCGCCCTGTCAATGCACATTTGTCGTCGTTACAGGGCTGACCAGTACCCTTCTGCCTTACGCGGGCCAAACTCCATGCGCCCACGCCTCAGCCTCCGAAATCAGACTGTCGGCGAGCCCTGAGCCCGCAGCCCAGGTGACCATTTTGGTGAACCCCACGGTCGACCAGTAGCTGAAAGGCGTGCCCATTGGGATGAAAGCAAGGTCACCAAAGATCAATTGTGCTTCCTCACCACCAATTTGAAGGTGGAGTTGACCTTCTGTGACTTGGAATGCCTGGTCAACGGCGAAATGAAGCCGAGACTGCTTCTTGTGGGGCTTGATGACTATACTGGCGACGCTGAGCTTGTTACTGGTCTGCTTGCCAGATGCGAGTTGAGCGATAACCTGGCCTGAACTCCGATGAAGGTATTTGGGCCCGCGGTTGCTGGAGATGAAGTAGGCTTGCGTGGGATCCTCTGGCAAAGATTGGTCGGCGCTATGCCAGGTGTCCAAGCCATCTGCTGTAGTTCCATTTGTCCAATCGAGGTTGATGGTATTCAGAGGTTCGGGGACGATGTTGTACTGAGGCATCAGCCCCAGAACTTTGGTCACGTTGAGCTGCGAGGCATCTTGGGGGTCAAACGGGGCGCGTGAGTTGTAAGGATTACCGGCGGCGGCGAAGAACCGGTCAATTCCCCCAGGAGCCATTCCCAGCGTGAGCTGGAAGTCGAGATCATTGGGACGATATGTATGGTTGTTACCCGGGGCCAGGAACACGAAATCATTGGCACGCAGCTCACGACCGGTGTCAGTGTTATGAAAGACCTGTACACTCCCCTTGAGGGTGTAAAAGGCTTCAATCTCTTTGTGATAATGGATGAGGTTGAGAGGGGCTGGCCCTGAGTTGACGCCAACAAGTGAAAAGGCACCCGACGATGTGGTGTTTGGGACCAGTGTTCGGATAATTAAGCCCCCGAAATCCACGGCGTGGCCCTGCAGATTCGGCAGCACGTACGGTTGAGGCGTTCTGGGCGCTGCGTCCACCAATAAGCCACAGGACGAGGGTGTGGGTGTCGCAGTCGCCGCTGCGGAGTTCAAGATCGCGCCAAGAGAGGCAGCCAGTTGAAGAGAAGGTGTCGCCAGCATCTTGTTTGTTTGTAAATCAGAGGTTTGTGTGGGAGATAAGATCAAGCTGTGGATAATGGCCTGGAGGAAGCTCGTAGGAAACATGGCGATCGAAGGTCAAGAGGAGAGAGGCACAAACTGCCAGAGACGGGAGTGTTTGAGCGTGACTTGCTTGGGAGACCACGCGGGAAACAAACAAAACACAATATATAAAAGGCATAGGACTGCATCGGCCTGTGATATTCAGTGTCAGCTGTTCAATTCTCTGGTTAGCAACTAGTAAGCTGAGGGTGGGGAGTGGGATTTAACCCCTGGGCCTAAACCTCGTCGACGAGACACTGTTGGAAGGAGAGTGTAGGAGAGTAGCGAGCATGTCAGTTGACCGGTCATCGCGCCTCACAGGTATTTCTAGTACCCTTGGAGTGTGCATCGCATCTACCAGCAGGGTAGATGAATAGAGAAAGATGAGTTGAGCATTGTTTGGCAGTGGTATGTTGGTACATTGTAAACCTGAGTTGGAAGTGAATGAAGAGAGTAATTGACGACAATTGATGAGCCCTGCTAGTGCACTGTTCATATAGATATCTATCCACGGTATCTATGGTGCAAGGACGAGGTACTATTAAATATGCGCTCCTAATAAATGCTGAGATGCTCGGACATGGGTTGAGGGACAGTTAGCCCTTAACAGAGGCTGTGGACCTGTAAACCTACAGCTGAGCGCCGAGATGCGTTCTCGTAATCTCGCAAACAAGGGCAATATCCGACGCCACTAGATAGTTAGCGTATCTGCCATTCCACATTTTATTGCTTCATCAATAGCAAAGTATATAGATTATACATTCAATATTTTTCTCAACAAACGCGGTCGGTTTACCATCGCACTTGTTTACGGTGATTGACAGCGCAATTGGTCTAGTGGTATGATTCTCGCTTAGGGACTACTCTAAGTAAAATGCGAGAGGCCCCAGGTTCGAACCCTGGATTGCGCCGTTTGTTTTTGGTGTTTTTTTCCCTTTTTTTCCCTTTTTTTCCCTTTTTTTCCCTTTTTTTCCCTTTGAGAGGGAGATAGAGGGGGAGGGTGTGTGCCTTTTTTAAAAGTGGCATGGCCTAGTCGCACGTGAGGTCGGAGCAGTTTTTAGAGTGCCAAGCACCAGTGGATGGAGACCAGCTGCGCTGCTTGTGTCATTTGAATTTCCCCAGAATCTCTTCGTAAAAGTGTCCACAACCAATTCATTACCAAGTCGCAGCCACCTTCTACACCACCCAGCTTCCTTTCCCACGAGTTCCGCAACTTCAATTGGATCCTTCTATCACTTCGACCTCCTTTATCCTTTGATACCTCTTCTTCTCGCGCCTGTGGTGGGTAGGAACGCACCGGCTCCTCACATTTCCCTCCCTAACCCCCTGGAGGTATCATACGCCGCACAACCATGGTATGAAGATCTGCTTTCCCTTCTTCATGGACTGAGGTCAAACCTCGTGCAGCGATCTGCTCTGCGCAATGCATATCGCAACGCGAATGACTGACGAGAGTTTCAGGCTTCAGCAAGACCAGCATCTCCCATGACCTCCGGCCCCGAGTCTGGTCCCGAGTCCACCACATCCGCACAGAAAGCCAGCGGATCCTCTTCTATCGCGCGCGCCGGCTCCCCTCCAGGCGGTCCTCGATCTGCTATCCGTCGTCGTGCAGCTGCTGATCACAAGGAATCAGTCAAGAATGCCAGACCAACCTCGACACGTGCCGCAGGCGCGGGTGGTTCCTCAGGGACAATGCTGAGATTATATACCGACGAGAGCCCCGGGTTGAAGGTTGATCCCATGGTGGTCATGTTCTTGAGCTTGGGCTTTATTTTCAGTGTCGTGGCGTTGCACCGTAAGTCGCTTGAGCACCTCTGGACTGATACATCCGGCGAGGAAACTCAATGCTAATTGTATCTACCTATAGTCATTGCCAAAGTCACAAAGCGATTCTCATAAATGTATTAGAACAGCGGCTCATGGACGGTGTTCCGACGGAGAGGCAAAAGCAATGGGTCACTGGTATCTTCTTTGTATAACATCCCATTCGCGCATGGAGAAGGGGGAGAGATTCGTTCAGCACCAGGACTTGCTTTGTATGTGATAGAAGAGCCATATGTTTTCCCTTCTCGGGCAGACATGCGCCTGGGAAGAAGTAGCACAATGACTTTTCTGCTTTGCCTGCAACATGTTGGTCCGCATCTATATCCCCTTTCCGTCTGAAAGCCCGCAAGCAGTATTCTCGGCGGAACTGATTGGCCTGCTCTTTTCGATCGTAGAGTGGAATCACTCGTACCACAAGTCGCATATCTGAATTTGATGAACCTGTTCTGAAAAACTGGTTCAAGACTGGTATTTAGCAATCTGTAATGCATGGTTCACTCAGTCCGTAACATTGTGTACAAAATGGTATGACGATCTCCAATTTTGAAGCGCGTGGCCAATCTTCACTTCAGGCCAGACCACAGACATATTTTGCCAGGCACCCTTGACTCTCTGCCTGTTTCACTGGCTATACTCTCGGTCGCTTCTAGTTCTGCAGCGCAGTATCGACTTCTCTTGCGTCCCCCTTCCTACGGTCCCAAATAGCATTTGCATATTGTCATGGCGGAACGAGCCCAGGATCAGCAATCTGCCCCTCCAAATAACCCGCAACCTGAAGTGGAGGGCAACGACGAAGACAAACACGCCCACATCGAACTTCCACCTCCCGAGTCTACTACCCACCAGTCTCATGCTTCGGGGCCTCTCGTCAGCAGCAATGGCTGGGATGGTAAATTGCGCATGCCGCCTCGCAACGCCGTCTTGACCAACCCCGAAATCCTCTCCGACCCAGACTACTCAGACCCCGATGCCCCTCCTGTCGAACAAATTGAAGCCGACGAGGATCTGTTGGATGAATGCCCTCTTGATTCCGAGGACCTCGACCTGGTGCATTGCCGCATCTCTTCCCTACCTGCTCTAAAACTCGAGCGCTTCACAAAACTGAAAAGACTGTGCCTGCGGCAGAATGCTATTACCTCTATCCTTCTCCCCGAGGCCTTGGGGGAGGTACTTGAAGAGTTGGATCTCTATGACAATCTCATCTCGCACCTCAAAGGGCTCGAAGACCTGAAGTGTCTCAAGTCGCTGGACCTGTCTTTCAATAAGATCAAGCACATCAAACACGTCAACCACCTCCACGCGCTCACCGAGTTGTACTTTGTGCAGAACCGCATTTCCAAGATTGAGAATCTGGACGGTCTCTCGAACCTGACCATGATCGAGCTGGGTGCGAATCGCCTGCGTGAGATCGAGAACCTCGATAGCTTGACCCAGTTACGGGAACTCTGGCTGGGCAAGAACAAGATTACCGAAATCAGGAATCTCTCGCCCCTGCGAAATCTCCGTCTGCTGGACTTGAAATCCAACCGTCTCACATCAATAGGCGGTCTCTCTGATCTGACCAATCTGGAAGAACTCTACGTGTCGCACAACGCCATTTCTTCCATCCCCGCCGACGCCCTATCGAACAACAAAAAGCTCCGTGTCTTGGACATCTCCAATAACCAAATCTCCCACCTCGAAAACATCTCTCACCTCACGGAACTAGAAGAGTTCTGGGCAAGTTCAAACCAACTAAGCGATTTCCGAGAGGTCGAGCAGGAGCTGCGGGACAAGGAGCATCTGGAGACTGTATACTTTGAGATGAATCCCTTGCAATTGCAGGGGCCCGCGGTGTATAGGAATAAAGTGAGGTTGGCTTTGCCACAAGTCACGCAGATAGATGCTAGTAAGTCATGGCTTCCTCGCTCAACCCTTTTCGACAAGGAGTTGAAAGTTTGCTAACCGTTCTTGCTGTAGCTTTCGTCAGGGTATGAGCCTAGGGCTAGAGCTGGTTGCAGAGGCTGGAGTGTCTTGTTGACAAGTACCTGTCTTGTACCTTACTCGAACGACAAAATCCGCAACCTCCCAACGAAGACACTTGGGGACAAATCCCAGGCAGAGCGCCTGCGTTGTTTGTCGTGGAACTGCATTCATCACAACCGAGAGAGTTCTTCCAAAACGCTTACATGTTACTCTTTTTCTTCGAAGCGCTGCATGTAGTCAAGCCCTGTGGTTTGAGCTGAAGGCCGAAAAGTACTGTGTACGGTCTTGTCAATGCAACACACTATTGATCGAGGAAAGAATCTCCTCATTCTGCATGAAGAGGGCGCAAGCTGGGCGACAGAGTCCTATATGGGCCAGCACCCTGGACGCAGAGAAAGAGGAGTTTGGATCATGCGGGCAGGGGGCAGAGATCGTGAGGGGGACCATCCATGAGTGTCCTGCCATCTGCACTTGCCATGGCATGCATGTATAGTAGCCCTTGTATGCAATTAGCAATGACGGGCAAAGGCTTTCAACGTGAGATGCAAGAAACCAGGGACAAAAAAAAAGGTATCAGGCGATCAGCCATCAGCTAGGGACAGAGCTGCATGGTTGATGGGGAAAAGGAGAGTGGTTCGAGCTGGAGGACTACCTACTTACCTAGGTGGTATATGAAGTCAATACCTCTCTCCGTCCAGTTGTCGCTCTGTCGAGATAGAAAAGACGGGTAGCTCGTTATCTGGCTGGCTAGCTACGGTTGCTATGGCCAGGGCACAGCCAGGGATTGAGAACCTCCAAGACGATGGAGATAGATAGACAGGATGGAAGAGGGAGAGGCATTACCGAGAGTACATAGAGTATTTCACGAGCCCCGAAACATGACGAACGATACTACCTCTCTCCTAACTAACTAGCTAGCCTCGCACGCCTTGTCATGACCCAAAAGAGTAATTAACAATGAGCTCTTGAAGAAATGGTCTTGTTTTATTCTTTTCTGTTCTTGTACGCACGCACGCTCTCTGACTTGTGGACTGACTGACTGACAGACACTGTAATTTCTGAATTTTATTTATTGCTTGAATTGGATTGCCATAAACAAGAGCAGCTACCTACCTATTTACTCACTACCTATCCATCCTGATCCTTCGTCCCAATGCCGTACTCCTTTACACCGTCCGGTCCCGTCCTATCCAGACCGAGTCAGGCAGGTAGGCACGCAGGCGGGTCCTCGACCC